TCGATACGACTGCAAGCAATGCGGACCGACTTCGCTTGGCACAGCAGTAGATATTCCGCAATTGCAATTTCACTTCGTACAACTGGCATCAATTTTCTTAATTCAACAAAACTATGCATCCCTTTTTTTTAATGTCGCCTGCCTCGTCTTTATGGTTCTCCCACTTGGCCAGCATCTTCCGATGATGCAAGGCCTTGCTGCTCAAACAGGTAGCACTTGATATTCTTAGGTGTTTTCGGTAAAGTCACGTAGGTAAAACATTAAAATTAATAAAAGTAAAATAAAATAAAAATCACAACTTGCTTTTAAGGGATTACATCTTGAATCATTGCCTCACTTGATGCAGCTAATCTGGCTGTGACGGTCCCACCTGATGACGGAGACTTGTGTTGCCTCCGAAACGTCGTGATTTTTATTTTATTTTACTTTTATTAATTTTAATGTTTTACCTACGTGACTTTACCGAAAACACCTAAGAATATGAATTCTTGCAGTCACGAAAGCTTCAAATCTAGAAGGTCGCACTTGACTTCGTTGGTGGTCCTGAGAAAGCGACAGGAATTCCACATTCCTTTACCGGGACGCAGTCTCCCCGTAGGGCGACTACTGAGTGCCCACAAGGCGGTATTGAGTTCAATGACCTTACGAGTTGAGTGTACCCCCTGACTGCGATTGGAACTTGTGGTCCGACTGCGTATCATGGGGATACGTCTGTGAACAATCGGCCACCTTGAGGCAGTGTGTGCATTGAGGAATGAGGCAAATGGTCGTCACTCTTCTCCCCATCATTTAATCTCTCTACTCCATCCAGATCACAAGCGATTACAAATAGCAGTGATTCAATGAAAGTGACTCATTTACTACCAAGCATAACAAACACAACTTTTTCTAAAGTACTGCAATTTTTTTGGAGTTTATCAAGATACCAAACTAACATTCTAGGAATCTTAAAGTGTCTCAATGAAATACCACCAATTATGAAGTATACAGACATCGGAATTGATAAATATTGTGGAATATTCTCATAAATTAATAATATCAACAAGAATATACTATACATTTATTATATTTTGTGAAGTCATAAAACATGCTGTGCAATTATTTGCAGAAGATTCAATTAACATTTTAGTGTGTGTTAGTTTTCTATATATGTTAAAAATTACCTAGTCAGAAGTGGGTGTCACGGAAATCTTACAGAGACAGACAAAAATCATCAGATGATCTTATACTTTCGTTGAAAAAATATTCTTATTCATTACTTGATTAGAATATGGTGATGCTCTTTTGAACATAACTTCATAACTTCTTTTGACAAAAACACAATACGAATTTATTATTAAAACTACTTTTCCACCACGGGTCACTTTATGCATTTCTTACTAAGTATTTCACACGTGGGCTGAAGACCAGAGTCTTGAGGAGGAACTTCCAAATGCCACACAAGTAAATTGGCAACAAAAATATCAGCATCCTACTTGACTGGTTCACTCACATTGCGGCACCACCTATGCACGAACCATCAACTCCACCTACTACACGAACCATCAACTCCACATACTACACGAACCATCAACTCCACCTACTACACGAACCATCAACTCCACCTACTACACGAACCATCAACTCCACCTACTACACGAACCATCAACTCCACCTACTACACGGGTTGATGTCACGACACACGGACCAGGACCCAGAGCACAGAAGTCGTTCTGCAATGGCCTACACATAGCTTGAGTTCAGATTTCGAGTCAAATCTTATCTTGAACATTGCACATTCTGGTAGCCATGAATTTCTCTGCAAAATTTACTCAACGTATCCAGACAAAAAAAATTGGGGATAAACAAGGATACTGATCAGAAATTTCTGATGAACTCCACTTATCCGTGGAAATTCACAAAGAGAAAGATGAATGAGGATAATACGAACAATAGGGCTACAGATAATAATACAGACACACGGACTCAATAGGACCCAGAGATAATAGGAGGCTGAAGATCACATGATTTATACTGCATATGTACGTTTAATGGCCTTCAAATATGCAAATCAAATTAATCTGCTTCTCTTAGCTTGTCCACCCCATGTATGTTTCCTCCAGCGTGAATTACTTGGTCAAGCAATTCCTCACTTCATTAAAGGAAAGGAAACAGTTTCCAGTGTCGGGTGTGATGCTGGCTTCTTTGTGAAGAATTCTTCAGGAAGAAGATTTCCTTTTGGAACATCTGCCGAAACAAATGTGTTAACATTTTAATTGATCCAGCCAGGACAGCACTCTGTTTTTAGAGCACTCGACTTACGATTCGGTCACGCCCCCCACATTCACCACAATGTGAAAACATATATCGACCGTATTCTTGAATCGAATTGCGATTCAGAATTGTCAAAATGCATGGAAACACCGAGGAGCAAATGGGTACATCGTTACAATTCTACTATTCTGTAATTATACTCAAGACGTAGGGGGGCCCATCCTTCAGCCCGGGCCAAGTGCTAGCAATCTAAACAAATGTAGCCCCTAAAATCCGCATAAACTATTTTATTCCAAGTCATTTGTATCAAGTGGAGCCATGTCGTCTTCAGTGTGGTAAATGTGGTCTGCATCACGTCGAGCAGAGCCGAACGATCTCGGAGCGACACGACTGCAACCAAACCCCCGCGCTTTGTGCTCATGTGCCGCCTGTCGCGAATTTGACTTTCACTGCATGCTTGTGTACCACGACAGCCGTGATCTTACATTTGAATTTTGCTCCCCTCGTTGTTGATTTACAAAACAAAAAAAGCATGATCTGTGCCAATGAATCTAGGGAAGAGTGGTATTGGGTGAATGTTTAAAATACTGCCTCTTGTCGCTGCCTAGAGTTCACCAACAGTGGCTCGCAACGCAGCCGAGAGACTGTTAATGGTGAGCTTTGGGGTAAAATTTGAAATAAAATATTGATCATTTCCAGTCAAGGTATCTCTGTTAACAAAGCATGCAGCAGTTCTCATCTCTATTGGTGGTGGATTTTTAACATTCATATGGTGGGGATCAGTAAACCATGGCACAATGCCCATTGATGTCCCAATATTGTGCTCATTACATCGATTCTAGAAGGATCCCTGGATGAGTTGAGCTCACAACCTTCTGACTTTGAGTTAAGTGCTTTTACTCACAGCACCACCTTCTAAGTTGGTAAATAAACATTTAGCATTAAGATAAAATAAGTCTCTGAAACATTTGGCTTTTCATTCTTCTCCAGGGACACTGTTTAACTGAACACAAGTGTGAAGGATTGTATATAAGCGTTCGCGACATCATTTGACGATGTTATATCTTCCGTACTATTGATATAGCAACATTCACATTTTTCGATATAAAGCTTTCATGACTGCAGGGAATCATATTCTTGGTTCTTTCGGTAAAGTCGCGTAGAAGGGAAATAATGAAATAAAAAAAAGAAAACATTATTAAATTATCACGACGTTTCGGCCACAATGCAAGCAGCCATCCTCAGGTGAAGAACAGAGCTGTCCTGAGGACGGCTGCTTGTGTTGTGGCCGAAACGTCGTGAGAATTGTATTGGTTTATTATTTTATTATTTCCCTTCTACGTGACTTTACTGAAAGAACCAGGAATATAACATTCACATTCCTCCACAGTGCCCTAATTGTTCGCCGCTTAACATTAAAGTTGTCCTCGGCGCTTTCCCCAAGCTCAAACTGTGAGATCGCACTCACGGGAACGACGGCGCTGTCCGTGCTGAGCGTCACAATCTGGATGAGCTGCAGCGATGAGAACTTGTGCTGCTCGCTGAATGAGATGGCAGCGTGGAGCATGCACTTTGCCACCTCCTCCAGACGGTATCCCTGCTTGCCATTGCCCATCACCGGGAAGGAGATGGACCTCTTGTTGGCCTTATGTGCCCGCTTCAGGCAGCCAATCATTGTCTTTCTCAGCTTGTAAGAGTGCAGACAAATCACACGTTAAAATCTCCATGTTAATACGGTACTGGTGATGTTAAAGTGTTTTTTTCCAAGTAAACAATGGGATGGCGAGCATTGCCGTGAGCAGGCCTGAACCAGTGAAGGAGGTTCCACATTCTCTTGGCAAGGGTACATTTACACCATTGGTACCTCATTTGCCAGTAAAAAATATGATAATTGTTTTTTTACCCTTTTATCTGGCAACAAGTTTTGCCAGATAAAAGGGTAAAAAAACAATTATCAAGGGTAAAATTTGCAATAGAACCACCACCCACCAAGTGGTATGCATTTGATCGAGCACAGATGGACATCAGACCTAGTCACTAACCGGGAATTAAATTCACACATTTTTTTATTGTGAGTTGAGCATTCTAACCCCGGTGATTACCCAGTCAGATCTTCTGTAATCATCGATAACTGAAACAAATTGTTACGCAGTGGAGCAGGAGAGCCAGACAACTTGTGCCCACAGAGACAGCTGCCACTGGGGGTGCCCTTTAAAATGTTCACAGTGAGCTTTGGGGCTTTGCAACTAGCCGGTGTAAAGGACGTAATATACAGAAACAAAATCATCATTGTTGTGGAGGGAAAATCTGCGGAGAGAAAATGTGATGTAATCAAATGAATTTGGGGTGCGACTCCATTGTGGGTAAAAACAAAGCAGCTTTGCTATGAACTGAGCAAAATTGTGCTAATCGCGAATAGGAAAAAGAGGGCCACGGTTAACAGGGGTTCTCGTTGACCCTGTAGCTACCGTGGATAATAGGAGTCACAGGTAATAGGGGAATGGATAAGAAGAGTTCTGCTGTATATAATAAAAACAGCAGGGTCTGCTGCTGGAGAAACACGTTAAATGGTGCCTGTAACACCAAGCATGTTTGTGTTTATTAACAATGATTACACGACTACCTGTAAATTACTGCATTCTGTCACGTGAACGCTAATCACACCCAAAATGCAAACTTTACCTCGGGGCAGTTTTCTCTGTATGCAAGCTGAAGGATCACGTGGTAAACCCTCTTGCAGGATAAATCACCCGTTGGTTCTGTCTCAAAATGGTTTTGCAAAAGTAACATCTTTTTTTTGTTCACGGCTGCCTGGAGGTCCGGCCCGCCCTTGCGAGCGAGCGCAGATGAAACGCTCCCCATGCTGAGATCCATCTTGGGGGACAGCGTGTTCACGATGACGTCAGTCTGAAAATAAAATGTTCAAAGAAGGGGTAAACTTCATCATGCGCCATGAGTTGACGTGACTCTCTCGGCACAAACATTCATTCTGGTTGGGAGTCGGCTCAATCCTCCGCCGATACGTGCTCGCCCCTTGTGCTCATCCACCGCTGGATGAGGGCCTCTCTGTGGGTCCTAGGCATGATTAGACCATGCTTCATCACGCTGGCAAGTTGGTTAACACAGACGTGGGAACACAGAAGGACACTACAGCAATGGATTTTGCTGCATTTGCCCTCTGCCCACGATGAAACCCCTGCAGGCGATAACAGCCTGTTGTGTAGGATAGTCACACTCAAGCACGACTCGACTTATTCACGTTCGCAAATAAATAAAAATCTGCGGTATTTGCCCCTTTGCATGCAAATGTGGTACCACACCTTCACGGATGGTGGAGTGAATGACATGTGCGTGGAAGAAGAATCAGAGCGTGATTGGTCAGCTCTGCCTGTGAGTGGAGCCAGCATCTTGACACATGAACGCCAGCAGCAAGCCATACTTGCCCTTCCCTTAGCTGATCATTGGCTGTAAAATGGTTCTCTGTTTAGCACACCCCAACAACACATGACATGGCATGCGGTTTACCCCACGTGTTCTTGTACAGGGAAATTGAGCTTCCAGGTCCATACGGCGTACAGCCGTTTCAATACGGGCACCTAACCTGCAAGTTGGCTGTAACAAACAATAAATGTCTATGTGTTTGTGTTTTCCCTTGTGATGGGACTTTGTAGGATGAACGTTGAGATTCATAAGGGGCACGGGGTGACCAATAAGGCCTGAATAGGTCTGTAATAAGGTAGAGCACTGATAAGGGGTTGACAGGTATGACATGACTTTGGAGGAACCACTTTTACAAAACATTCCAGCTGTGACATTTTCTGCAGAAGTCCAACATTATGGATGATTATACCCCACGCACTCTTTAACACAATCTTAAAGCCTTGATATTTAATCCTTGGTTGTTAAGCAACAGAACGATTAAGGAATCTACTTACCGTTTGGTCTTCAATATTACCAGTTGCAATTGTTATTTTTATTCCTTCACGAGTCATGAATGTGTTTTCCTCATTCTCGCACGTATTTGAGCAACCCCGCTTCTGTGTTTTTCTTCGTCATTTACAAAGCCTCGATTTTGCGGCAATCCACTGTCGAGGAATCCTCTGTGTTCTTGGGTTTCTGAATCACCATGCTTTGTGCTTAGGTGGTCGGACGAGCCATGCGCCAGAATGACATCATCGTTGTCTTCTTGCGAGAGATTCATCATTTCCAACACAAACTCATTCCCCAGATCGATGACATGAATGTTAGTGAGAGTGTGTGGAAAGTTCTTGGTCTTCCCACAGTACACTAATATCGCTGTGTAAATTGTTTTTGCGCACAGTGGCACAGGAAATCCATAAATGCCACTACTTATTGCAGGGAGGGCGATGGAATTAAACCCCTCTTCTTCAGCCGCTTCTAAAGCACTCACGATGGCCATGTTCAGACGCCTGATGCCCACTTGTCCGTTGTTGGCGCTGTTTTCTCGGATTGTCCACTGTGGCCCGACGACATGGAAAACCTTCTTGCATGGCAAGCGGCCCGGCCCAGTCATGGCCACTGCTCCAAAGGGGACCTTGCCATGCTTCTTGACGTGGCTGTAGCTTTCTCTCTGGAGGCTGGGGCCTGCGGCATCAGACAGGGCTTTCGCTAAGCCTCCTATGTGGTCCAGATTTTCATTTGCTGCATTCACCATGACATCTACAGGCATTGTCAGCATGTCTCCAATGTGCAAGCACAAGAAGCGGCCACCTGGCAATTTATGTGTAACCAGTAACGAATTCTTTAAAATGGGGTTCATGTGAGAGAGAAGAGCATCAATTTGAAACTCACTCGACTCCTCACTTTCTTTTGAAGCATTATTTTCGTCTTCTCCTGAAAATGAAATGGACTCATACAGTGGCTCATATTTAAATATGTATGGTTTCACATGGTCACTTTGCAGCTCTCCAAACTGCTTGTCATCTTTTTGTCCTGAATGTGTGTTTACTTGTGCATATGAAAGGTCCTCGTTCAAGTTCAACGGACCTATTTCCACATAGCCGTTTCCTAACTCTTTAAATCGTGCACCGTCTTTCGGTCTTTGATGTTTGTTTACCTGTAACTCACCACACTCTTCACCATCCTTTAGTTCTTTGCGTTTATTTACTGTTGCATATAAAGGGAAATCATTACCGTTCAGTCTGTTATCGTCCACAGAGCCACCCTGTAAAGCGCTAAACTCTGCACCATCCTTTAGTACTTTAAGTTTATTTACTGTTGCATACAAGGGAACATCATTATTGTTCAGTCTGCTGCTGTCCATAGCGCCACTTTGTAACTGACTAAACTCTGCACCATCGTTTAGTCCGAGATGGTTGTTCACTTGTACAGATGGGGATTTGTCCTTTAAAGTGTTTGTTTCTCCATTGGTGTGCTGCTTAAAGAAGTTGGCCAACTCCCTTTCCGCGTTATAGACAGCGGTTGCATACCCAGCGATGTATATGGAAGCGAAAAATTCATCACTGTTTTTCTCAAAAGTGAATTTGCACGAACTCATTGGGTTCATGGAAAACTTGTGTTCCAATTGTTTAAAAAATATGCCCCAGTCTTCACCACTTGCAATGCGTGCATGCTCCTCTGTAAGTGGGAATGGCCAGCCTTTGAGGGCTTCTTTCAACGTGGCATCGGCTATTTCGAGGTGATCTTTCAGGGACCACACGTACACCCCGTCACCACCATTGGCGCAAACTGCTCTGATCCCATTTTCTTTTAAATGCTTTTGTGAAAACTGTGCGAGATCGGTGGACTGCAAAAATTCCTCGAGAAAATGATTAAGCTTACACCTGCTCTTCACAATGTCCTTATTGCTGGATGCAATGTACTGCGAGGCATTTTCAACGTGATCTTCACTTCCTTTCATTCTCAACTTGGACGTCTTGTGGTTCATGGCGAATTCCACTTGCCCTGCAAATTTGGCATTAAGCTGCTCTTGCAGAAGTTCATAAGTGGGGACCTCCAGGTGCAGGTCAATGCGATGGATATCAAGCTCCTCGTACAGGTGACATCGCCTAGCCATGATGATGATGATGTTGCTTGCTTTGCAAATTAGCTGTAATGAAATGTCCTCCCAGCCTCTTCAGCGTTGATCCAACATTAATCTATGAAGAACGCACGCAAAAAAATGCAGGCACATTACATGCGCATCAAATCCACCCATATGTGTAAGCATGCTGATAACAATTTATAACACAACCGAATCCACGTAGGTAAAAACATTAAAAAGTAAAATAAAATAAAAAACACGACGTTTCGGAGGCAACACAAGCTTCCGTCTTCAGGTGGTACCGTCACAGCCACGACAGCTGTATCAAGTAAATGAGAGATTGCACCACCTTCTCCAACCATTATATAAACGGAGTGGTAGCTCATGCAATCTCTCATTTACTTGATACAGCTGTCGTGGCTGTGACGGTACCACCTGAAGACGGAAGCTTGTGTTGCCTCCGAAACGTCGTGATTTATATTTTATTTTACTTTTTAATGTTTTTACCTACGTGACTTTACCGAATAAACCTAAGAATATGAATCCTTGCAGTCACGAAAGCTTCAAATCTAGAAACAACCGAATCGTTCAACCCCCCTAGGTATGGTTAACAAAACTCTATCATTTTTTCCGGGGTTGGGAAAATGAGCAAACGCAAGATGCCACAATGATACTCTGGTCCCTGCCGCTTTGGGAACGGGCTGCACGTGCTATGCTACAGATGGGGGATTTCGCTGGAGCTGCACTCTTAGTTGTCATCCCCTGCCGTGAGTGGGGGTGGTATTATTATCCAGCCCAGATCATCGTTTGTTATTGACAATGCCAGAGTTGAACGCGGTTAATAACTGAAGTTGTTGGATCGGGAGCTGACTCCGAGGTGGGCAACACATTGAAGTACAATACATCAATGGATTCTTAAATATATATGCGAAGCACCCTATCCTGTGCGTAGTGGGTTTTCTGCGGGTACTCCGGTTTCCTCCGGACGAGCTGGTTTTCTCACACAAGCCAAGCAATCGTTGTTATTGCAATTAGCGAAACGCCCCAACTGCAGCAGGATACACCGTGAACAATATTTTCGAGACTCGGCGAGGCTTCGCAAAGTATAATGCATGATTATTTTAAAGTGCATATACTGTAACATAATAAGGTAATCGTCTGCTATTAGTTCAATTATTATGTTAAGTTATTGCCAAACTTACATTGAGTGAAGGCTTCCTTATTATGCTATATTTCACCACCCTGGTCAGTGCAGGTTGTTGAAAGGCTAATGTAGTTTATCTCTCCGTCGCCCGAGGAGTGGACCTTTGACAATGGCACCCTGCTTAGGAGTGTGCAATTAGCTGGTTCAACAGAGATACCCACAGACCTTTGCTCAACTTATTGTGCTCATATTATGTTCAGAAGAGCTTTGACTTTGAGCCGTGGCTTTGCCCTTACAAACAAGTACAACGCATTCATACTGAATGTTAGCACCACGAGGAGTGTATTCCTCTTATAAGTGGGTGGTCATTTTAAATGTGTCAACGTTGTGACACGTTGACACGTTGGCCCTGTTTCACTATCAGTGTCGCCAATCACTTTATGGAATTCGGCAACTTCTTCGCTGCCAGCTGAGCGTTTAAACAATGTCGTTGAACGAGTTCTAAAAGTATTTGTGCACTGTTGGTACAAACTCGGACAATAGGTCTTTACGTGTCGTGCTACGATTGATGCAGTGACACCTCGTAAGATGTAGTCACACATTGCCTTGATGGCTGTGCAAGTGCCCCCTTAGAGCTGACACCGACCTTCTTGCCATCTTGATATATAAAGCTCAAACGTAAACTGAAATGTGCATAATTATTGTTGTACGTTCATAGTTACTAAATGACAGCATCACAGTATTGTACGTATTTCATCGTGGCCTGTGTTTTTGTTGGCATGCCATGGTATGGGCTTACAATGGCAAAACTGTATTTACATTTTGTACTGAACTGACAGCATCGGGTATATATAAAAAAAACATTATTATATTTATGTTAAAACATACCATTTACACGTTACAAAAAAAAACTCAACAAATTGGTCAATAACTGCCTACAAAATAAAAATAGATAATAGGCAACGTTTCAGCACCTGGAAGTCAGAGAGAGAGAGTAGATAATTGAGAGCTGGAGACTGCACCACAGGGCCTGATGAGAATGACATTTGAAAAATGTTTCCTGCTCAACAGTTTAATTACAATAATAGACAGACCTTCAGTCATCCAAATGTATTCGTACTCATTTGTATACAAGTTAAATTGCAGTCTGAAATGTTGCTGGCACATTGAACAAAATAGTCATGAGCATAATCCAATCAAAGATTAATTCCTGCGCCAAATTATCATTTGAATGGGATTAAGGACTGTCAAAGCATATTAGGAATCAACGGAACTTTCATACGCTTTACATTCCTGAACCTTGCAAACAGGGCAGATACATTTTTAGAAGAATAAAAAAAAAACTAGTACAATTTGTCTTTAGCCCTTGCTGTCACATTTTACTGAGAAATCAAACGCGTTGTTTAAACAGATGTGCGTTACCATAGTAGGTAGTATATAATATACGACATTTTAAACACGGAAGGTTATTGCTCTCTATAAATACAAGGACTGACCACAATCACCAGCCAGCATTCTCATCGTGTCTCAACATCCTTGCGAACGAGGCTTCGCTTCAGTGGCGCACACATTATGGCAGGCGCAGCAAGTGCGTGTCCAGCGTGGTGCAGAGGTCGTGAGACCCCTAATTAATCGACCCCGAAAATTGTTGATTAATTTCTGTCTCAAATAAATCTTCCTTAAAACAATATATTAAGTTCTAGAGAATTAAATGGTGGGTCACAGGACATCTGGCGCACCATGTACACCCTTTGCGACCATACTTCACCACGCTGGTAAGCTCGGGTTTGAAGGCGAACGAACAGACGTGGTGGGTGCAATACATGTAGAGTACAGCATTACACTTTGCTCCGCTACTTTCTGCTGCCTACTGACGTTCCTACCCCCCCCCTTCCCCATGCAGGCATTAACGCCCATAATGGATTGGTGGCCCATCCAAGCATTGGCCAGGCTCAAAAACAAAACCCACGCTTAGCTTCCGAGATCGGAGATGATGAGACCCGGGTGATGGGGTCAAACGCCGAACTTGTGGGGGCCGAAAATAAACAAAGCAGGTTTCGCGGGGAGGTCAGGCAGCCGCGATGCTAACGTGCGCTCTAGGAACTAAATAAATAAAACACCTGTAAGTAAAAGAAAGAGTGAGCGACTTACCTCGGCTCGACCACGTTGAGTTGTTACAAACGCACTGGATAAAAACAAATCTCTGACGTTGTTACGATTAAAGGGTGGGGGAGGGGGGTGTTTTAGTACAGAATCGGTGTTGTGGTCACGACAATGTTCTTGTGGGGGCTGTCAACTTTGGCCATCAAAGTGAAACCACGAGCACGGGAAGTTGCACTTCCTCATTGCGTCCAACTCACATCCTGCTTTTAACTTGCGTGCAACGATGGCCCTAGCGGCTGTGTTTACAATAAGAATACACTCGGCAGATGGGTGTGAGCTAATATTTTAAAAATACATTTCATGAGGAAAAACACAAATCCCGTTTGAGGTGAAGGCCCGCGCGTGTTTCAGAGTATCAGTTATAAAATAAAAAGTTTAAAGAGTTGCTTTTTTTTATTGCCAAAAGGCAGGTCTCACATGAAGGGGAGTGCAGTATTGCCCGAGTGGGAATAATAGCATGGACCGGGTGCGTAAAAATCTCGGTGAAAACTTCCACTTCGGGTTATTGAATTGTCAGCATTGAGTCGAGATCATCTCTGAAACTGGTTTCACGGGTCTGAGGGCCACAGGCCAAACAAATGCTCTGTGCCTTCGGCAGGTACTGTATGAGCTGTTATGGAGAAAATCAGGATTAAGTTTCTTCAGCACTATATACTGTTCACAAAGTGAATGGTTATCTGTATCTGAACCTTCATGCAAGTATTTACTCTTCACTAATGCCCCAATCTTGGGGGGAAAAGCCACTCCACTGGGGAGGAGACACGTCCTAGTGCTGTATAAGCATGGAAACGTTGAGATAACGTTGGCATGTAAGAAAGAGGGGCTGCTCGATGCGTGAAGACACGTTCTTCCAACACCTACAGGGCGGTCCAGATGTCCTGTGACCCCCATGTAATAATCAAAAATGTCATATATATTTAACGTAACGTTAGTTTAAAATGCAATTCAATATGCACAGGAATATGTTTTTTAATTGTGGGTCACAAGAAATCTGGACCGCCCTGTACACTGCCCCCCCCCCTTCCCTACCACACGATACACACACCCCCCCCACACACCGTATCAACAGATGTTTTTAAAATGTGTAAAATACTGAATATCCTTACACACCACAACTTGCAACGAGTGGCGCGCTACTTAGTGGAACGAGGGTGCTGGAGGAGCGCCCCCCAATCAGGGAACTCGGGAGCAAGTTACTTTTACATGTTGTTCTTAATGGGAGCTTTCAAATGATGTGTGCATTGTCGTGAAAGCTTCTTGGAAATACATATTGCACATTTGAACTTTTTTCACTTAGAGTGCAGTTTACGCAATTTTACGTATTGATTTTAAACTAACGCTGTATGTTGCTAGTTTATTTTTGAACGATTGAGAGTGAAAGGAGAATGTTTGCGGTTTTAATTGAAACGAAACTATTTCTAAACTATTTCATATTTTATCAGGTAAGGCCCACTGAGCTATTTCTCAGCCAAGTGGCTTAGCATCATGTGGAAATTAATAGCAGCCAAATACTAAGTCTAAACCACATGTTTCTAAATGTGAAGTGAAAAAAAGGTCCCATTGTGTGTGCATGGGTTTCTGTGGCTGATGACATCAATTGATCTCATTGTTGTTGAGAATTCTCCCTAATAAGTCATTAAAAGGTTAAAGAGGGCACAAATTACATTCCATGCAGGTGTGGTTGGAAAGGCAATATATTATCTGGTTTCAGATTGCGCTAATCTCACATTCCATTGCATTGAAACTCTTTGCCTGAACCAAGAGCCATCTCTTCATAAGCCAAACATTGCTCTGAATGCACAATAGAGTATACTGGAAATGAGTCTGGAGTTCTAAATTGCAAAAGCAATTTCATTGTTCCAAAGGTAAATATAAGTCTTTGTTTTGTACCTGATGTGTTACGTGTATTCTAAAGCGTTGCAAGGTTTTGGTGTAATGCCGTTTCTATGATTGCAGAAATGTATACACATTTTTATTGCAGTGTATTACCGGCAATTGTTTGTAACATTCATAATCTCTTTAACGGAATGTACACTTCTTTCGTCAACTGTTATCATCATCATTGTCAAAAAATACCTTTATTGATAACCAAGTGATAACTCATTGAGGCATATCTTTTTTTATTTTTTTTATTTCCAAATACATGAGCTTTTAAAAACTACATTCTACTCGTATACAATACTTACATCACATAATACTGCTTTCGTTATTCATATTTCCAATGAAAGCATTGAGACTTGCTATATTTCAAATATATTGTGGTATATTGAGGTGTTGAAACAATCACAGTTTCACTGTTAATGTGACGTGTTATTGGTCGTTTTTATTTAAATGTGTATAATTTTCCTTCTCATATAATAATGGACAATGTTAGGAAAGACTCTTTTTTTTTCATCCTAAGAGTCCACATTTTTACATTATCCGCATGCATAGTGGGGGTAGAGTGTGAGCTTGAGAGGTTTGGAAACCGGTTTAGTATGAGCACTTTAAGATATCATCATCAATAATACAATCGGTGTTGCTCAAGCAAATACATTTAGAATCTTGCATATGTGTAAACAACAAATAATTTTTTTCTGACGCATAGGAAAATGTGTTTTTTTGCAAAATCGCAAATGTAGTTTATTTTTCCAAGTGTTGTGAAAATTCTGCATATATTCTTCATGCTCTATTGAGTATGAGGTGCCCATAAACCAGTGGTGGAAATTACACCCTCCTATGGCATAGCCTGTGGTAATAATATATAATTTTTATCATCCAGGCTTTAATTGCAAAAAAAATGAAAAAGGTTGTCTCAGTGGGCTTTCTCCCAGTTTAATTTAAAAAATACAACTCTTAAAACAAAAACCCATACATTGTTTGCCACAATGCCACACAGCCAAATACTTTAACAACATTTTCTAAAATTAGGGTATAAAGAGAAAACTGCCATATAAAATTGAGGTGCATTTTCCAAAATATTGAAATGAAGCATCTAAAATATATTTTGTAATCAGTTTGTTGCACCTGATTTAAAATCGTGCTTACAATCTGGGTTTGTTTTAGTGGCGCTGTGGCTAGACCACTGGACTCGCAATTGGGAGATTGGCAGTTCATCCTCGTCAGACTCACTTCAAATTAGTTTATGCGCACTAAAGGTGTTTTTTAAAATTAAATGATTCCACTTTGAAAGTCAAGAAGTGGTTGTCCAATTCCTTTGTTGAAGCAAAGTTGTGAGATAAAACACTGTGTACCACCTGTGCCTCCATGACTCCACTTCTGAACACTTGTGTGCATCCAGCACGTGCCTGTCCAAATAATAAACTCTGAGCACGAGGCGCGAGCGACGAAACAAGACATGGACAAAAGCGAATGGTGGCAAGGAGAGTTGGCAGATGACATCTACCGTGTTCTTCGAGAGAAGGTATCCGTCTCACTCATTAATAGGCCTCCTACACACAGACACAAATCCTATGAACTGATTATATGGCACGTACGTTTGAGTGCTCAACTCGCAGTTGGAAGGTTGCAAGTTCAATCCTGTTCAGGGGGTCAACCCAGCCCCTGATCTCTCCGGGGACTATAAAATGAGTAATACGGTACCTTACGGAAACATAAAAGTGGCTGTGCTTTGGAGGTACGGATCTCCCACCTTATGAATCTGGTTTTTTTCACCATCAAAGGCTGAGGACTACCAAATGAGATAAACGCCATATTTCACTCCCTTGAACAGGGAGACACTTTGGCTGTGGTTTTTGTCATTCTTGGTCTGCGTGATGGCGAAAACTAAATGCTATGGCCCACCATAACCAGGCACATAGCCCCCTTAGACCCCAGAATAATCTATTATCGTTTCAAACACGTGACCTCTTGACCTAACTCAACAGCGTTCAACTGCCCTCCCAACCCCGTGTCCTCTTCTTCTTCCCTCACAGGAGCTGTCACTGCCTCGATTGTATGCACGCTCGCCCCAGCTGCACCTGCGTCGCTACTTCGTTGACCTCCTGGCCACACTGAGCGAGCACCTGCAGCTGAGCGTGGCCACTCACCACCTGGCCGTGTCAATGTTGGACGTGTTCATGGACCGGCACAACATCACTGTCCGCTGCCTCTACACCTCCTCAATCTGCTGCTTGATTATAGCAGGTCGGTCAATGGCTCACGTGCCCAACCACCTACCCACCCACTCGATCACTCGCTCACCTCTCGCTTGCACGCTTAGTTGCTCGTTCACCGTGAGCGTGTGTGCTCCTGACACCCTGCACAGCCAAGTTCGAGGAGAAGATTGAGCAGGTGCCACGACTGGACTGGGTGAACCGCCTGGAGGTGATGACCAATCGAGGACTGAGTCTGTCTAAGAAGGAATTGCAACAGACAGAGGTAGCTGCATGCCCCTATTAATTCGGCGTACAATGTTTAATCTCCAGAACCGTTCCATGCATTATCATGATTCAAGGTCACGATTTGATTCAAGAACCAATTGTTTTATCTTGTTTTTGTTACAATCTTGTTTGTGTTTTTCCTCATTATGTCTCGGTTTCCTTATTTTCTGCTCCGTGAGCCTAAATGTTAGAATAGAATGTAAGTTACATCGCAGGAGTTGGCACGTCAGCATGCATGTTGAACTTCTTTCGCACCGTACATAGCCAACCATGCCAACATGAGCATTATGAATGAATTTAATTAATACATTAATTCATCATTTTTCTGAGCCAGAAGTACCATCGTTGTAGGAGATTAACTGCTCGGATGTTCTTTCTCCATTTTCTTCTGATCTCATTCACTTCTGCCCTGCGCCGGCATTTCGTCTCTGTCTATGCACTGTTTCATGACAACTAATTATGCTGTAGAAAATTAGAATGCACAGCCCCAATTTGAATATAGAAGCATGTCTTCTTACGAGATAACAGGAAGGCAAAGGCTGCAGAATAACATCACCACAGCAGACCTGACAAACGAACGTGGAGCGGTGCTCATTTATTAGCATGGCACTTGAACAAGTGCAGGAAATTCTCCCTTCCTATGGTGGGGCTCAGTCTCTCCATAAAACAATCATTGTTAACTTTTCACAAAGTCATTTTATTTACCCGTACAGACGAAGGGCTGAGTTGACTCTTTGACATTTGAACTGTTTGCAAGCCATGCATCAACCGACTCGTTAAATAAACCCTCCAGGCAACACACAACAGTATGACGGACTGAATGCTTCATGGAGTGATGGCAGCAGTGTTGTACCAGCCCACTCTCCCGTCTGCCTTTCTCTCTGGACAGTTCATGCTGCTGCGTACACTCAACTGGAACCTGTGCATGCCCACAGCGGCGCACTACGTGGACTACTTCCTGTGGCTGACGAAGCGTGAGGACACCGCGGCCGGAGGCTCAAACGGCCACCAGCAGTCGTCCTTGTCCTACCAGCACGCGTACATGATCAAGTACATGGCCCACTTCCTTCAGCTCTCCCTGCAAGGTGCTCGCACACCTGTAGAGGAGCACTTCGTAGGCACCGACCTTGCACTGCTGAGATCACCAGCGAAGAAGGGACAATGCCTGAAATGTCACCGAATATATATATTTTTTTCCAATGTTGGAATGTGGTTAAAATGGCCAGGGCACCATTGGCCCAACGTCCCATGTTCACTGGGTGCTTGAGTGTTTAAGTGTTGATGTGTGTGTGTGCCTGCCTGTCATTCCTGTACGCAGGGGAGCGGTAGTGTAGCAGTTATCGCTACGACCCTGGCCACCCTGGTCCAATACTCGCTCAAGGCTAACACCAGTGACGATTATCTGAACCCGTCCTGGTCCTCCCCTAGGTTGACTCAGCCTCAAATGAGTAACTCAATGCGGTGTGTAAATGTCGGTCTTCATAGGTTTGTTTTGTGTGTATGTATGTATGTATGCAGACCACGTATTCCTGAGTTTCCGTCCATCCGTGGTGGCGGCTGCAAGCATAGCATTGGCCCGTATTGGGGTGAAGCTGGCCTCTGCGTGGACTCTGCACATGCATCACTGCACCGGCCTTGCCTGGGAGATGCTCCTGCCATGCGTGTCGCAGCTGATTGGGTGATCTGTTTGCACGACAAACAAAACAAAACTTCCCCAAGTAACCGTGTAGATTGTTGAGACAACTGCCATTGGCGAGCACCTACTAAAGCTGAGCACCTATTAAGGCTGAGCTGTGGCTCACGAGGTGGTAATGTGCTAATTTCTCTCCTCTGTTGATGTTTATATACCATACTGGTTACTCGTTAAAGCCGAATTTACCTAAGGGAAATTAAATATAGGTTATCTGCCATCATAGTGAAATTCGCACACACAGGTATCCACATATAAGCTTTATTTAGTTGTCATGGATATATATTTATTTATATTTGGCATCTGTTGCACAATGGCCTCCTCTTTGTTTTAGTATCTATGATACCGACTTGACAACAGTATTTGTCCTCTGGAGATATTGGCCTCCACCATTATAATGTTGAATTGACACGACTACCTCGATGCAGGCAGTGGTGATGAGTCCCACCGACATTGCTCATTTGATCTGGGAGATCCTTTCACTTTCCTTTGACTCACAGTTGATTTTAAAGCAGTGATGGTTTGGGCAGCAATGCATCATTGGTGGATGCGTTCTAGTCAATCACGGATGCCCTGAGACTCGGTGAGGGGCTCCAGCATACCCATGGACTCATTGGTAGATGGCCCCTTATGGTTGAGGTTTCTCATAACCTTGCTGAATTAAAAAAGCAGATGAACTCTAAACGATTAGACTTTCTTATCGTGCTGTTGATGGCTTCTTGGTATTTTGGGCCTTTGGGCCTGTGCTTAGCAACCGTGATTTAAAAATAACAATACAGTACTAAGTTGCACACTCTTAATTTTTTGAGATTGGGGAGTATGGTTTTCAGATTTTGCCCCACGGTTGTTACCACTTATGATATATTGAGGACAAACTACTACAAACCACAGTACTATGTAGTCGTGTTAATTACTGCAGTACATTCTACGTGTTTTTATTATATTGCTGTCAAGGGCACGGTGTGATATTGGGTTCAAGGATTACAAGATGGGCTTGAACCTAACATGATTAGACCCACAGGCATGGACCTGTCTTTTCTAACTCTGCGTCCTCTCCCTGTGTTTGAACCCTTCAGTAAATACAACTTCAACTGGAAGCAGGTTATGGAGTGTAAGGAAAAGCCTGCTGTCCACTCTGAGCGGTCGTCCCATTCAGCCTCAGCCGTACCACATGTGCCTCTTCACCAGTCAACTAAACAGCAGCAGCCGCCACAGCAGCCGCCACAGCAGCAGCGCTGGGTACTGAAGCTGTGCCCACGTAGCCTCGTGCCAGCCAAGCATCCGGTGCCAAAGCCGGTGCAGATGCTACGGCCACCTGTGGAGGTGGATCAGGAGATGGAGCCGCTGCTGTTCTGCAAAGAGACCCTTGGCAACACTGCGGATAACCACGATTTGGCCACGCAAGCCGTGTGTCAGCAGGAATCTGGCCATCAAGCCACACAACAGATAGATCAGCAGGCGATGCAGTACTTGATATTGCGTTCTCGGCAGGGCACCGATTTGAGGAATGCAGAACACAGAGCAAGTGTTGGTCAAAGCTCAGCTCCTCAGAGCTTTTGTCAGCAAGCTGGGGGCTCCAGCGAGCCTGTAGATTACCAGCAATCAAAGCGTCGCAAAATCTCCGTGACGGTTGCAAACTTAAAGTAATGAGGCGTCATGCCGCATGCCTCCATGATATCGCAAACCTGACTTCCACTGGTCAAGAGGCCAGCCAAACGCCAACAAATATGAGGTGGGCCTTCAGTTAAAAGCCATGCTGTTCGACACAGCTCCGCTCTGGCCATTTATATTTGGCCATAAAATTAAAATGGCCAAATAGACAAGTCAAAAATGTCTTCAAGCTTAAGTGAGCATTGATTGATGCTTATTTTCATGGGAGTTTCTTCGCCAATAAAGATATTTTCAGGACATGTCTATGAAGCTATAATTGCCTTTCCACAAAGCGGTACTTATTGCATCAATTCCAGAAGGAATACTTGTAGAATCCACCTCTGTGTGGGAATTGAACTGGCAACCTTCTAGTTATAGGTTGGACACTTTATCACTGCGCTACACTGAACAACATTACCAAATACACTGAACATAATGTGCCATCTGTTTAGCCATAACAATATTTGAGAAAAAAAGAACCATGCATGGAATTTGTACCAATCTCATGTCTCTTTTTCGGGGCATAGTGTTAGCCCAAAGCCATCCAGACACTTCCATTAAACTGTGCGAACTATGTTTTCTACTTGTTTTTATATATTACGTCCTTATCACTTACGCACCTCTTAAGAAGAATGTGTATTAAGGAAATTACGTGTAATTGTAGGGATGACAAAGTCAGGTTCGCAGTTTTCTGCATGGACATGTAAAACATACTGCTACAGACGGGTGTGATGCTGTCATTTCATTGTGGGTAATTATTTACACTTCAAATGGCACATTTAATCCTGAATCTCTTTTGCATATGAGACAAGAGTATCATTAATTGTTTGAGACTATTATTAATTTAGAATAATTTTTGTTACTGATGAAACGGTCTTCCTGCTCAAACGATCATGGCATTCGTATTTGTGGTCCTGATCCAGTGTTTGTAATTCCTTTAATATCACCAACACAAAGTCTTAAAATCTGTAATTAATAAGAAAACCCTATCATAACAGCGAAGGTTGTAAAATTATGTTTTATTTGCAAATAAACATCAACGGTTCCTTAAGGAGTGCATTGTGGCTATCTTACCTTTGGTCACTGTCAAAATACATTTAAGCAAATCTGACCAACTGTCAGGTAGCACTAATACAGAGATAGATAACTCTAGGCCTAATCTTGATTTGATGCGTTTTTGCCTGATGACGACTGCTTGTGTTGCGATCGAAACGTATTGATTTATTTTATTTTATTTCTAACTACGTGACTTTACCGAAAGATCCAAAGAGTATAATTCTAGGCCTATTTAGTCATTATTAAGAGCCATCAGTGCAGTATAATTACCAATGCTCACTGCAGTGAAGTCTGCTTCTGGCAAACCATATATGTGGAGTCACCACTTTTACACTACGGGGTCAATTAGCTGGGCTAATTCAAAGCTAATTGAGAAAACCCAATGACAATAGAAACAAACTCGGTGTGTGATGTCATACTACTGGTAATGCGAGATGATGGCATGTTTTTTTTCAGCAAAGAAGAACAATATGTCATCGATGGATCGCATGTTGCAAAACTCCCTTGCCGTGGGCGTTGATGCGCCATACCCTGGCTTGCCAGGAGATGGCGGTACAGCAAAGTACAGGGCGAACATCACATGCCCGCTATGTACAAGACGGTGTTTGCCCCCTTGTATGCGTGGGTGTTCTTAGGTTGCTCAGTTTTCCCCGCAGATGTATAAACACCCATGAATTGCCTGGAAACATCTTCATTTATAAAGGACGGCAGAGCTTTGGCAACTGTTGGTGCCGGCTCGCTGCCAGGGTGCCTTCCAGCTCGTCGGTGATTCCTCAGCGATTGTCAGATGCTATTTGCATGACCGACGCTGTATGTAACAAGTCCAACAATCCCCATCATCTACTCTGACATCGGGTGGGGAGGCTTAATCCAGCCATGGATTGATAAAAGGAGTGTGAAAGAAGAACACATGCTCATGCTGTAGCGGATTACTTTTATTGGTTTCCCTTCTGGCACCATCTCAATAAATGCTTTCGATTATCGCGTCAATTCAAATAAAATACACATTTACCCACGAGCAAAGTGTGGCGTTTGTTAAAATGTGTTAACATTTTGGGCAACACTTCCAGGCAATCAATATTAAATCCCTTTCTTCCACGAGCCACAGTTTACAGGTGCTACAATACTTGTAAATTATACTAAGTATCTTTCTAATCGCACATTCACAACAATTCCACTAGGTGACGGTAGCCTCACAAACATGAATTTACACACTCCTGGTTATAAACGATTGCAAGGACGTGGCTTGTCTGGCATTTATGCTCCATCTGTTTCCATCTCCAAACAACAAAACAGACACGTGGCATTTGGTGCAATGAGAACCAGGGGCAGTCCTCGGCTATATATCTGCCAGAGCAAGGCCACTGGCAAGTGGTTAGTGCTGGGGAGTTAAGGCCTTGGACAATGCTACTGACAATAGATAACAAACAATTTAATACGGTACAGTTTTACAGATTATTCCATTTGGTGTGTATCAGCAGAGTATGATTACATAACATATTGTTTATTTTTGCAATTATGTTTGATGCTTTTAAAACAAGCTGGGTAAATGTCAGCTGCAGGTAATGCGTTTTGACTATGTTACAAAGGCTACTGTTGACGTTGACCAACCTTAATGTGTACATTTCATGAAGATGACGTAAAATTTGGCAAGTGTGTGATTATATTGTTACTTATAAAACTGAATAATCAGTAATTATGTTTAAAAAACAAATTCTCCAAACTGCCATTTCAAATATCATCAATTTCCGAATGGCTCTCAAATCACCCTAGTCAGCCTCCAAATCCCAATCGTCACTATTATCTCATAGCTGTGTGCCTCCTGACTTCTCTGATATAATTCTCACCATCTCTCCCAATGTCTTTGCTAATAAAAAAAAACCCTTGATGAAAGTAGGAACAATAGGAACATAAATAAAAACCCACATTGTCCATGAGACAAAATGGAAATTGGTAAGACCTGAGATTTTAGTGGTTACCAATTTCCTTATGTGACGAATAAAAATGATTCATGTGATAGTCGTTTCAATGGCTGTCACATCTAACTACAGTGTAATCTATGGTCACATTTTAAAGGAAAAAGACGGCTAGGTTTTTCCAGCTCAGTTGGTACCCACAAGTGAAATATTATATCTTCTGGACCCACTGACTAACATTTATCCTGCACAATACATTATTACTGTGCATTACAAATGTGCACTCCATTGACCGATCTCGAATGCAATATTAGTGGTACGGCAGTTAGCGAACTGGTGATACGACTCCAGCCACCTGAGTTTGATTCCTGGCCACAGTCAACATCAGTGGCGAGTGATATCTTAACCATTTCTGTGTTTCCCCTTCACCAACGCACACAGACCAGCGTGGTGAAGTATGGTCGAAGAACCCGGACAACCGACATGGCCCACTCCCTTCAACAGTGCTGTGCATTATTCATGATGCTGCAGTGTTGTTGTGCACATCACTTCTGTCGATCCACTGCCCATCCCCCACGCCGTGCAGGTCGTGGGGGTCATGTGACCATACTTCACCGCGGCGGTCAGTGTGGATTTGTGAAGAACAGCAGCATGCAATGAAATGCTTCTGCAGTGCCCAATCTGGTGCATTTCATATGTGATCAGGTCATAGGCGCGTAATGTTTATACTGGCAGGAACCTCCTGGTTACACCAGCCCACAGGGGATTATTGTGTCCGTCCGTCGTGCAGGGAGGGGCTGGGTGGGGAGGGAGGGGCTGGGTGGCGAGGGTGGGGAGAGGCTGGGTGGGGAGGGTGGGGCTGAGTGGGGAGGGTGGGGCCGGGTGGGGAGGGTGGGGAGGGGCTGGGTGGGAAGGGTGGGGCTGGGTGTTGGGTGGGAGGGGTGGGGCTGGGTGGGGAGGGGCTGGTCACCCCGTGGTGCCCTTATAAAACTCAACGTTTAACCTACTCACGCCGGCTTGTGCCCGCCCTCACGGTCGGGCATATTTGCGGAATACACCACGCCGCCGTTGACCCTGGCCATTGACCGAGCAACCCAACGTTCCTACCAGCTCCCTCCGCAGAAATGTGTTTATTCTAATAGCTCAGTGGGCTTCACCTGGTAAGAAAAAAAAGTTGTTTTATTTGTATATATTACGTTATTTTTTCTTCATCTTTCCTATACTTTGCACTCATGTCGTGTTTGTTGTATTGTTTGTTGTTGTAAAGTTCTGACCCGACCCTATTAGACATCTGAAGAGCTTTATAGGTCATCGGATTCCTCCATTATAAAAGTGCATATACAACTGCATCAATACATTCCTTGTAAAGTTCTTTGCCAAATAATGTCCTCGTGTAATGCAATCGCCCATCGTCCACTGACTCATTTGCATAGCCGTCAACCCCTTATCAGTGCCATACCTATTACAGACCAACTCAGACCTGGTCACCCCGTGCCCCTTATACATCTCAACGTTCACACTACAAAGTCCCATCACAAGGGAGAAACACAGACACAATTGTTTTGCTGTTGCCCGTATAGAAACGTCTAAGTTGTCTTGTGGTTGTTGTTGTTTGATTTGCATCCCACTGGGATTTGTGCACACAGCGTTGGTGTACGGTGCTTTTCTGCAATATTTTTCTGTCTTTTCTCGGATTTTCTGTTTGCACATAGTCACATAGTCACTTTAGATGCTTTCTTGTTCATGTTTTTTGTTTGTTGCGGTTGCACCCGATTCAAGAGCCGAATGGCTCACAGGGCTATACCTAATAAATGAAACTGAAAATCTCTGTACGCCGTATGGAACTGTTTAACACGTAGACTTTCGCGATCAATATTATTCACAATAAAGTGATTTGGGTTAGATCGCGTAAGTATAAATGTGTCGTAACACTCCACCACCCGACACTGCCAATTAGTAAGCGATTAGTCAAGTAAACGAAACGCCAACTAGTGACGACTTCAAGTCCACCGGTGTGTTGGAGAGTCAATCCATAGCAGGGGTGGACAGCTCCTACGCCTTTGAGCACCATAACCAACTTCTCAACTCCGCCGGTAACAGCGTGCGGCGTGGCTCGGAGCCACAACCCCTGCACCGTGCAGCGTCGTTCCCCCTAAAATAAGAATGAAAACACAAGCCTACGGTCGCGCGCACGTGTTTCTCGTGGCAATCCGACAGAAGGAGGTGCGCGCGCGCGTAGTGGGAGGGAGGGGGCGAATGGGGGGGGAGGAAGAGAATTACCCAAACCCCGCCCCCTCACCCAACAACACCGCCGCTGATTGGCCGAGCCGTGCGGGCCGCGACCCAATGATAAGCGGTCGTGCTGTCCTGGTTGAACTTAAAATCAAGATGGCTCCACGTATAAATACACGCTGGGGGCTCCGCTCTGTCGGTCGCGTTCCGCGTCTCCTCGGGCCGCAGAGGGCCACTCGTTACCCCGGTCGCGTCTCCCGAGGCCGCGGGAAGCAGGGCAGCGTCCCATGCAAAGAGCAGCGGCCCCGTCGGCAGAGGAGCGCGCGGTCAAGCGGCGCCGTGGGGTCCCCGGGCACTGTCAGGAGGCGCCGGGTCTCACCGCCCACTAGGCCGCGGCCTCCTTAATTTATTATTTTAATAGTTACCCCGTGATTTGTACATCTCCATGTAACCGTCGCGCTTGTTTTAGTACAGCGGCAACGTTTAGTGTGCAAGTTGCGGCGCCCCGTGTACGTGCGTGGACAACGATGGCCGTTTCCAGGTAAAGTGGAGTTACTCCTCTGCCGCTACCCCTCCTCCCCCTGGCACCACAGTGCGGCTGTGTAGCTGACCTCGTCCTTCTCCTCGGGACACTGGGACCGAGTGGCCACCGCTCTGTGGGGCGCTTGGTGGTGCGTGTCGACGTGAGAGAGAGTGTGACAAAGGCGGCCGGGCGTCTGTTGCGGTGGCCCCCTGCCAGCGGCCTCAACACGTGCAGCGTCGGCGGCCTTAATAGGCGCTCTCCGATGGTGCTGTTTTTGGATAAACTCTGGTGGTGTCCTTGCGTTGCGGTTGGTCGTATGAAACACATTACTTTCACTGTGTAAAGCGGTACAAGCTCCTTGGCAGGTAACAGTGTTGTCATGCGACCAGGCTTTGGTGTCGGGGTGAGAAACGGCCTATTGATTTAATAAGCACTCATTTCCTGTTAGTCGCAGCGTGACAAAACATCGCCTTCATTATTTCCCATAGTTCAGCCTGATGTATTCACAGGGTATGGGCAGTACAAGTTTCTGACATTTCTGCATCTTGTTAAAATAAGATTTTGAAGAAAAGTTTCGTGAGCGATTAAGGAACCCACAGGTCCAGTATGCCGTATACGGATCCAGTTTAATCGCCCTCGTAAGGTTAAATGAGAGCATGTGGGAGGCTAACGCAGCGTTATTGGTGTCGTAACGCAAATGATGCAGTCCGTCTGAAAGGGGGGGGGTTTAATTAGAAGAAAGCGCCACAGTCGAGGTGTGTCATTTAAAGAGTGGGTAGTTGTCGCGCGTGTGCTGATTGCTGCTTTGAAACCGCAGCCCAGAACACCATCACGACTAATCTGTAAGCCAATTTACATGTACCGGTTGCGGAGTTGAATGCTAATACAGTACAGTATATCGCAATTATGCACACTGTTTACATGGTTGTGCAATTATAATGTTTGTGATGTGTTTTTTGGCAACGGCAATGTCGGTTCATTTGTACGTTTCTGTTCTGCGAGTGTTTTACCGTGCTTTGAATAAGAGGAGTGTATGAGATCCTAATGGTGTTGGACTGTTAGATTTAATCCCGTTATACTCGAGGGGCTGTGATCTTATTCGCGAAGTCTTGCGGTGCAGATGTGCCATTGACGTCTTGCCGGGGCAGCGGTCTGCCCGCTGTGGAGCCTCGTTGTGAATAATGCATGCAGAAAAGGAAAGTGTGGCAATTGGGCGTTTCAATAATGATTTACTGTATAACAATTAATTTGGCACTGCACACCTGTATACATCCATAAACACTAATGTGGTGATTTATTTTATTTGACGTACAACATTATGAATGGTATTCTAATCTATATCAATGATTTATGTGCTTAATTATCTATTCTCTAACCAACCAAACATACTTAACATTTGATGCATTATATTACTTAAATATTGTCGTCCCAATTCTCTAAGCACTCAAGCGTGATCATGCTTTCATAATGCCCGAGTAGTGTCATTTGGTACTATATATATGTGTGTCCATAATACCGGTATTTTGGGTTAAATAACCTAAATATATAAATGTGTCGTTCAATCCACCACCACCCGACACAACCAATTGGTAAGGTTTGTCATGGATGATATGGGTCGCGAAAGCCGACGTGTTTAAAATAACTACGTGATATGTACATGAAACCCAGAACTCACGGGAACACATCTTGCTGTGAACCTTCCAAAGGAACCATATGTGCAACATAATGATCCTAAGGTTTTGCCACTCCGCTTCGAGACGCGCACCAACTGCTTGATACGATGCCCACTTGTTCTTCTGTTGCCTCGGAGTGCTGCTTCCATTGGTTGATGGCCAATTTTGTCAGTTTTAGCAGCAGTCAACGAAGTTGCATTTAAATCTAAACATTACGTTATTCCTATTTTGAATAAAGGTCATTTAGACATGTATGTACTCAATAGTAAAGTTGGAACAATAAACAGCTGATTGCAGATAACTTCTACATTCTCATCAGTAACCAAACATTCCAACTTGTATGGCCAGGACCCATATTCTATTTCATTTTGCAGATATATAGTGAATAAAATAGCCAACGTATGGAATGCAATATAATTTGTATAGCACCTAATAAGTCTTAAGCTCAGCAGAAGTAAATAGCAATAGTTTACATTATTGTTTGTGTAGCAGAAAATGTGTTCGTCAAATACATTGCCCATTGTTTTTATTAAATTTCAGATGCTTAATTGCTGTTGATTTTGGATTCCAACTTGGGTATTTTGCATTTGAGGCCATGTGTAACACTAATATGCTCCACCAAACAGACATTTATTTTCGAGTTGAATATATATTCACATTTACCACTGAAAAATTGGTACCCTTTGTTTTACGCATTGCAATGAAAGCAGATTGTTTGCATTTACAATTGATCGGTGTCACATTGTATCCAACGTGATATTAATTACTTTTGACTTTTCCTAATCTCATCTGTTTCATGCTGTGTGTGCAGGTGTGTGTGTGTTTTAATTGGTAATATCTGAAGGGAATTTGACTTCTCTTTGTGTTTGTTAGGTTGGACCGGCTGTTCATTCTGTTGGATACAGGCACCACTCCAGTCACTAGGAAAGCAGCTGCACAGCAATTAGGGGAAGTTCAAAGGCTTCACCCACATGAGCTTCACAACCTTCTTGCAAAGGTATCTTTACACCTTTTGACTTTTTATCAAAATATTCACATAGTCCGTCTTGTATTTTCACCAATTATAATAAATCTGTTTGTAATTGGCATCAAGATGGTGCAGGTTTAGTGCACCAACATGGGAATTGGCAGCCTCATCCACTCATTCTCAATTTAATTGGGTCAACGTTTGCAATATGAAACCACATTTTTAACAACTTAAAGAAATTAGATGTCTTTGAAAGCACAATCAAAAGATGAATGTGATTCCTACCTAGAAAACGTCTCAAGGGAATGTGCATGTTGATGCAAAAAAATGTTTACCGCAAGATCTTGATCAGTGTCATCAACCAATGTGTTTGTAAAAAAATAATTGGTCTTCACGAAAGGTTTATTCAAGTGTTTCATGTATCGCATGGCAAAGTATTGAGGAAATGTAATGTTGAAGGTTGGAGAGTAGCTAGTCAGCTAAAAACTTTAACTCCTGTTGGAATGGCAATAATTATTGTGGCTGATGTAAAGTAGACTTCTTTTCTAGACTTTCACTCCTAAGGCTAAATGGAGTGCACACTGGTTTAAAAAAAATGTTTCGTGGTTTACCACTTGTGACTATCAGCAAGAAACAGGTACACGGTGAAACCATTTTTTTGGTTTTTCCTTACAACGGCACATTGAGCATAGTTTCCGTAAGTCTACTTGGATTAAAATGTGAGATGGGGTGATTCGGCCTAGACACACACCCTTGGTTAGCTCAGATAGGTATGCCCCATTGCCATGGTGAAACCGGATTTGCTGACACCTTAATGTACAATGTCAGTTTAGAGGTACTGCTTATCCGTAATTCCATTCCACATGGTTTAAATGTTGGATTCGTGGCTGTGGTCTGGTCATATTTTTGGCCCTGTTTTGGAAACAACAAGCACGCGTGCGTTCTAGGTCAGGGTTAATACATTTTTTGTTCAGTGCTACATGAAGGCCTCTGCACATCACAGCAATAGTGGGGATTATTTGACCATACTTTACTATCTTGTTTCGTTTGATGGTTTGTGATTGGGGAAAGTCTAGGACTGGTTGAAATATATTTTTCACTTTTGTTAGCTGTCTCTAGGAGTAAAATTTGGGTCGGCCAAAGTCATTGCGGAGTGCGTGTACCACTGCGCCACTGTTCCACTAGGTCGGATTGAAGCACCTGTAATCAAAATGCATCGTCAATGGTTTGTGCAGTGTATACAGCCAATACCAGGGGTTGGGCACCCTGCGGCTCCGAAGCCACATTCGGCTCTTTTACGGATTCCATTGTGACGTTATTTATGAGGTACAGTCTCATAGTTGCGTGCATTGTGGCTCTTGAAATATATTTCTTTTGTATCAATTCGAGAAACATTGCTGCTCTTTTTATTTTGGTTGCTGACCCCTGACCATGGCTGTCGGGTTCTCCGTGGAAGACGGGGTCGGCAATCTGTGGCGTTATGTATTAAGGACTGTCTCATATTCACATGCATTGTGGTTCTTGAGATATTAAGTTTTTTACCGAATTCGACAGACATGGCTCCTCTTGGTATTTTGGTTGCAGACCCCCAGCCTACACCATCATAGGCTCTTGTAATCCAGGCTTTAGTGAAGCTGAGCTATTTCTAGGGAGCAGAACATGATCGAAGTAGTTATATGGGCTGTAAACTGCATGTTTTCTACTCGAGTCTACATTGTTTTACTTAATTTTGCAGGACACATCCAGTAATTGTCTACGAACACTTACCTCCATACCAGCTTGTAGAAAGTCCTACTATATTCTACCATTAATGGGACAATTGTTTGTACTTTCATTGGCTTTTATAAGGTTATCCACCATTAAAGGCTCGTACCATATCACTTTAAATAGAATAAGATTATATCGTATTTTATTTTGGCCATGTGTCACGGGCTATGCTCTTGACCCACATTTAGCAACTCATGAGTTGTTATTTTATTAGCCATCATCACCCATAGGGTAAAAAATAGAAGAATCAAAGACCACTTCATTTAACTTGTAGGAATCACTGGCAAAGGACCATCAGTAGTAATGAGCAATGCCCTCTCATTTGAGCATGAAGGTTTTTTTTCAACGTTTTACTGCTTTTGAGCATATTTCTCAAGTCTTTGCATTCACTGAGGCTATTGATTCTAATTGCTTGTCGAAATGTCCTAAATATATATCATTACAATGTAATAGAAGTACCAGTGCAACCATCACCTAAGCTGATGAGCGCTTTGCTTTGTTGCAGTAATACTGCTTGCTTTGACATTAATGAATGGATTATTGCTGGGCTGGCCTCATCAAACTGGCAGGCTGCAATGGTTGTCATGTGGTTTGCACTTTGTTTATATGCTGTAATTCTATACCGTGTTCATAGATTTAATAAATGACATCTCACTTGAAATATGCATACTGTATTTGGGTTCCGTGTTGCTCGTAAAGAATATGGAAGTGCCTTTTACTTCCCAATAATATTCACTATCATAGAATGTAGTTTGCATGTTCCTCTATTCAGTGGTGCATGCTTATAATCGTTCACTGTGGAGTCAAGGATTGGTGCATTCCATAGATGTTTGTAAGGTTACCACAACATTACGGTGCAGCAAGTGGGTTGTGAAATTGTCCATGTGGAACTTTTCTCCAGGTAATGAGTATTTCCCACAGTCGTTCATGAAATTTTTCAAACGTCCAAATGCAGGACCAGCCAGCATTAAGTATTGAGGCTCAGTGGCTCATGCATGGTCGTAATAGTCCTAACTTTATGTAGCGGGTGCTTTTTGCCGATCCAAAATTCTGTGTTTATCTCCAAAAAGGAAACCCTTATCCATGTGGACACCTGTGGATGAATGCAAGAGGATTTGCCATGTCTTCCGGTTGATTTTTTTTATCTGTGAAATGCTCGTGGATAATGGGAGGTTTGTGTGTTTCTGGGAAACCACTGTCAAATGACTCGCAGCCACGGATTAAGGGAGCAATTCACCTCTCGACTGCTTATGAATACCCACTGATAAGAAACACGAGATAGATGTCGTCTCTGGTTGTTGTGTCACTACTCACTACTGTGAGGCATAATGATATTAAGGCGATTCACCTTACCTATTTCTAGTTAACTCTACATGTCCGTGGATAACCACTTTCATTACACAAATCTAGAAAACACCATCGCTATCCATTTCTCTTTATATGCAAAAAAAGGTCCAGAAAGTCATGTAGATATCATTTTGAATGAAGTGATTTAAAATAAGTGAAACTTGATTTGTAAATTATCCGAAGGTCAACTCTTGTCTTTAGCGCATTGGGTATTTTACAACACATTCCTGCCGAGGGAGCTGGTAGGAACGTTGGGTTGCTCGGTCAATGGCCAGGGTCAACGGCGGCGTGGTGTATTCCGCAAATATGCCCGACTGTGAGGGTGGGCACAAGCTGGTGTGAGAAGGTTAAACGTTGAGTTTTTTATAAGGGCACCACGGGGTGACCAGCTCCACCCAGGCCCCACCCTCCCCACCCAGCCCCTCCCCACCCTCCCCACCCAGCCCCTCCCCACCCTCCCCACCCAGCCCCTCCCTCCCCAGCTAGCCCCTCCTTGCACGACGGACGGACACAATAATCCCCTGTGGGCTGGTGTAACCAGGAGGTTCCTACCAGTATCATTATTCCTAATGACACGAGTTGTCCAGACGTGTTTCAAATTGCTCTTGGTGCCCTTCCTGCATCTCTACCTCATATCATCTATGTCTTATGTGCATCCATAGATATACGTGGAGGTTATGGCTTTGGTGCTGGTGTGTATTCCTCGTCTTAGAAAGTCATCTGTTGTTAAATCTCGAAAAATTATACCTTAATGTCACGTGCTGACATTTATACATGGGTTTCTGAACTATCTCGTGCCGTTTGGTGTCTTTGTCAGTGTTTTTTTTAAGCACATACACCCACCAATTATTTTAATATAGTACTTCATAACATCATTGCACCTCCTATTATTATTAGTCAGAATTAGGCTACAAGATTAGTCTATGATTTAAAAGTGTGATTTTGTAAACTTTTTTTTTGCTTTCACAGCTTCCGCTATGCAAGAATCTGGGTGTTTTTAGAATTAGGTCACTGTTTAATTGCCAATATGCCGATTGTTTTACTTTATCTGGGCCACATGAAGTTAATGGGATTCCTCTAGTTTTTATTTGTCAATTGCTGTGGTCCTAAAACTAAATTTAGTGCTCCACTTCAAAATATACGTTTTCTTAAATATGTCCTGTTTTATATAAGAGTTGGAGGTCTTTTACATTGAGCATATATTTTTAACAATGTATTTCACATCTTACAAGTGAGTTGGACGTTATGGAACATCCATTTTAAGTATGGCCTGCGAACCAGATTTAAGTGACGTTAATCAATGTTGTGATGTTTCTTTGGTACGATTTTAGTTTTATTTATAGAACATCATCTGACTGGTCGTAATGACCCAGTTTGTGCACAATGTAGCACGCATTTTTTTCCACCTGCAAAAATATAAAGGGGGTCTTTGTATAAAGTGTTTACTTTGTATTGGCTCCGTTAGTCTGAAATGAGAACACTCAGCTGCTGCCATTCACCAAGTGCGCACACCACAGAGCTCGTAGGCAGATTTATAACCAAGGGTGACCTGTATCCACGAGCACAGGACATTCACAGAAACCGCAGTGTGACACATTATGGGTTCGCCGATAAAAAAAAAATCAAGTGCCCTATAATTACTGAAAAAAATATTTCCCAATTGCACAGTAAACTATCAATGTGTTCTACGAGTGCAATATACAATACTAGCTTCACTACCCGGCTTCGTCCGAGGCTTGGAATCTTGTCTTGGATTAATACACGGCCTACTCGGAGGGTTGGGGGGGGGATGCGTGGCGTCAGCGGGCACACCGCGTGACGCTGCCGCATGCAGGTGACATCACAGATGTGACGTCACCGCTCACTTTCCGTGCAAAATATATCCAATATTGCGCCCCCCCCCCCCCCCCCCCCAAAATACAAAAGTATATTCTTATTATTTTTGCATTGTGTACAGTCTGGAAGCTACTCACATGCCAAATTTCAAGTTTTTTGCATGTTGGGAAGTATGCTAAACAATTCGAACAGACACACATTCACAAATTTCCATTTTATATATATCGATGTATACCACTTTGCTGAAAGCATTTGATAACCCTTTCATTTTTCTGAATGTAAATCCTCACGTAATTTTCTAGGCCCGCCGGCAGGTCATGTAGCCTTACCCATCATTGACAAAAGACATCGATTTACTCAGTTATTTTGATATTCTGGAAAGTTTTTTTATTGACCACATTTCATCTTCGTAAGATTTTAAGCATGAGATTTTGTTATATTTACACGATGCTTTAAGATAAATCCTCTTGACCCTTCCTTTGACAGTTATAATTGGGTGCATGGCCTTGGGAGCAGGTCTACTGCAAGAATTAACTCTTTATCTTCTCAAACGACTCGACACACGTACACAACACTGCCTCAAAATACAATGAAGAAACGGCTCATGTGTTGTGGGCACGGGCCATTTGCTTAGATGTCGCCGATGTGTGTGTATGTGTATATATTTTTGAGGCTGTGTTGTCAACGAGTGAGTTTTCTGTTGATTGTGCTTTTGCACCACTGCCAACACAGCATCGGCAGATTTTTTTTTTATAGATATTTTTCAATGTAAATGCAGCTTGTGCATACTTCAACATCAGGTATGATTTGTGTCATGTTGACTGAATGTTGAAATGTACTGACTTCTGAAAGCATATACGTGACATAGTGTTGCAGAAATTGTTTGAAATTGTACCATGTGTAGTGACACAGCGCTGACTGTTGTACAGCAGCTGCAACTGCAGGTAGACGCTTAGCGCACACGCCATTGAGCATATACATGGGTGTGCCGGCAGGGCAGAGGAACTTGGGCAAGGGTCACGGTAGACCTCGTGGGGAGGCCCCTCGAACCCTCTGGTGGGTTCGAGAAGAGAGGCACGGCCTGGGCGGAGTCAAGCCGCGCCAAGGGAAATATAAGCAGCGGAGAGCAGAGCTCCGGGCAGCCGGTTCTGGGAGTGGACTTGTCTCGCCGCTGCCTTCGTTGCTGCCGCCTTCGCCCGATCATTGCACGGCCGGACAGAAGTTGGCTGTCTCGGGCAATGCCGTCGGTGCGACACGGACAGGGTTGTACGGCAGCGTGGTGGTGGGAGAGAGAGGGGGCCGGAGATGGTGGCGTGAACGCGAGAGATAATAAAAGAGAGAAGGACGGTGCCACCTGCGACTACCTCTCACTCCAACTGAGTGTGTGTGTGCTGAACGCCACCCGCACACACACACACACACAAACCTCGGGGAGAAGGAAGAAGAGACCTATAACACTACACATGTATGATCACGGGAGATATTGAAGACTGAAAGTTTCTGGTGAAGGACACCTTTCTGTTCTGCGTTGATATCCTCGTCGCTGTTTAACTGCACTGCACTGTTTTAAACACATGCTTTAAGTAAGAGGCTGAGGTTTTGCCCCTATTTGGATTTGAGTGATGTCTGCAAGAGTGTACTTGGTACCATCTGCAAGGGAGATTAGACCTGCTCTGTGGAGTGTGAATCTGTTTGAGAGTGGCAGGCATTGTTTAATTTTACAAGCACATGGGACAAAAACACATGCCATTCCCCACACATGCATGTGTTTGCAATGAAATTGATAATTCGGGCTCAAATGGAGACTTTGTGTCCAGGCATATGGCATACTTCCTTGCATTTGTGACGTTGGCAGAATGAATGAAGGGATGCGCATGTTGGATGATTTTCACTTATTGGGAGGTGGTCAAATGTAACATGCCACGATCCAAGTGAGTTGTGTATAGTCATCTCATTGAAAGTGTTGACAGGCACCTGAAGTCGTGGTGTGGTTTTATAATTTGGATATAGATGTTTAAGTTGTGTATATATATGGGATCCTTATACCAGAAAGGGTTAAGCATTTTTGCATTGTGCTCATTATTATGCCATAAGCAATAAGAGACGCGAATTTGCATTTTTTTTATTTAATGCAATGCTACAACAGTGTCAAAAGCGTCACGGAAACCAGAATTAATGTTTTTCATGTCTGGCCATGTTTTGGAGATATACTTGTAATGTGGATAGGAAAATGGAGTATTATACTGTGACAGTATTATGCATAAGTTAAAGTACTTGTATATTCTCACAGATAAGCCAAACTACTTTCTATTTTTTATTAACTGGTCTCTAGCCTTACAGGGCTGAGTGCAGATGATGGTGCTATACCAACCACCAACCCCCAAATTCGTTCTTATTTATCGAACGAATTTATATAATGCAATAGTGCAGTCCAGTTCACAAAAGTTTGGGCCCTTTGCCAGAGTGGAACTGCGAATGCTCGTGCCAACCACATCCCCACACGTGCAGGACAGTATAAATGCCCTGTTGCTCCATGGGTTGGTTGCTGACGCTCAGCTAGAGCACTGTCCCATTTGGTTTCTACAGCTGCCCTTTTGCTCTTTTACACTGCTTGCTTATTGGATGAGATATTCGTCATTGAATTTTATACGTGTATGGTCGAAAAATGTATGTTTTCTGGTCCACGTGGTGCTGCGGTTACAGCACTTCACTCTTAATCAAAGAAGGGGTGAGTTCAAACCCTAGCCGGTGGTTTGCGCAGCCCATCCTGCTAGTCTGATAAAATAGATACTGCATTGGGAAAGTTGACTGGTAATTGTAGGGATCGACTGGCTTCGGTTATTGGATCGTGGAATTTCCATCATTTGCTTTGGACTAGCATTGAAGATAATTACTGCTCATTTGATCAGGGCGACGTTTCATTTACCGAATACAATTTGCGATATTTCATTAGTCCGCACTAACCGCAGGACAGTGCCGGATAAATAAAATGTAAGCATACACACAAACAAATATGGAACATTTTTTGATCTGAACTTTTAGATCTAAAAAAGCAATGTTTACAGCAATTGTTGATGCTGATGGAACTGATATCTAATCTCTTGCCAGGTTACTGCTTAAAATGGTTGTCACTTGGCTACCTTCACTCCTGCAAGAAGAAACCCATTTCCATTTGTCTGGTTTGAGATCGCAGGATGGGCTAGTCACGCGTAGTGACACACACTCCATGTATTATTGCATTGCTCGCGTGTTTCTGCAGGTGATAACTTACTTGAGGAGCCCCAACTGGGACACGCGCATCGCTGCGGGCCAGGCGGTGGAGGCGATCGCCAGAAATGTGCCGGAGTGGAATCCCCTTCCGAAGTCCAAGTTGGGTGAGGAAAATGAGGGTGCTGTCGCATTGACCCAGATGACCTACACATACCATCTCTACGGACTCATTTCTATGAACACCCAGAATCTGGTTTTGCTTGTCTTGGAAACAACCTGGAGGCCCAGTCCAGCACACAGGCTCCCAATCCCCACTCCTGTTCTGCAAATAGTGCTTCAAGGGTTTACCCTCTGCTCAATCCATACACCCCTGGAGGGTTCTGCAAAGCTTTTTCAGTAGGCAGTGATGGTTACTACGTTTATTCCAAATGAATAATTTGCATGCTTTTATTGTACATCAAAATGTGCCTTAAGTTGGTTTTATTGGAATAAGCTGCCAGGCTACATTCAGAACCATTCATTTGATGCTGGATGACGTTCAAAGTGTCCAATAAGACGTTTAAGGAATGCGCATGGCTGTGTCCTGGGCTTTTCCAACATGTGCAATAATTTAGCACCAATTGGCTCAAATGTAATAATCCATGTTGGCATTGGAGTGATGTACGAGGCAATGAGCGTATCTCATTGATAGATTTTTTTTGCGTTGAACTAGTTACTGTTGGTTCCACCAAAGCTCAATGAAGCACACTCCAGGGGTGGCTTACTAGATAAGGTGTCTTTAAAATCATTCTGCTGCTCAGTAGAGTAACAAATACGTGGGGTTGTAATTCTGCTGTCTCTCTTTTGATTCCAAGTGGGGCATCGGGTCTGAGATTCCTGTCTGATCCTGGTGTCTGAGAGCGTGGGTGTATGTTAGACAAAATGTCATAATTAGTTGAACAAAGTATCTGTCTTAATGCCAGAACATGTCTGTTGATAAAGTGTTGTGAAAATGCACCAAAGCTTTGAACATTTTCTGATTGTGTAAAAAGTTATAATGGGCATTGCGATTGTCTCATCATGCTGCTGATGAGACGTAATCTTCGTGCTGTGTGCGCCTTGTGCATTTGTAGAGGGGGAGCAGGGGCGGCAGAGCCCCGACAGCCAGGATGACGACCGACTGGCGTTCCGCAGGTTCGACATCGCACGGTTGCTCAAGCACGGCGCATCCCTGCTCGGCTCCACAGGGGCAGAGTTTGACGTTCAAGACGACAAATCTGGTAATGAGACACACATTCGGCCATTTGGCATATGCCCGGTAAAGAAATCCATTTTCGTTTGTGGCATCATAAGCCAAGTGGTCTATCCACTACTAGATGAAGGCCTCCCAACACCACAGCTGTCCATCACAGTCCAGTGCTACGATCATCATTCTTGACATTAACTGTTTTTTTAGCTTTATTTTTTGTGGTGGTTGCCCTCTTAGATACGTTCTCTTCTTTTGCGATGTGCCCTGCATATGTCCATTTACTTTTCTTAATTTGTAAATAACATAGCTCTGATTTGTGTTTGTTCCTGGATAATTGTTTCTTTTTCTATCTTGGTGTCATTCCAATAATACATCTCTGCACGCTTCTCTGTGCACTTTTTTTTGCTTCTTCCAAATTATTTTCTGATTATTCTTTCGGTGTCATGAGATGAAGAATGATCTTTTTTTAAGTCGGTGAGCGGTGTAACGTCATCTTCCCAGAAAAAAGCCCTCGGAGAAATTTTCAGAACTCTGATCATAACTTCTAATAAAGTGGTTTCAGTAGGTGTCTATTGACACCGTGGGCATTCCTCTTCAAAGAGCATCGCATATCAAGAAGACCACAATGCTTTTTCATTCATGTGGAAAACCACATGTAATGTCATGCTTTTAATGTGTCGTCTTTGGTGACTGGGCTTGAGCCCATGTTGACCCATGATACTGTATAATACAGTTTAATCATGGGTAGCCAAAACATGGATTCAAATTCAAACCCAGAATCTTGCCATTGCTGGCTCAGTCTGCTGAAACATTATTAGCTCTGTGAGCCACGTGGCACACATGTCAAGGACTTTGCAGAGGTTATATGAGCTCCCTGGTGAGTTGAGAAAGCAAAAATGTCGTCTTGTGCAAATAAACACCCATTTGCGATTGGTGTAAATTCCGCATTCTCATGACGGGGTCATTATCTCCATGGAATCAAGAATATTGCCGTTCCACAATGTACTTACTCCATTTTGTTGGCTGCAGAAGGTTGCCATGTGCATATTCCTGACTGGTATTGGAACCCTATAATCGTCAAATTGTGAATTTTTACATTTGAAGCATGAGACCAGATTGTAAATAATTGGGGCCTTGTGCTTGGCTTACCATGTTATATTGAGCATGTGCAAAGTGTAGTGAAATCATCCTTTAAATTGCAAATACATTGAGGAATGTGCTGGTTGTATTCACTACTAGAAGGCCTCCAAACACCACAGCTGTCGCATCACGGTTCAGTACTGCTATCATCATTACTCACACCTACAACTGGCTCTGGAAGAAACCGTGCTTTGTGTGTTTGAGTTGTTCAGAGAATGTATTGTGCTTCTAATTGCCTCTTTGAATTCACCAACATTCATTCCGGTCATGAAAAGGGAATAAGGTATATTCATACATTGGCTTACAATTTGCTCCAGATCTATTTTAATTTACCTGATATTTGACCTCTTCTATTTATGGAATACTCACACACATTCTCACACATGAGTAGCAACAGCCTGACGTTTGGCGAATTCATGTACACTCGGCTGAGGCTTCGGGAAAAATGCCGCCCAGTGGTGATGCAAATATCGAATGTTGTGTGCCGTGGAAGCTCGTTATGAAATAAACCGGTCGATTTTCTCTTGGGTGGGAGACTATTGAGGTAGAATTTCTTTTTTTTAGGATTACTGTGCAATTATTTGGCCTTTAAGTGCAAAATGTCCATGTGCAGTCACACTTTTGTTAATTCATAATTGAGGGCTTTAAATGTCCAATGGGGCCCATTGTTAGTGATTCCTCATGCTTGGTGACCTTAACTGTAGGCGGACTGCTTTGAGGTGTCGTGCCACAAGATGTTTGTCACCTTTGGGGGAGGAAAAAAATCCATTTTGTGAGGAAAAAACATTTTAAAGGTGGTGTTTTCAATTGCGTTCAATAATGGTATTGTCATTGTGACTGTTAGAAATTGTGTGGAATTTTATTTTATTTTTAAAGGCCAGCAGTTTCTGCCAAATGCTTCTGTTTGACACCTCTGCTATTTGTGGAGTGCGTGGGGTGTCTTCACAATGTGTTCATATAACCTGTTCTTTGTGCAACAATTATCATTTGCCAGATAAATTTCGAGTTATAAGAAATTCGTATAATTATTTTGTAATCTTTGAGCTCTGTGCTTTGCAAATTGATGGTAGAGTGTAGTGTTTAATTTCTTTGATAGAGTAATAACCTGTAATATTGCTTAATTGTGTTGTTCATTCACATAAATAGTTTCATGTAGGCATGTAGCCATGCTCATGCAAATAAATATCGGTTTAAGTTACGATGCTATTTTTCTAAATTTGACGTTCATTTGAGTAATTCCTTGTTTAACACGGTACATGCGTTGCTGAAAAGTGCCTCGTTAGGCAAACACGTGTAAAACGAGGAATTGCTGTACTGAATCACGTTTGCCACTGTGAACTGAAGTCATCCAATGGTGCGACAAAAACCTGAGATGAGAGAAAACTATCACTGCACCGCTCTGGCGCAAAGCTCAAAGAAGTTCATCATGGACCACTCAGAAACTGCGTTGATAGCGGTCCGCGTTGTGCGAAAAGTGTTTCCAAAGAGTAGAATTGTGTTATGGCGAAAACGTGTTGTGTGAAAAACACGTTTTTTAAATGAGGACTTGCCTGTACAGCTATATTGAGCAGCATACAACTCGCTTCTCATGAAGCCATATCTCGCGGACACATTAAATTATTAAGCTTAAATTAATGAACGCTGTAGAGAGTGGTGCACAGAGTCTTCAAAAGTGCAGCCATAATTTATTGATGGTTGTTTCATTGTGGTATTGTATGGAGTGAAGTGTTCATTCTGTATCACAAGGCAAGGCTTAAGAGGTGGGTTACATAGGACCACTGCCGACATTGCACTGCTCTATACTTTTAGCTCTAGGTGAGTGGTTGTCAACGTGGTTTTGACTAAACCCTTTGAGCCACTTAAACCATTACTGAGCTTATGAAGAATTACTGTTTTAAAAATCATAATTACACATGCAATGCAACACATTTGTAACTGTTTTTGGTTGACTCTGCAGTCATGTGTAGGGGTGGTGTGCAGATTTGACGCACATCCACCTTACCTACTTGAACCCCAAGGGGCTGTGTGGAATTCCGAAGGACCCTTTTGTTGTTTGGAGACCTAAACAATTATACAAGCAGTCGGGGAACCCCAAAGTGACCCCAAATGGGTAATTAGATCCCAATTGATAAGAGCAGTGCAATGATTTAGACTGCCTACAAGGTACGAATGGGTAACTAGATAAACATGTGGTGTCTCGCACGGTAAAGGTCAATGCTTGGCGGTGGTGGCTACACTATGCCAGAATCTTACGATGTGCTTCCACATGCACTATTCTCACTGGCTGGGGGTCGGACCGTGCGCCCCTGTTCAGATGTGGACCCCAAGGAGCGAATTGCACGGCAGAGGAAGCTGCTGCAGAAAAAGCTCGGTCTGGACGTGGGCTCGGCGCTGGGCATGAACACGCACGAGCTGTTTGACGACGATGACCTCAACGCTTCCTCGTCCAGCACCAACCACACCAAGCCCCAAGTACGCAGCTAAGGGCACGTGCCATCCCTGGAAAAAAATATTAGTCGTTTGGCAATAAATTTTTGTTGATAATTGTTGGCAAGAATTGTTTACATGTAGCTTGTTTGTGCCTTTTCTCGTACGAAGGGTTCAAGTTGTTAAATCGCAGTCATGGAATAATGAATATTGCTCTGGGAGGGAAGGTGCAGGTGTCATCTGCTTTCTGCCCGGGCTCGATCGGAGGCAGCCTAGTTTTGTCATGTAAGCGTTATTGCCGTTTGAAACTCGCAGCCCTTCAATGCCGTGGAGATCATGGAGTCTGAGTTTGCGCACGGAATGAGCAATCGGCAGAAGAACAAGGCTAAGCGCATGGCCAAGCTGCATGCCAAGCAAAGGTCGAGAGAAAACACGGACGTCGCCACGACCAGGTGAGACGGCTCGCCAACTACATTAGCTTCTCTGCCTCGTGTAGTTGTAGGAAAAAAAAGGCTCGCTGATTGACAGCTCTGCCTACCCCATTGATTCTCACGGGAGTGCGGACGTGTTAGTGGTGGGAAGATAATGTGGTTGATGCTTTTGCTTATGGGCTTTTATCATCAGGCGATTGTCTGACGCAGATGGTCTTAAACTTTATCTTTTTGGGTTTTTTAAGTCGTGTAGTTTTTTTATTTCTCTTTTAGCTTGACTGTTACTGTGTTTATTCGTACATGTTTATTTCCAAAGTTGTATTATGCTTGTGCTGTTTGCTATGCGGGTGTGCGCAAATCAAGCAGATGGGAATCTCTGCCCATGCTTTGCTTTTAATGAGGAAATTCTCTCTGTGCAGTGACACTGTTGATGGAGAGCCAGATGAGAAGAAGCGAAAAGTGGCGGTGGAGGTACCCATTGTTGAGGACAAAGTCCTGCTGGAAACCCTACCCGAAAACAGCTGTCTCTTTGAAGAGGTACCATGACAACCCCGTAGTGGCCATAAAGGGACATTATAAACTCTGTCTGTCACAGGAAGGATCTTGATGGATCGCAACAGTGATGTCATTCGTATTGCATGCGATGGAGTGTGAAAAATATCTCTGAACTCGCTCCGGAATTTGTATTTTCATTTAGAAGCTTTAGAGGCTGTCCAAACAACATTTCTCTCGTAGTACCCATTAGGGGAAGGACATTGAGGCTCAACAGCAGTCTTTATTGTTTATAATTGTTTATAGAGCGTTATGGGATGCTGTTAACATGAAGGACGCTATATAAAATGAAAGTAACATTATTATAATGATGGCTGCTGATCAAGGACGATTGTAGAACCAAGTCTGAGAGCTCTGCTGATCTTTGGGTTCCATAAATGTATCGCAACAAGTACAGGCAGAGCTGTCATGGAGAAATATTAACTCTGGCTTGTGTCTTTGACTGTGAAAGGCCGGTCTTGGCAGCATGTACGTGTTGATTTCATGATAGGAAATAAAAAAATACTCTTGTTTTATGCAAATGAATGGGGCATGTAATGTTAGCCAGGGATGAGCAGCGGCAGGTAATTGTTTAAGTACTGTGACTTGTATTCGCTTTGCAAACAGAGAACACGGGATTTTGGTGATGTGTCATGTTTTTACTTGAGACTCTTGGCTTTTGAAATATTCATGATTGCAAACACTTGCCCCCATTGGCAATGTGCCTCTGCCACAGAGCCCTGCTATATTTCGTAATGGATAGACCTCGCCACAACAATGCGGCAGTTTAAAGCCATTCTTCGTGAGCCATGGTTTTTGTTTGCCAGATGCTGGTTACTCAACCACTTTTCTAAGTGCATTCTCCATGCTCCTGAAACATTCCAGTCACTGTGATTGTCCAATTCTTATCATTATAATGGGATACATCTTTACTCAATTGTAAAGCTGATGTCATCGCCAAGTGAAGTGACTGTGCATTATCCATTTTGCATGTGTAACATTGAATAGCATTCTGTTAATTATTTCCTATATAGCAACTAACTTAAAAACCATAGACCAAATTAATTTCCCTCTGTTGGTTCTAGATTACACACTGGCTTTTGCATATTGAAGACTTGTTCGTTTTCTAATGGTAATTCACTTTCCTCCCTGAACAATAATTGGCATTAATGAATTGGTTAAAACCTGTTAATCTTAATGAATGTAATTTTCAGCTAAGCTGTACTAAATAAAGATATTTTTTATGCATGTATAATTAAAATGAAGTGTGTGTGGCAAGGACATGATTTTGCTTTAAAAGCAAGCTAAGTTGATGTTGCAGTGCAAGTGCATGTGTTGGTGTTGCTGCAGATCTAGGAAGCTGAGAGTTATCGCCCTTTTTCCCTTTTGGGTATTTTTTTGCAGCGGTGACACTCCAGTGTCACGAATAGGAGTTTGGCAAAGGTTATCAAAAAACAGTGTGCTCATGTGAAGGTTGCAGGTGAAGTTTGGTTGCGGTCAGGACCTGTATATCCAACTCAATAAATTGCTTCACACGTGGTGCGAGACCCCCACGGAGGTTGCAACTTACATGTCGACGGTTTACTGTCGAATGGCAACCAACGTGTTCAAATTACATTACCACAACCTTTGCACGTGAACCTGACGATACTGACTTGTGCTCGTTAGCAGCTGGGAACAAGTGTTATCAGAGCTGCTAATGATTTAAACAAATGAAAGGAAGACTAAATAACCTTGGTAGAATTCTTAAAAACTATTGTTTTATTCATTTATATTATTCCTTGGCAACCAAAACTCGTAAGAGACCCTCAGGAATGGTAGTAATGGTGATGTCTGCTCGGGTGCTTCACAGTTTATTGCCTTGCAGAGTATGTATATTGTATAAGACACTCAACGTTTTAGCAGACACAAACAAATGTTGGATAAAGGCATTGACGTTCTTCATTATGCAGGATTAGAAATTAATTTCTGTCTGCACATTATTCTAATTCGATTTTTGTTGGGCGGTAATTGTTTTCATTATTACAAATTCGTTTTATTTTTTCATTAGGATTCATGAATGCTTTAATCGCTTTCAAAATGCATATGTGCACATGTACACCTCATTGGTCGCCAGGACAGTAGTAGCTGTGGCCCCATGGTTAGCTGATTAATTCGACCTTGTTCTTGCCGAGTTTTGTATTTAGGGAGTTTTTATTTCATTTGTTTAACCAAGGCATTGCTTTATACAATGCAATTTTTATTTATACAGCATATAAATATCTAAATATGGTGTGCAGAAACAGTGGGAATATTTTATAGAGAAAGGCAGTTGGTTATAGGGAGAGGGTTGGAAAAGGGAAGGTCTTGGGTGTGGACTTGGCAGGGAGTTGACAACACAAATGGCTGGGGAATGTGACTCCCAGACCATACGGGCAGCAGAGGAGGATGAGCGCCCTCCCTCTAAACAAAGTTTTGACTGCAGGCTTTGACAGAGAGCCTTGGTTGCTTGAGTGGGGGCAATAATGATGAAAGGGGAGAGATGGGCAAGGGAGTCCATAGTGGATCTTCAAGATGTGGAGTCCGATTTTAAAATTGATTTGGGATTGGTTTGCGAGCCAGTGGAGGGATCTCAGAATTTTAGCGATGTGGTTTTAGTGATGGGTGTGGGCAGCGTACATCTGTCAGCTTACTCATTCTAGCCGTGTTTTTTCTGATGTTTTTGTTCATATATATGCAATTTAATTGCAGTTATTGGCAGTTTTACTCATCCACATTGTTACTCCATACAGTCTTGTGCTCTGTAACGCAGTAAGCTGTCATCTTTTTTTGTTAAACGAGAGAATTTGATTTTTATTAATCTGAATGTGTGGTGCAATTCACTTTTATTTGCAGATGAACGAATGGCCATTTGAAAGTTTTTGTGAAGAGCTATGCAATGACCTTTTCAGCCCTTCATGGGAGGTACGTTTATTTTCACTTCTTCGGTTCTGACATTTTGGATGAGGATTTTTAAGTTCTCTTCGACAGGCCATTTAAAATAAAGTCTTCTATCCTTCCCATGTACTTGTAGTTTCCACAGCCATCAAAAGATTTCAGCTGTGATTTGCTTAGACCATAGCAAAGATCTCAAATGTTCCTGAATTGAACATTTCCAAGTCCTGCACACTAACATTATGCTATCTTGTGGCTTAACCTCTGAAGTATAGGCCAAGCATTTTATTTCCAACTCGCCGGTAGCTTAGGATTACTCCAGTTGCTTTCGCAAGATAGTTGTGATGTGCTTTTTGTTTACTTTAGCAAAAGTTGAGTTAAACCACAGCTATTAATACATCTTAGCTTCGGCATGCTCAAAGCTCACACTTTGCGTTCAACCACGTACACATCGGTTTTGTAAGAGACTGTCGACTAATGCCGGTATGCATCTTGGAGTGTATTGGTTTGCAAACTGCTCGTTCTGGCTACGATACGGGTAGCGCTGCTGCTTCTAATGTATCCGGCAAGTGTGTACGAGTGTGCTAGTTGCTTTTTTTTGGAAGGTGGGAAGTCCTGTGGTGTGCTTAAGATGATGAATGCGTGGAGCACACCGTTATCGATGCGCACGTGTGCCTACGCCAGGTGCGGCACGGTGCGGCGACGGGCCTCCGCGAGGTATTGAAGGCACACGGGCCAAGCGGGGGCAAACCGGCAGATGCCACGCTGGAGGAGGTGAGCCACTCTCTCTATTGTACGTATGTTGATCGTTCACACCGTACGTAGCCAACCGCGCTAATCGGAGGTGCGGGGGATGGACAGCAAAATACACACGAAAATACGTTCGAAAAGAATTGAGTTTTCAGTCTCGATTTAAAAGTAGAAGGGCATCTGAACATACGCGCGATGTGGTGACGGTCTTTATCTGATGGCTGGCCAAACGCCGCTGCTCTTCATTTGCACCGTGCACGGAATGAAGACGGCAACTGCAGTGTGTGCTCGATTCTTATTTGAGTGTCAAAGTACATAATGTTAATTGTAATCATATTATTTATTCATCTGAGAAGGCCTAACTCACGAGATATTTTTGTCAAAGTTAGAATATTGTTTTAAGAAGTGTTGTACATGTCTGAGAACTGGAGTATGCAGAGAAAACACACGTGTGTATCACTGAAAGATCTACACGATGAAGGGAAATAATAAAATAGAAATAAAACATAAGAAATGTATTATTATTTTTATTTCATTATTTCCCTCCTACGTGACTTTACCGAAAGATCCAATAATATGAATCCCCCTACAGTCACGAAAGCTTTAAATCGAAATCTACACGATGGTTTTCTATTTTGAATCATGATTTTGTGCAATTCCTACCATTGCTCAGGGTTAGCCTGCAAGTCTAAAGCTCAAACTGGAATGCTGCTGTGAAAACGGAAGGTGTTATTCTGCTTGTAGCCACAAATGCTGCATGTCGAATGAACCTTGGTGTGTGTGTGTGTCCACAGATAGAGGAGCAGCATCAGCAGTGGCTGGAGGACCTCTCTATCCGCCTGCTGTGCGTGTTCGCCCTTGACCGCTTCGGGGACTTTGTGTCTGATGAGGTGTGGCCTCCACTCTCTTACATTGCGGCTCTAGACACTGCAGGGAAATCCCCGCGATGCAAATGGAATCCCTTCTATTTCAGTGCAGTCCCTCGTATCTCTGGAGAAATTCCTTCTACCCATTTGGATTCCCTCCTTTCTCCGCACAAGTGATTTGCTTTGACGAGCAGTTATGGAGGCATTGTAGCTTTTGCATTTAGTGCAATGCCAGTCCACTATGCTATTATGTTTCTGGTTAGACTAATTCAATATCTGGCACCTCTTTTATCTGCACATGATAAAATGCAAAGCACTTTAGACCGATAGAGATTACAAAACACATTTTACAGTATGGAGGCATGAATTGTAGTAGAACTGGAAAACGTTCAACCCCACATATCCTCGGAGGCCACGTCTGAGTATATTGGAATTTGATCAGTAAGATGAAGCCTTACATTGAAATTGCTTTCATGTTCAAATGAGTGTGGTGTGACGCTCATCTGTATTAGCATCCCAAAATCATTGGTGTAAATTCCTCTTCCCACTCGCAGGTGCCAGTCTCTTTAAGAGACACCCACTTGTCTTCTTGCAATATGGTGCTCATTGTATTGATCACAGGCAATGGTGTGCTCTGTTGGTTTTTGACCATGATTATGAATTCACAACTCGTCAGTTATAAGTTTGGCATTTTGTCACTATGCCACAGCCGTGTGTAGGATTGTCGATGGCTCATCGTGTCTATTCCCACCCCCTGTAACCATTGCTGCTGCCGTCAGGTGGTGGCGCCCGTGCGGGAGACGTGCGCACAGACACTGGGCGTGGTGCTGAGGCACATGCGAGCCGAGGGCGTGCTCGGGACCACGCGCGTGCTGCTCCAGCTGCTGGGCCAAGAGCAGTGGGAGGTGCGGCATGGCGGGCTGCTGGGCCTCAAGTACACCCTTGCAGTGCGCCAGGTGACTGCATGCGCACAAAGACAAAGATCCCCCATATAGCCTGAATAGACTGTTGGGGAAAGTGCTGTTGGAGAGCACCAATGAAGGCCGGCACAGCATGAGGGGGTGGGTGGCTGCCAACACCATTCCCGGCCGCCTTTGTCTCCACAGTGGCGATATTTACACACCGCAATACAATGATTACCATATTGCAAGAAGACAAGAGTGGTTGCCATTGGAAAGAGGAATTTACACCGGTGGTTCTGTGATGCGAGTGCAGAGGAGCTTTACCCCACAACCATTTGAACATGGAAGCACGACATTTAAGGCTTCATCTTGCTGATTAAATTCCAATGTACTCATCTGAGTACGGTGTGAAATGTGTGATTCGTGCACACATGGACTTGTCTCATAGATCAATGATAATAGAGGAAGATTAAAAGAGTAAATAAAAAGATTACAAAGAGTTATTAAATAAAAAAAATGGCATTTGTTTGCAAGCCAGCTTTTCTCGAGTGCATTTTTTCGGGCAGAAATCGCGGAACTGCCTCCGGCTCACTTCCTCCTCATCCTTCCCTCTTCACCCTCCCCTCTTCACCCTCCCCTCTTCACCCTCCCCTCCCACCCTAGGACCTGATCGAGGCGCTGCTGCCGCGCACGCTGCCCGTCGTCATCGAGGGCCTGCAGGACATGGACGACGACGTGCGCGCCGTCGCTGCCGCCGCCCTGGTGCCGGTGGTGGAGAGCCTCGTCCAGCTCCACCCGGAGAAGGTTCGTCTTGCACACAGCTCTGCGCGCTAGTGGCTTCATCCCGTGCAGGGTGCCACAGTGGCGAGGCGTCAACTAGCTCGCCTGGTATACAGGAGGTTGTGGGTTCGATCCTGCCGCCTGTATTTTTGGAGTTTGCACGTTTTCCCCGTGGTGGATTTTTCTCCCGGGTTCTCCGGTTTTCCCCTATTTTAGAAATATGTGTTTAGAGTATTTGGCTGAAAAATTTCCATGCGATTTAGCCACTCCCTTGAGCTATAATTTGAGCTATAATTTGAGCTATGTAGCTCGTTGGGCCTTACCTGGTAAAATTAAAGAAGTTTCCTTGTTTTTAGTTTCATAGCTTTCGTATAAATGCAGTTGCAGAGCGACGTCTGGGATCCTTTGACCAAAGAATGGTGCACATCTCACCGAGGCTTCTGTAATTACACTTTATGATGGCAATTAGGATATAATTGGTAGAAGAGGCAGAAAATAGCAGTGACGTGGCCTGGTGGTAACTGGTTCTCCGCTCGTCGGAAAGGCTTACGCTTTGATTCCAGAGGCTGCCCTGTTACTGCGGGTGTGTTAACCATAAAATACACTCCATTTGCTTCACAGTGGATATTAAAAATCTCCTGACATCATTCACAAGAGTAGGCCATTGTATGCTGGCATCATGGTCCAAATAGAAAAAAAAATACCCTCCACTTGCTCAGCTGGGATTATACATAGCAATCATTTTACCCCTTCTGCAAAAATGTGTCAGAACCCTCCTGAAACATTTTTGATCCTCCATGAGGCTTTCTTGAGTAAACAAGCATAATAATAGCAATATAAATTTATAAAAACAGTTCATATTAATTATAGTGGTCCATTTTAGATTCTGTCCTGGTGGGCCAGTGCTCTACTCACCGTTGTAAGGTTGCGAGTTCAATTCCTGGTCACGTCTTGATTCAGCCTTTCATCACTTTGCGGTCGTGGTCGTACTGTGTTGTGTAAACTCAATAGTTTTCCATTAGCGATATTGACCTCTGACATGAGAATGGAATTTCCACCACTACAGTAGGGACCCACCAATGGTAATCGAGAGAAATGACAGCAAGTGCCAGTCGCTCCAAGAGACCACAACTATTGTCGTCTTGCACAATGGTACTCTCTTTGTATTGATCACAGGGATTTGTGGGCTACGTTGACTCCTTGCCATGATTTTGAATTCGCAACACTTCCATTGCACATTTGGCACTTTGCCACAGCGCCGCTCAGCCATACATAACATTGTCAAGATCAATGGCTCATCACTTCCATTGCCAGTGATGCGACCACACCCTGCCATCAGGGCAGCTGGGGTGGCACGGTAATAACACTTGTGCTGCACAGCAATAAAAGGGCCTGGGTTTGATTCTTTGCGTGGAATTTGTATGAGCTCCCCCTGTTCTGCATGGGTTTCCTCCACTTCTCTGGTTTCCACCCATAAATACAAACACACAGGCAATGTAAATTATATTGGCCAAACATTTGATTGCCGAAAAATTTGCTGCAAATTAATCCAGGGGCATTACACACGGCAACATTGCCGCCTACTGCGACGAACTTGACAGGACCCTCCTGAAAAAAAAGAGTTGAGACTCGGTGAGGCTGACATGGGTAAACAAGTGTAATGTTAATAATACAAATAAGTACCATCTAGAGCTCTTGAACAATTTTGACCTTTTTTTATTTAAAGCTATCGTGACTGCAGGGATTCATATTCTTGGTTCTTTCGGTAAAGTCACGTAGAAGGGAAACAATAAAATAATAAATAATTATAAGAAAATATATAAAACAATAAAATTCTCACGACGTTTCGACTGCAACACAAGCAATCATCATCAGGTGTGTTTAAAATTGTATTTATTTATTTTCTCTTCTACGTTACTTTACCAAAAGAACCAAGAATATAATTTTGACCTTATTCTTTTTCACACAATTTACGTTTATTTTGTTCTGTTTTGTAAGATTTTCATTTACATGAGATGCATCATTCACCGGGTCAAGTTGCAGATTGTATGAACAAATAACATGTAGTTGGTGGATGCAAGTGTGGTTTGCATCATACGATTTACTGTAAAAACGTAACCTGCATCTCCTCAGGCCTTGTGTATGTCACACTATTTGACGTTCAATATCCATCACCGTACAGATGGCAGTCCACTTGCATTGCACGCGGTTATTTCACCGCTTGTTTAGCAAGCTCAGTGATGTGGGAATACACTCAGAAAGATTGCTTTGTGCGTCGAGCCAATGCCGAGTGCCAGTACCCGTACCTGGTGCATGATGGAAACCGTCGCTGTACCTGGCAGATCCCAGTGATCATGAACACCCTGTGGGACTCCCTACTGGAGCTAGACGACCTGACGGCCTCCACGAATAGCATCATGACCCTGCTGTCCTCGCTGCTTGTCTACCCTGCCGTGCGACTCAACAGGTGTGTGTGTGTGTGTAGCAGCGGCTATGGTAATGGTCGACTCAGCCTGAAATGAGTACCTGGTGCGGTGTGTAAACATCGCCACTGGGGAGACAAAGGCGTTCGGGCGTGGTGCTGGCCACCCACCCCCTCGTGTACCGTTCTGGCCTTCATAGGTGCTCGCTAACAGCACTTGCCCTACAGTAAGGCTATACGGGGGATCTATCTTTATGGTAATGGGGAAGAAAGGGATACTTGGTAACCACAGGGGATGTGAATTAAATGTTAATTTCAAGATAAGGGGTCCTTTACTAACCTGCATTGGCTGCTGTCGCCTTGGATGTTCTGCTGCCCCATATTGACTCACCTCCTTCATTAACGACAAAGTAATTGCCTTTCCCAAACCATGGGCTGGAGTTAAAAGTTGAAAAATACTTTGCCTTTGTGAACTTTTACAAGCAGCAGGTACCTATTGTATTGTACAGTGCTTTATGTGGGTTATGGTAATACATAAGTTGAAGATCTTGCAGCATTATGCTGCTGTTATTTGGATGCACTATCAAAATGATATATAATTAGGCATCTGCACTGGAAAACAAAATTTGGGCACGAAGTCCTGAATATGATTATAGCAGCTGTGCAGACCTTAACAGCTCCTCCTTATATACTATCCTTTGCCATGTTAAATGATTGGCATGTGAAAGTTATGCTGCTTTATTTATCCAGACATTATTGTGTGATCTCACCATTGCAAAAGAAAATAGTGTGATTTGTATGGTATTTTCACACATACACATACATCCTTGTGATCTCAACTCTGCAGGACCTCATGCCTCTTCCCATCTGTTTAACATTTCCTGCATCCATCATTTGCGTATCCAAACTGCTATGGAGTGTCTCACCCATGCCTGTTTCACATACCACCTCGCTTACTGTAATATTTATGGCCTCACTAAATACCTCCCCTTCAATTCGTGACGATCCAAATGGCAGTTTTCAGACTTCTCATGCATACCTATAAATGCAAACACATCACCTCAGTACTTAAGTCTCTCTACTGGCTCCCAACGCAATCCCAGTTCCCCAGTTCCACTTCAAGATCACACTTTCCATCTTCAAGATCCTCCCATGGGCCAGCCCCTGCCTGCCTTTCCCTCTCATCTCACTCTCCTCCCCTCGTCACACTTCCCGTGCCAGCAACCAAGGCCTTGTGTTTAAGGGCGGGCAAGGGATTGGTTTTGTTCTACGCGATGCTTCGCCATCCTTGGAACGTGCCGCTCTTCCTGACCTTTGCGTGCCGCCCCCGTCCCTCCGCGCTTCCACCCCGTCGCCCCCGCGCCGGCTGCGAGCAGCATGCAGCAGTCGTTCACGGTGCTGGTGCCGCGCGTGTGGCCGTTCCTGAGGCACAACAGCAGCTCGGTACGGAAGGCCGCCCTGGAGACGCTGAACACCATCCTCTCCACACAGGACTCCCAGGTGTGAGACCCAACCACGGGGGCTCGCTTTACCGTTCTCCTGCTATGTGGGGTTGGGGCCCCTTAATAAAGAAGCCTTGATGTCCTCGTGCTATTCGGTGTGGGATGATTGGGCATTCGAGTAATAATGTAACTAGGTTGCTTGTGTTTTGCAGTGGCAGTATGTCATTTAATAAATGTCATGCCCAGTTATAACAGAAAAATGTAATGTATGGTGACGTGGATAAAGGCCCCAAAGGCTGTGATTTTAGATGCTGGATGGATTCTTATAACCAGATGAGACAGGGTTGTTGTTTTTAAAGACTAAGGTATACAGTGCTGTAGAAAGTTTCGGTTCTTTACATAGATATTCAAGTATTGGTGACACTATAAAATAAATAAACGAGAGGTGTGGCTGGCTACAGGAAAGTTGATAACATAACATACTTATTCATAGACTATCAAACAAATGTGCTTTGAGAAAGGATTGAAAGTTAAGCTAAAATCTCTTATATAAATTATGTAAAGATAAGCACAGATAAGCACGTTTCATACAAATGTCAGCACCACCAAAGAAATTGCTTTAAGGGATTACACTGAAGTACCACGAGCAGATTATAAACATTGAAAAAGGCGTAAGACGTAATAATATTATTATATTAAAACTTTTTGTGCATTGCTCGGGTTTAACTTGTGTATCCTAAATGTTACAGAATACAAAACCCGTACTTTGTATGGGTCATCACAAACTGGACCATCCGCGACTAAAATTTTAGTGCTACCAATTTTCGTTATATGGCCAACAAAATAGAATTACCGTAGTAACCTATTCATTTGAAGTGTTATCACACAAATACTTTTTATGGGTGTCGCCTTTTTTATTGGCCATATAAAAATAATTGTTCCTCCTAAAACCTTTGCTACCTCGGATGGAAGCAACAAGCAAAATGATCTGTTTTGGTCCATTGGGGTCGATGAATGGTAATTTTTAAATCCTTTATATTAAGTTCACTTGCTTGCGCGCTTACGACCGTGCAAATCTTTCGGTCGTTTTTTAACCCACTTCCCGTGATCCAATCGAGCTGGCATTTTGCACACAGACTCGTTGTGCGTGACAATTTATTTTCGTGAAAAAAAATGTCCAAAATTTTCCACTTTTTAGGAAAAATGTTTTTTCATATTTAATTTAAAATACCAATGTGATAAAAATGAAACTCTTACTCAAGAAAAACAGAAATGAATACTAAAATTAAACCGATGCCATGCATATAAAGGATTTATAGTGAAAAACTTTGTTTTTACGGGTTAATTTTTTTCAACTGTGGTACGCTGGTGTGTGTTTTACGGTGAGCAGAGCTGCTCGCTGTGGCTGACTCCGATCCTGCAGGACATGATGCGCTTCATCTACCAGGTCGCAATCCTGGAGAGCAGCCAGGACATCTGTTACCTCGTGCAGAAGGTGGGGGCTGCTTGTGTCGAGCACCAACTTCCTTGATGCAGACACCAGAAATCTGCCTTCGCCTGCTTACATTTTGTGGTTTTGTCATAAGCCTCTGCCCGTACTATATTCGAAATAACGTTTGGCTGGCTGGTTTGTGGGTGACGTCACCTGTGCGCATCTGCGTGTTGACATCACCCGCATCCCACAGCATTGAGCTGATTCGTCCATGGTGAAGTCACACCCCCCCCCGTACTCCACCCTTCACGCCTGATGTAAATCTCACGCATATGTGCAGGCAGTGCTAGTTTTATATTAAAAATAATATTTCTTTCTCCAGTCATGTGGCACTGGTTACATGTTTATATCCTACCAAGTTAGTGGTTGCTTTAGCATATTTCGTAAGGTAAATAAATTGAACTACTTTGTTGGATGTCAACTTGCAGTTCAAATGGTGTGACTGGTCTCTTCCAGAGAAAAAAATCGGCTCTTGGCTCAAAGCTGATGTTAGAGATCAGCAGCTACCAATGCACATTTACACAAGGGAAACATTTTAATTCGAGTCTCCAAGATTCCCTTTCAGGAGGTGCATGCATATGGGATATTTATCCATTTATTTAGTATTTTTGCTTTTTGTTTCAATATACCAGTGTGTCTGGAGAAAACCCATGCATGCATGTTAGAGGGGTAACACTGAAATCAGCGCAGACATCCATAATATCGTTTTTTTGGGTTAGATCATGTAAATATAAATGTGTCGTTAAACCTGTGTTATGGATGATATTGGTCGCGAAAGCCTACGTGTTAAACAGCACAGACATGTTATCCACATTGCTGCTGTATGACCAGCTACTGGCTCCCCTGTTGCATGTTGTGTTACGCAGTGATGTCTGCAGGATCTGCCAATTCTACCTTCAAGACTCTGTTTTGTAAATATATACGGCACCAAGTTACGATAAATGTTACGGCGACATTTGGCTGAACCGTTGGCGCAGAGCTGATTTTTGTTTCGCAATAATACGTTGTTGCCAACTCGTCATAATCGACTTGCATCTCGTAATTGGCGAAAATAAAATGACAATATATTTTTGTTAATATGTATTTGTTTTTTAATGGGACTGCTTCTTGCAAGTAGAATGCATTGCTGTTTATATTTTGAATGTGAATTGACATTTGTTGCTCTCGAGTTAACGACTGAATGGCCCTACGAGTGGAACATTAAGTATAGTCCTTAAAAAAGGGCAGAGCATTGTGTGTTCTTTTAAATAGACCCTTGGGTGTGTGAGTAAGGTTTTATATTTGTAGGAAATAATTTTGGAATTAATTATTGGGTGCGAGGATTACACACATGGGATACATGTGGTGGGGAATGTGACGGAACGGAAAATATCTTGTTATTTAATGTTGAAGGACACCGTAAAATGTATTAATGTTGTAAAATGTGTGGGTTTGGCACTGCTTGGCATGCAATGCTATAATTATTGATTTCTGGTTGTCTGCTACACCGGTGACATTTTGTGTTTGAACCCAGCTTGGACCTCCTGCAGGTTGACTCTGTTTAAAACCATGAATTATCTTGTTACAATGAGTGCACATCAGTACTGTGAGGCATATGTGTCTGAGCTTGTTGCCTGGGGACATCATCCTTGTGTCCCCTGCCATCCTTAATAGGCGTTCACTCACGGGACTTGCCCTAACAGCCTGGGATCTTTGTTGTATGGGCGCCACGGTGGTGAGATGTTAACTACCTCACCTGGTAGACAGTAGGTTGTGGGTTATATCCTGATCCTGACGATGCCTGTACAGTATAAAAGAAGTTTGTATGTTCTCCCCGTGGTCGCGTGGATTCTTCTCCTGGGTCCTCCGGTTTTTCCCTCCACATTTAGAAACATGCGTTTAGAGTTATGTGGCTGCTCTAATTTTCCTTATGAACACATTCCTGCGGAGGGAGCTGGTGAGGATCGTTGGGTTGCTCGGTCAATTGCCAGGGTCAACGGCGGCGTGGTGTATTCCACAAATATGGCTGACTGAGGGCGGGCACAAGCCGGCGTGAGTAGGTTAAACGTTGAGTTTTATAAGGGCAACACTGGGTGACCAGCCCCTCCCCACCCAGCCCCTCCCCTCCCTCCTCACCCAGTCCCTCCCTGCACGACGGACACAATAATCCCCTGTGGGCTGGTGTAACCAGGAGGTTCCTACCAGTATAAGCCACTTCATTGGGCTATCACTTGTGGCCAGGTCACTTCTAAAAAAAGAGCTATATAGCTCAAGGGTGGGTCTTACCTGGTAAGATTAAAAAGTTTTGAGTTTAAGCTTTGTTTATATTTGCGGTGGATGTGTGTGCACCTACCAGGTGTGGCAGGAGCTCCTCGCCAAGGCCCCCCTCCAGTACATCGTGGCAGCTGCTTGCCCCTGGATGGGCGCTTGGCTGTGTCTCATGATGCAGCCCTCGCACATGCCCATCGACCCCAACATGCTTATGGAGACACGTGCCAGGGCCAAGGTAGTGTGTGACCGCTGGATGGCATTCATGTTTTTGTCTTGCTAGTTTAACGGGGCTGTGCCCAAATAAGGCTGATGAAACAAGGACTGAAAAGATGTTTAGCCAAAGAACAGTCGTACTCTGCTCAACTGTTTTTCGTCACCCATTCAGAAATACTAGATTTTAAATTATTTGACCTCCCACTTAATGGATTTTTTCATGATCTGCTTTGGAATCAGCATTAATTCGTGATTTGAGGCAGCTGAGTGATCCCAATTTAATTGGCAACCATTATTTTCTGCAGAGATTTGGAGACTCCATGACATGTTTTTTTGTAAAGTAATCCATGGTATGCCAGTGTTGTAATAAAACATTAACATCGGTCTAATTTTCTGTGGTTATCCAGAGTTGTTTTTTAATCTTTTCAGCACTCGGGTTAAGTGCACTGAATAGCATCAACATGTATGATACACTTTTTTTGTTAGAATGAGGGTGATAATCGGATATTGGTCTGCACATTGCATTCACGTGACACTTGTATTAATTTGCTGGGTCTGGTAGAGGAGGGCTTTGAGGCACATTTTTGTTACACGACTTTACCCCCAAAAAATCGATTACCAATCATAATATTCATCATGAAAGCCTACTGTGTAAAATTGGAATCTATTCGCCACATTCATTTTCGAATGGAACGAAACTGATCTTGTCATATGCATTGGGGGCGGGTTTACGTGTGGGGGACACACAGGACAAGTGCAACGTGAAGGCGCGTCCGGGCCAGCCGGTGCGGGAGGTGCGTCACGAGTACATTGCCGGCTCGGAGACGGTGCACGAAGACCCGGCGTCGCGCGATTACCATGTCATGCGTACGCGCCTACTCAACGCGAGGTCACTCGCCGCACGCTCGACCCCTCCTCCTCGCACCTCGCTATGCCTTCTCTCGAGACCTCGGTCACATCCTGCCAGAAGGTTTTCCGTGCTGTCGCCCGAGGGCTTTTGTCGGGCTATGTAGTGACTTTGACTGCTGGCTTGTAGGTACAATGTTTACATTTTAAAAACGTCCGTTTACATTGTTTTGCTGTTTCAAATTTCCACGTGATGAGCCACTTTGTTTAGCTATCATTTGTGGCCAGGTCGTTTCTGTAAAATAAACTAATAGCTCAGTGGGCTTTACCTTGTAAGATAAAAACAATAGTTTTGTATATTTTTGTTAAAGTCATTATGTTTATTTTTCCTCTACTTTGCACTCCTATCGTGTTTTTTGTATTAGTTGTAACATTCTGACTTTCACCCCTGCCTGGACATGTGAAAAAATTGCTTTATAACTTATCGGATTCCTCAAGTATATAACTAAATAGTCTGATTCTGATAAGCTTGTATATGATGATTCCTGGGCAGTATGTACCAGACCTGGGGTTAATCAGAATTCCAAATACAGTAGCGTTTTTGGCTGCAGTTATGTTTTTTTTGCATTGTGGTTGCAATTGATTTATGAATGACACCATTACAATTGTTATTGACCCCAGGGTCTAGCATCTATCCTCTGAAATGTTGTGTGGTGCAGTATTGGTTTATTTCACCGGCACCCATTCTCCTACCCTGGTGTGGGGGGGGGGGGGTTACTGTTTTTGCTGAGGATTACATCAATTTTTAGACAACTAAGCTGGCTAAAGGAGCCCTAGGGTCAAATAACATCCTTGTGCCTTGGTTTATTGCCACTTAACACAGCTATCCAATTTCCCGTGTTAAATGGTGAAAGCTGGTGATCCAATATTTATCTTGGAGGCTAAGATCGCCTGTTTAGTTCTTGTACATTATCCGAAGACATCCTTGAACAAGCATGCCGCTTTAGTAATGTAGCAGAAGTACTAGAAACAGCCAATTGTATAAGTTGCTCGTTAACATTACTGGAAGGTACATTTTCGGCTTACGCTGGTTGATATGTCGCCCTTGGCGGACCAGTCTGCATGACTAAATGGGAGATCGTCCTGCGCGTGTTTCTGTGTGTGCACTCACAGATTGCTGGGCGCTCTCAGCTGCTGCATCTCGCATCCGAGCGTGAACCTCGCGAGTCAGGAGATCCGGCCAGCCGAGTCTCTGGCCCAGCTGCTGCTCTTCTACCTCAACTCCAAGTCGGCGCTGCAACGCATCGCCGTGTCGCTCGTCATCTCGGAATGGGCCGACCACAAACAGGTGACCCTCGATTGCCCAACTCCCGCCGAGACACGCAGGATGACTGCTGGTGTTCCTCTTGTCGCGTAAAACTGAGAAACGCAGCGCCAAAAAACAAAGGTCTCTTGTAGAGATATACAGAGACTTTTTTCATAATGGTTGCCTAACATTGAGCCTTAAACACGAGTGGTTACACCCGTACTTTTTGTACTGTATGTCAGTTCGGTGAACAAATTTTACTCTTAATTAAAGTTTTTTTTATTCTCAATTAACTGGGTTTAAAACTCTTGTCTTTCACCCCAGGACACAAAGCCAATGCAATTTTAGCAAATAAGACCTCTCTTTTTGGTGTTGCATCTTCCATAGAAGAATGTTTTAATGTGTTTCCCTGCTGAAACAAACATTGGACAGTGGTTCTGTTTGTGGCCACAGAGCCAGTGGATACAATTCAACATTCCACTCTTAACTCCCCGCATACAAATGAACACCAACATAAACTTAAAACAAAATGTCACTCCTACAACATTGCCGCTGCCCTGCATTGCTAATGTGACCTCGCGATTGCGTCGGCAGGACTGCACCACGGTGTCGGACGCGGTGCGGCCGCGCCTGCAGGCGGTGCTGTCGGAGCAGCTCTACTACGACGAGATCGCCGTGCCCTTCACACGCATGCAGACCGAGTGCAAGCAGCTGGTGTCCGTGCTGCTGGAGGGCGGCTATGACGTGCGGCCGCGTCTCGCCAGCGCCGTGCTCACTATCGAGCAGGCCCTGCAGCTGGTGAGGGCTGCTCCGATGGCAGAATGCGCCACCGTGTTTTGAGCATGTTCACCGATGACTGGAGGGCCTGAATGTTAAGGGGGGCGGGAGGGTCGGGCTGGGGTGGATGACCAGGCAGATGGACAAGATGTTGTAGTTCATGTTGGTCTCCTCTCTTCCAATCCGAACTTTAATCGCAAAGTTACTCGCATGTTTTCAAGGTAACACACATTTCCCCATATACACACCGCTCTAAGTTCAGTTTGTTTTGCTTTCTCTATACCCCTTCTCTGTCAAGCAGTCTACCTCAACCCAATGAAAGTAATGATTGATCTTCAATGACAGATCTCTCTTTCCCCTGTAAAATAACGCTGTCTTGAGCTCTGAATGCTCTTGATTGCGTTTTCCCTGTTCAGTTATCAGCTTAGTCTTTCGATTTTGTCTCCATCTATATCTTTTTTTATCACCGTCCCATATATGCTCGTATTTTCTTTACCATAGATAAGTTCCCCCCCTCAATTTTTATTCCTGGTTCCTCAACAATAGTATTTACATATATATAATTTCCTTTCCTAATGCCCTCTATAATTGGACGCTCTTCTCCCGACATAGGATTTGTAAAGCCTGCAGCCGTGGTCCTGGCAGGGGCGCCAGCTGGGCTGTCTCGACACAGTTGTCACCACCGGCCATTTGTGCGACCACCCCCACAGGTGGGACCCATCTTCAACGAGGCGGTGGCAGCTGTGGAGCCGAGTCCCGTGGCGTCGCAGCAACTGCAGGGCAAGAGGCAGCAGGTGCAGTCGACGGTGCACGAGACGAGCGTCGAGTGGCAGCTGCTGCACCTGCGCGTGCACATGTTCGCCGCGTGCGCCGTGGTCGCCATGCGCTCGCTGCCCGACAAGATGAACCCTGTCATCAAGCCGCTCATGGAGGCTGTGCGCCGCGAGGAGAACGTGCTGGTGCAGGGCTTTGCCGCGGGGAAGGTGCGTGTGTGCGTGTGAATGTATGATTGTGTGTTGGTGCAGGGCGGGAGCGGCGGTGTAGCTGTTGGAACGCTGCGTTACCGACCCGGTGAACCGGGTTCGATTCCTGCTCATAATCAACACCAGTGACTATTATCTGAACCGGTCTTGGGCCTCCCCTAGGTTAACTGGGCCTCAAATGGCAGGGGCACATGCGGTAACGGAGTAGCGTGCTTGCCACCTTGCTCCTATGGTCAACGTCGAGTTCATTCGTTGCAGGTGTCGCAGTTGCTGCAGCAGTGCGTTGGCCGCAGTCCTTGCCCGAACCAAAAGATTGTGAAGAACCTGTGCAACTCGGCCTGCATCGACTCTGTGCAGACGCCCGCCGCCGCTTGCCCCATCCCCTCCTCCAACGACACGTCCAAAGGTGCCCATATCTGTGGTGCAGTGTTGCCTGTCTCTCCTTGGAATGCCGTCATCTCCACAACTCTTCCTACTTTCCGCCGGTTCATTCAAAACTTGTTAGCGTTCGTTTTCGATTAACTTTAAAAATTCCCCTCATGGTTGTGACTTTGATAAATAAACATCGACTCGGCATGGCTCGCATCTGAATACATCTAATCCCCTCCCACCCCCTTTGCTAACTCGTACTGACCAGCATGGAGAAGTATGGTCAAACCACCCCCCATGACTGACATGGTATGGAAAGGCATTCATCCAGCAGTGGATTGTAAAGTGGATGTACAATTTTTCGATTAAAAATGTTGTTTGTGCAGAGGTTTCTTTTTTTGGAGAGTGTTACGCCATGTAAATATGAGCTAATGGATTTTACCACCAAACTACAGGTCAAAACACTTGTCTGTTTCGTTCCTTGCACTCGACTTGGCCTTCAAGTTCAGAAACGTGTAACTCTGATCTAATATACCTTCAGCAATGCTGTTTGTTGCTGACATTGGCATGTTGGAATTTTAGGCCTGTGCTCGGCAACCCATGATATTTAACACCACGTTTTTATTGCAAGTGTGCATATAGCCTGGTCAAATATAGCTTGCAACAAGGCAGGGTGTTAATCTACCAACAGTGTCTTTTGTCGTTGTGGTAGCTGCATTATTGAAAGCTTTCCATGGCTAAGCGGCTACCTCCAGTGAGTAAGAAATGTTAGTCATTGTAATTATTGAAAGGCAATTCCATGAACATGTGGTGTTGGTTATTACAAATGTCTGTAGATCGTAATTTTATTCATTAAAAACAACAACCATCTAGATATAGTTGGAGTGAACATAAAAGCCATGAATATTGTGTGATGGCAATCTTATGTTGTTAGTTTGTTTCGTGTCAAATTATCCTACGATCACCAAAACGTGAATATAGATAGTTAGACATGACTTGTTCTGGCCGTTTAAGGGCGTTTCTCTTTCAAGGGAGACCTTTCAGAAGAAGGCCCCTTGAGATAAAACGCTCTCCTAGATCTCCTTAATTTGTTCGTTCATTGCAGCAATTCAGTCTTAAGGTTGTGCACGTCTATGCTGTATACGTGGATCCAGAATGGCCGATGAAGTGCTACGCTTTCTTCAGCTGCGTCTGTAGCCCCGTGCATTGTATGCCCTAACAAAGGCCGCTAATGGCGTTAATAATGACAATGAAAATTACAGTTTTTAATGCACCTACGAAGGTCATCCGACCCAATTTTTAAGTGGCACGAAGTATGAATTAATGTGCTCCATTTACCATCATGATTGGTAACTCATTTTGCTAATTGTGATGAATGCTTTGGTTTTGGCTGCTGGCCCTTTTGCTGCTTTATAAAAATGATGCTTTTGTTTGTTTCTAATGACATTATAATGGAGTCATGAAAGTCACCTAGCTATTTTTATAAAGTGTCTCGCTGAAGTGGCAAATATCTGTAAAAGTTGTTCCATGAATACTTTAAACATGAATTTTAAAAGCCACCAAAAATAATCTGTTAATTATAAAACATTTTCCAGTCACTCGTCATGAGCACACTGATGTATGACTCCGCTTTAAAAAACATGAATAAATGACACCGTGTTATGATATCAATGTTACGCCATCTGGTTTCCATTGGGGATGAGAAAAAATAACTGCCCCAACAGCTTTTAGCTGGGTGTGGCTAAAGTTAATAGATTTTTTTTTCTTGTCTCCAGTTCTATAAACCCTTTCGAACAAACCGAATATCGCGAAATATTAGGCAGGATATTAACCGGCACAACATTCCCAAGGTTTCGCTTAACGTGACAAATGCCGGCCGGCTATTGTTCAAACACAGGCTCGTCGCAGGAGAAGGAGAAGCTGCAGCATTCGGTGAACAAACTGCAGGGCATCATCACTCTGTACCGCGCACAGAAGGCGGCCTCCTCCATCACGAGCCGCAAAGGCCCGGCCCCGAGGCCGCGAGGGCCTGCCCCGGGGGAGACCCTCCACGGCTCCCTGCCCGAGGGCGACCAGGTGAGCGCACGTTCACACGCGCGTTCGCACGCACATGCATGTGAATGCTTGTATTCTGTCGCACGCAAGGACGAAGATTTCCTGTGTATCCAAACGGACTGTGAGTTTCTGTTAAGGCTGGCGTGCGGTGCACAATGCGGTGTTGTGGCTCGCACCAGGCTTCTCGCCTACATATGTCTTCTCAGCGCTGATCATTATACACTTCACTGGATACTCAATTTGAGGCTGAGCCGACCTTGGGGAGCCCAGGAAAAATGTAAATACCATTTTGGCACTGATGACATCTGTGGCCAGGAATGTGGTCAATGGGTACATAAACTACTCCAAAACCCCCTGTGTATGTGCACATGTGTCCTGGTGGGAATGTGGAATTCCACCACTGAATCGGGCCTGCCAGTGGAGACGTGTGCCTGACCACAGTCGTTTGAGCAACCATCCTCCTGTTGAATCTTTGCCGACTCTTGCTCGCCGCGTATGGGGCTCGATGAAGCAAGCTCCGGGTGCGTGCGCGTGTTTTGTTTTGCAGGCTCAAAAGGCAAACTTGGTGCAGAGGCGCGGTGCGGAGCTAACGCTCGCGCGCATCGCCAAGCACCTGGGCATGGAGATGCATACCGTGTTGCCTTACCTGTGGGAGGCCATGCTGGGGCCTCTGGTCAAGCAGGTGGACTCCGTACACTTCAGTACGTATATCTGCACTCGCCCGCACACGCTCTTTAGATTCTATTGCTTTACGCCTGTTTCATATGGTGGGAAACCCCTCCTTGTGGTTCATGCTAAACTTAAATCGTAAATGCAGATACAAGTGTAGGGTCAAATCATTGCTCTGTGGTTGGTAACATGAATCAGTACCACCACTTTGTGGGAAATTGGCAGTTCTTTCATACGAGCACTGCCTCGTGTTCATCGAAGCATGGAGATGCTGCGTAGTTTGACGTTGACAAGCATCAAAGGTGATGCTTGTGCGAGCTGCAGCTGCGCTCTAAAGAAAGCTATTCCGTTGGCTCGTTGTGACGGGTGTGTTCTGTCATTACAGGCAGTGAGGAACTGTTGGCTGGCGGAGATGTCCAGGCCCAGGATCTCATCAATGCCTTGCAGGTGTTTGAGATCCTGACTCCAGCTCTCAGTCCAGAGCTGCACCCACAGGTACCACAGGAATTTCTGCTCATCCCCTCTAAAGGATGCCATTGAAGGGATTCTCTAAAAATATAATGACTGCTTGTCCAGGAAAACGTGTTTTTGTGAAGTGCGGTGGCATAGGTCTCAGCGCACTGCGCCCACGATGTCGACTACCCAGGTTAATTTTCTGGTTTTGCACCATTTGTGGCAAGTGAACTATCAGCACCTGGTGTGTTTTTTTAATCTTTATTGGTGTCGACATGGCCACTTTATCATTCAGTCTATTTGCACGAGTTCTAAAGAGACAAATGCAAGTTGTATGTGCTTACTGGCCATACTACCTGGTTATATCGTGCGGGCCTCCAAAGGTGCTTCCAAACAATATTTTCCCCTGCAGCCCAAAGGGGTAGAGAGGGGGGTGGGGGACTCGTGCAGTTGCATCGCGATTCCACTGCCCGTGGTTCCATTCCTCGCCGAGTGTCAGTGGGCCTGATTTGCCTGGTCCTACTCTGCCTGAAATAACAAAGGCTGCCCAGTCAACTAGCCCGGCCTCCTAAGCTCCGACGCGGCGCTGGTGTGGCACGTGTCTGCAGATCGTGGAGCAGCTGCCCCGGCTGTGCGCCTGCCTCCAACACCCGTACACGGTGGTGCGGCACATGGCGGCGCGATGCCTGTCGGTGCTCAGCAAGCTCGTCACCGTCACCACCATGAACGTGCAGCTGGAGATCGTGCTGCCCTGGCTTGGAGCCGTCGACAACGACACCAAGCGGGAGGGCGCCATAGAAGCCTTGGCGTGTATCCTCTGTGTGGGGCCGCGCGGTGATTGGGCAATTAGACCCTTTCAAAGTGCGCAATGTATTTACATAGGGGAGTAGTGATTGAAACTAAATTATGCTTTTTGTAGCCTCTTAAAACGTAGAGTAGAAACACCATGGTTGTGGTTTGTCTTCATCTTTGCCACCTTATTGTTAAAACACAAATAAGTGATGTGTCCTATAGCACCTGAGATCACTGGAGTAATCCTTTTAAAGTGTGGCTGGTGAGTTGGTCGGTGATGTCTCGGTTAATTGTGAGGCACTGATTACGTGAGACAACCGCCTAAGGCGGGAGGGGCGTGTTGCAGATGAGATGTTGCTGCGGTTATGGCAGTTCCTTGACGCGAAGAGCAGGTGTGATGGACGCGTTGGACGTGGATATCGTACCGTACATGGTGCTGCTGGTGGTGCCGGTGATGGGCCGAATGAGTGACCAGACGGATAGTGTGCGCCTCATGGCCACACAATGCTTTGCCACGCTCATCCGCCTCATGCCGCTGGAGGTACGAGCTGGAATAATCACTCTTGGTTTCTTTTATGGATGTGTGGAGTGGTAGCGTAGCAGATAGCGCACTGCACTACCAACCCTTTAACCTCAGTCACTGGTGTTGGCCGTGAGCGGGAATCGAACTGATTATCTGAACTGCTCCTGGGCCTCCCCAAGGTTAACTCTGCCTCCAAATTAGTACCTGGTGCCGTGTGTAAAAATTGCCACTAGGGATATCAGGGCGGCTGGGTGTGGTGCTGGCCACCCACCCCCTCGTGTGCCATGCCGGCCTTCATAGCACTTTCCCCAACAGTCTGTTGAGGCTATCTGGGGGTGTGTTTAGTCTTTTTGGAGGGGAGAGCACTCGGGAGTGGTTGTGTAAGGGGATGTTAGGTGGAGGATTGTTGTTTGTATGTCTGCTTAACTGCACTCGCTGCCACCTCACCCCGCACGTGTAGGCTGGCATCCCAGACCCACCGCTCATGTCACAGGAGCTGGCGTCCCAGAAAGTGCGGGAGCGTCACTTCCTGGAGCAGCTGCTCGACGGTTCTAAGCTGGACAACTACGCCATCCCCGTGCCCATCCTCGCCGAGCTGCGCAAGTACCAACAGGTGCCACCCTGCACGCCACCCTGCACGCCACCCTGCACGCAACTCGCCCACGGCCCTGTGCTCCCCTCCCCCTTCTCTTGGCGCTGACAAAGTCTGGGATCAACTACAAGCCGCACATGATCCCTGCCCCCCACAGGACTCCTCTCATTACATTAGCAACTCCCGATGTGCACAGGAACCGAGACGGGCCTGTGTCCACCCCAAAGATTGCTACCCCCCCCCCCCCAAAACATGCAGTAATTCCCACCTTGTCATGTTGCATGTTTTTAAATGTGCTTACGTGTCGGGCTTTCCGACTCGAGTTTGAACATTTGTTGAGAAGGAAAAAGGAGTTTGAGTCTTAGAATTATAAATGTAGGTTATTATGTATATTGTTAATTGCATTATGTAACTTATATGACGTAGAATTATCTTGTTATCGTTGCGGAGTTTTGTTTTCCTAATATATTTTATAGTAATGAGAATGTGCACTTATTTATTTTCCCATTGCTTTTCTTCAACAAAATCGTACCCTGCAATGCATTCATTATCCATTTCTTTGTCCATGGTCTCCCTGGAGGGGAAAAACTAACTTTTCTCCATAGTTGGGTACCTGGTCCTTATTAAATATTTGACTGTCCAGATAGGAATCAATCTAAGCCTTTAATCAAAGGAGCTTTCCTACACTGCGAAGCCTTTGCTTACTCCATGAGGAGTGGTCTTTATTTTATATGTGGTAATATAATATATATTAATAACAAAAAATAATTTTTATTATTTTCTTTGAACCTATCTACGTGACTTTACCGAAAGACCCAAGAATATGAATTCCTGCAGTCACGAAAGCTTTAAGTCAAGATTTTGGATATAACAGTGAAATATTTATGTTTCACCATGCAGGTAAGTGTGCACTGCATGCTGGTGGTGGTTTGTTGTTTCTGTATTCAGTGTATGCCGACATCCGTGATGAAATGGTTTAATTTTGTTCTGGCTGTGCAGACTGGTGCGGTGTGTGTACACGAAGCACACAGGATTTGTTTCAGTTGAGAGGCAGGAAACTTCTAAGCCCCTTTGACGTTGTCGGCAAGGTGCTGACAATTGGCGCTTGCAGGGAAAAAGTGTGCTGAACCAAAATACCTCTAAATAGATCCGTTTTCAAAAGAAGAGATTCTGCCCGGAAAACTGGTCTCGCATGCACTGCGTATCGGCTCGTCCAGTTAAGCTGCGGTGCGGATGTTGTGCTGACACTGAATGGACCTCGGATATCCAGCACCCTGCCGTGATTGCGATTTGTTTCTGCAATATTTGAAAATCGAAGAAGCATAGGATCGAGTCCTGATTTTTTGTGCATGCGATCTGAGCGGTGCTGAATTGCCACCATGCTGCTTGTTTTATAGGACGGAGTGAACTGGTTGTCGTTCCTGAACAAGTACAAGCTGCATGGGATCCTGTGCGATGACATGGGGCTCGGCAAGACCCTGCAGTCTATCTGCATCCTTGCCGGCGACCACTACTTGCGGTAACACGATCTGCGCAGTTGCTTTAGAATCACTCGGTGGTGTGTATCTGTATATAGCTTCCATTTCTGAGTAAATACGCTGTGGTGTGTGATGCTGTGAACCCGGTGTCCTGAGTTTGATACCTGGCCATCATGCCATGCTGATCAGTGGCAAGTGATATCTGAGCCTTGTCAAAGCTTCCCTTAGAATGACCTCGGCATAAAATGAGAACTTGGTGCAGTGTGTGAACATCAACCCTGGAAGACCCAAGGCAGCCAGGCATTGTGCGAGGCCACACCATCCCATGTTATGCCATGCTCACCTAATTCTTTGTGATCTCTTTTTCCTGGATCGTGCCTGGCTGGTTGATTACTTTTTTATTTTAACAAAAAAAAACATCTTCTATTGTCTGCTGTTTTGGCGCTTCTCAACCAATTTTAGGATTGTAAAAAGTGTTTCTACCCAGATGACATGTCGAAGTAGCCCTGGAATGATAAAGATACTTTTTCATGTTTACATTTATTTTGGAAGTCCTATTCTTGGACATGGTGCTCTTAATCTTCTGTCCATTATTATAGACTTAAAGTGCTCACTTTTTTGGAGTTTTTTTTTTACCAACATAGACATCTTGGTCACTGTCGCAATTTGCTAACGTCCCCAGAAGTCTTGCGTCGGTGTCAACGTTACGTGCAGCACATGAGGTCGAGCGGCTATTGCCATGTTGAACCTCGAGAGAAACCCTCCAATGGGGGGACACTTGTACACAAGTGCACCTGAAATCCTACACCGTTATCCACCCTTCAATACGAGCGCCCTCTGCTGCCCGCAGCCTGTATAATGTACCATTGAGCATCAAAGGCTGGGAAAATCCTGACATTGGACCGATTGAACAGCTGAATGGGGGGAGTGTCGGGCTAAACCCTACCGTTGGATGGGAAGGGTTCAATAACCGATTGCCGACAGTACTTGCCATCAGAACGCACTGCGAGGCTGAACGGAAGCATCTTTTGTGTTTGTCAGCACGCCGCGCCAGTCTCTTTGTAAATGTCGTCCGCTGGTGCCTTTGCTGCGTGCAGGGCTCAGGAGTACGAGCGCACACAGGCGGCGGACTGTGCGACGCTTCCGTCCATGGTTGTGTGTCCCCCCACGCTCACCGGACACTGGGTGGACGAGGTGCACAAGTTTTGTCCCCGAGAATTCCTCAACCCTCTGCACTACACTGGTCCGCCCTCCGAGAGGATCCGGTGAGAGGCCTGCCCAGCTTCATTTAAATAATTGTCGGTCCCGGTGCCGCCTCCTATTCGTCCGTTGGACGGAGCAAGATATGGTACCAACTGAAGTGGCCATAATAATTCGTTTTACCGGTTTATTTCTATGGCCAAAGGCATGTGAATTTAATGTGGTCAACTTTTTAATAGTTATCACATCCAAATCTAAATTTCAATAATAAACCCTTTCAAGATACCCACTGCCTACCAACAAGTGAAATATCTGCTCTGGGCCCTTTCATTAGCTTTCCGACCTGCTTTTGTTTGCCTATTTGCTCTCTGCCAAGAGATGTATAACTTACAGTGTCTTCAAGAAAATGTGTTTTCTGTAGGATGTGGTTTGTTGTGTTATTCGATGAGGCTCAACATGTACAGGTTATGTTTTAGGTAAATTTTTCTATTTTTTTTTCTATATTATTTAATCACCAGTTACGTCCCTGTTGTGCTATCAGGAGTAATATCGTGAGATGAAGTAACATCTTTAGAATTTCGCAGTTCACAGAGTCACATGTTGGGGAATGGTACTAGAAGATGACATCACAAAACAACTTTTTACATTCTCTTCGATTGGCATCTCGCACATCACGCAACATCAGATGGAGCCCTTTTTCTCCCTCCTAAAAGAGTAATTACTGGAATGTTGGCTTTGGTGTCTATTTTAGAAAGTTTAGTCCTTCAGGCTAGGCAGCCCTGCGTATGAGACAAATATGGACACATAACCTGGTTTAATAACAAACAGCTACTCAGATTTGAACTCATGTTCTCGGCCATACTGGCTCATTGCTTAAATATGGTCACTAATCATTGAGCTTCTTGAGGCAGCCGGCCACGTGGCTGCTGCTGCGCTGTGCGTTCTGCTCTGTTGGAGTGACTGGCCGCTTTATCGTGTCACCTGACGTGTGTGCAGTCTTCAGCGGTACATCAAGAACCACAACTTGGTGGTGGCTTCCTATGACGTGGTGCGCAACGACATCGACTTTTTCAAGTGAGTAACCTTTGGTTTACACCTAATTGATGAGCGCGTGTTCATTCATTGTACAACAGTGCTATATTGCGGTGAATACAAACTTTCTACGACAAAAAAAAAATCGCCATTGCCTGTTTGTAACGGGTTTCACATGTCGCATGTTTTGGTAAAAGAAGAAACCGCGGAGTTTCCGGAATGCCCGCATCTGCCGAGTGTGGAAACCGCTTTCATTTGGGTGGTTGAATTGACCCTGTCCGATTTTTAACAACTTTCCTCCCCCGAACGGTCATCCTCATGCCCCCGTCGCCCCCTTAACTCTAATTTGTGACCGTGTGCTTGCATTTCTGGCAGGAATATCAAGTGGAACTACTGCATTCTGGATGAGGGTCACATGATCAAGAATGGGAAAACAAAGCTCTCTAAGGCCGTAAAGCAACTGACCGCCAACCACAGGCTCATTCTGTCTGGCACTCCAATCCAGGTGTGAGGAGGGTGGGGTTTAACCTAGCGGATGCTCTTCTTCAGTTTGGCAACCCTCCTTAAGTTTGTTAGTGCAAAGCATAGTTTGTCCTGGTATAAGTATCTTGTTTTTAAAAAAGTAAAAATTTCAGTGATTTTATTGCGTGAAATACATTGCTTTTAAAACATTTGCTAATTAAGTTTCTCCCAAGAACATAGGCAAAGCACCATATGTTGGCAGACCTGTATAAAAATACCATCTACTTTGAACTGTACAGATACATGAAGGACACGTGCTAAAAGCATTTTACAAAAAGTGTGTTAAGAGCTCGACAAATGATTGCCAATGAGTTGTTTTTCGAATATTTGGTACAATAACTTCATAATCATGTGAGAGCCCATTTAAGACGAGAGTCCCCGTTGCAAGGAAGACCAGTGTGGTATTAGTCGACTTGTAAAGTAATAATGAATTCCCCCCCCTGTCGGTCCTCCCTGCCCCACCCACATCATAATGTCCTCATGTAGAACAACGTTCTGGAGCTGTGGTCCCTTTTTGACTTCCTGATGCCGGGCTTCTTGGGCACTGAGCACCAGTTTGCGGCACGCTACGGGAAGCCCATCCTGGCGAGCCGTGATGCACGCAGCTCGTCCAGGGAGCAGGAGGCTGGTATGGGCACCACCCAAACACAGTAGTACATCCAATATAGCAGTTTAACACCAGTTGCTTTGCTGAGGCAGGGGCACTGCTTTTTTTTTTTTTGCAAGTGGCTTCGTTGCTGTGTATCGTGAAAGTCAACGGTGTTTGCCCCAGGGACCGACTGGCCCTCTGTCATGGGAATGTGTAATTTCTGCCACTGTGTCAGGGCCACTGATTAGAACATGAGTGTTTGCCCCATTGCTAGTTTGAGACCGGTACATTTTCGCAACCGATCTTAAGATTGCGATGGGGCCCCATCGGATATGCAAACACCCCCTCCCCCCACCACACCAGTTGACAACACCAGATTCCCTGATTTGGAGGCATAGTCTCAGGTGGATGTGGCACATGCCCCCCCCCCCCCCCCCCCATGTTGGCTGCGTGCAGGTGTGTTGGCCATGGAGGCACTGCACAGGCAGGTGCTGCCGTTCCTGCTGCGTCGCATGAAAGAAGACGTGCTGCAGGACCTGCCTCCAAAGATCATTCAGGATTACTACTGCTCTCTCAGTCCCCTGCAGGTGTGTGCGTCTCACAAACGGGGAGCGGTAGCGCAGTGGTTAGCGCACTGTCATGAACCCGGTGACCTGAGTTCAATTCCTGCTCGTGGTCGATTAAGTCGTAAATATTTGAACCTGTCCTGGGCCTCTCCTCGGTAAACTCTGCCTTAAATGAGTACTTCATACATTGTGTAAACAACAGCATTGGCGAGTTAAAGCCTGTGTGCCACGCCAGCTGTAAGAGGTGCTCTCTAACAGCACTCGTGCACTATTTGCAACCACACACACGTGCGCACGCACATGCTATTCCAGACCAGTGCCACTCGCCCGGTGTCTTGCAGGAACGTGGGTGGGTTGATGCTCTAGATAGATGGTGGAATTTCCACATTACATTATAGGGTTGATATCCCCACAAAATGGTGGTTATTTTATCACTTACAGGCAGCAGCAGTAAAAAATTGGTAACAATTTTGAAATGTTCATCACATGTAATAGCTGGAATATTTTCAATTTTTCAAGTAAAGCCATAAAAGATAAAGGTCCAGTCCTACAATTACTTACACCACTGCTGGCAGAGGGCCTCCACTAAGAGGGTATTATGGCCTACTCTTCCACATCTTGGAGTAAAGAGGACCAACACCACTCGCGGGCCTGCCGCTTGGACTAACGGTAAACACCGTACACCTAAAAATACGTTTCTGAAGACACTACGTTGGTAAAACTGCAACCGTTAAATGTACTTGTGAGTTCCGACTGTGCGTGACCGCCACGCATTGCGCTACGGTGGGTGTGCTGCAGGTGCGGCTGTACGAGGACTTTGCGCGCTCGCAAGCCAAGCACGACGTGGACGACACAATCTCCTCGGGGAAACTGTCCTCGGAGCCCAGCGACAAGACCAAGCTCAAGGCCACCGGGCACGTCTTCCAGGTATTTGTGTACGTCTGTTTCATCGTGAAGACCCCCCCCCCCTCACCGTGCCGTGCCGTGTAGAAAAATACCACAGCACCTTGTCCGTCAATGTAGTTTCCATAAGTGGAAAATGTTAGAGCGCTCGTACGACTTTTACCGTGGCCCTGCGGCAATTTGTCTAGGCGTGCCGATCGCAGTGGCTTTTCCACATCGTCTCGTTCGATGTTGCTTTCAAAAATGTTGCTCACTGAAGTTGAATACTCGTGTTGACCGCCATCACTAGCTGTCATGTGTAAGGTCTGTAGTGTTTTATGATATCTTAATTTAACCGCTTCATTTTGACCAATGTTCTTAATCTAGTGGCAAAGAACCATCACACGCACTCACAGTGCTTCTTTTGGAACCATATTCAAATATCAACGTTTCAAGTGTTGAATAAATGGGGAGCATGGAATGTGCTGACTCAATGCCTTGATATTAGTGCATGGCATAATGAGACAATAACCGCACTAAGCTATAGCAGTGATACATATTTACTCATGTACCACCATGTCTGTGGTTCAGTCGAGTATGCTGGGGGGTAGGTACTACATTGCTGCTGGCGTCACAGCCAGTGGTTTGCTATAAGCACTGTGTTCCCCTCTCACCCCCCCTGGCCAGGCTCTGCAGTACCTGCGCAAGCTGTGCAACCATCCCGCGCTGGTGCTCACTCTGCAGCACCCAGAGTTCCAGCGAATCTGCGAGGAGTTGGCCACACACGGATCATCGCTGCGCGATATCCAGCACGCGCCCAAGCTCTCTGCACTCAAACAGGTACCGTTTGCAGCCCTTTCTGTGTGACCATTGGGTCGTCCGCTCGTGCCACGCCCCTCATCATGATGATGTCGGCTCTTTGTTTTGGCAACTTGTGACAATGTAATCCAGTTGCCACTCGCATGTCTCAACGATTTCTCTCACTCCCGTTCCCCTTCTGCTGCCATCCCATTTGCCTTCCTATGGTTACTTTCCCATTCCTCCCCCTCTATTTTACTTCTTGTGCCTATCTTGTTTGCCCCTCTGTTCACCTCTTGAATCTCCTCTCTTTACCCTTCTGGTTTATTCCTGTTCTTCTCTCCATTCCCCTCTTTCCCCTCCTGTTCCTTTGTCGGTTCCCTTCCTCTCCTCCCACCTCTTTCCCTGCCACTGCTCTCCCGTTTCCCTACGCCCCCCCCACCCCAGCTGCTGCTGGACTGTGGTTTGGGTGGCGGCGGCGGTGCGGGTGGTGTGGATAGCGGCCCCGAGGCCGTGGTCGCCCAGCACCGCGTGCTCATCTTCTGCCAGCTCAAGAGCATGCTGGACATGGTGGAGTACGACTTGCTGCGGCCGCAGCTGCCCGCTGTCACCTACTTGCGCCTCGACGGGAGCGTGCCCGCCGGCCAGAGGCACTCCATCGTTGCGCGGTACATTCCATGCACAGAGCAGTGCACTCTTAAATTTTTTTTCAGGTTACGTTCTGGCTGGTGTGGAAGACGATGCAATGCATGGGAGGCGAAAATAGAATAATAAACAATATGCAACGGAAGGGGACGTCTGATGTAAATTAGCAGGAAACTACGAATAATATATATTCATTAAGAAAAGCACCAATTGAGTCTGGATATTCGGTTTCAAGAGCGATATGCTTGAGTGTTTTGTGAATTCCTTTTTGAGAATTTGTGTGTGGTGGGGTAAAAAAAACACCTTCACCAATACTGGAGGATCTGGAAAGAGATGTTATTAAACCTGCTCTTACCATCTAATGCCAGTTTGAGTGTATTACATACATTTCTGCACAACTCCCTGTAATTCGCAGTTGACAGTACCATGAGTGAAGCTGTGAAGAACGTGTAATGCCTGACAAAAGCGCCTTTCCGAATGGATCTATGAATGAAGTCGCTGTTTAAACTCGATTTCAATCGGTAACAATTCGGTATTATTCTTAACCCAATTTCTCCAGGGGTGTGCTGGTATACCGGTGCTGAAGCGCTGCTTGTACCCCGAGGCGACACCACAAATGTGTGCATGCCCCCCTCCCCCTCCCCGGGCAGGTTTAACAACGACCCGTCAATCGACGTGCTGCTGCTGACGACCCACGTGGGTGGCCTGGGCCTCAACCTGACGGGCGCCGACACGGTCGTGTTCGTGGAGCACGACTGGAACCCCATGAGGGACCTGCAGGCCATGGACCGTGCGCACCGCATCGGGCAGGTGAGCCTCCTCCGCATGCTGCTGCTGTACAGGGGAGCGTGCAGCGAACCGCACAGACCCACACCCACACCGGCACTTGTGACAGCAGCAGTAACGTGAACTACCAAACCACTCCACCCTCGCTTCTGGTTTCGCTGCTGGGTTTGTCGACGCAATGTTTCGCGGAGCGACTTGTCCTGCGGTCTTCCGGGACTGCTTGGGTCGTTTCTATTGCTGGTCATGCCACCCTTCGTACCTTCCGTTGGGGAGGTGTGGGAATGTGGTGTTAGTCATGAATCACCACCAAACTACCCTTACATTTTTATTGTCATTGTTCCACAAAACAATAATTTTCTTTAGTGTTTTCACCGTTGTGTTTTGAGTCCATTTTCTCGTTTAACATCTCATTTGTTTCGTTAAAGGTCATATTTGCATATGATCTGCATATAATCTGAAAAAATCATTTATTTATTCTTAAACACAATTTGAGGCATTTATCAGATGCATATTAACACATTTTAATGAATAAACCCATAGTACGTATGTTGAACTTCTTTCGCACCGTACGTAGCCAACTGTGCTATTAGGTTTCCAAGGTTGCGTGAACAACTTTCTCTGGTCTAGCAACAACACAGCTGCTTTCCCTCCACCTTGCTCGTGAAATATTATTTTATGATATTGCGTCGTTGGCAGTGGTGCGCAAGCACATGTAACAAACAAAAAACTCCGCAGCCATCAATAATACTGCCTGACGACAGAAAACGTATACAAAATATGTTTTTGGCATTGGCCCTTCACAGCACATGCCTCTGCTGTGAAGAAGGGCCGTTGCCTACTTGTTACTATTTAATTTTTAAGACGCTGTTATTGACGAATCTATCAAGGCCCCTTGTTAATCGTGCTTATCGAGTCCCTGCGATGCCATCCAAATAGCCTCTTGTACATAACTGGCAATGCCCAATTCTGGTTGGCAGGTTGAGTGGATTTTGAATGCTTCTTGGAGGGCCACAACAATTAAGAGGTGGGAACCCTCGCTCGGGAGGACATTGTGACAAGTTGGTCGGTGGCACGGCCTCCGTATTCATGGTGTGCCTGCGTGTGTGTGTGTGTGTGCTTGCACCGGCAGAAACGCGTGGTGAACGTGTACCGCCTGATCACGCGTGGCACGCTTGAGGAGAAGATCATGGGGCTGCAAAAGTTCAAGCTGAGCATCGCCAATACCGTGATCAACCAGGACAATGCCAGCCTGCAGAGCATGGGCACCGAGCAGCTGCTCGACCTCTTCACCCTCGAGAAGGTGCACAGCCCGATCGTCCTCGGCAGCACCATGCTCATCAGCAGCATGGCCGTCAGATCCGTCGCTACCCTGAACAGAAGCACTGTGATGAACACCATAGCCATCTGCGTCATCCTCACTACCAGCATCCTTGTTTATTGTAACCAGCACCATAGCCAAAAGCGACATTGCCTTGAGTCCCTGAGCCTGGACCAGATATTTAATTTGTCAGTACCACCAGATATTTCTTAACTTTACGTTGTTGCAATTTTATGTAGCCAACAATAGTGAATTGTGATTACTACTTGAAATAAGTGGGTGTATCAAACAGTTCACTCTTATTTTACTTGGAAATACATTGGTGCATGGTTGTCAAGACCATTGTCCTTTTTGACCAGCATCTTCATCAGCAGTACCTTTGCCCTTAGCACTGTCTCCTTTTTCACTATTTAATATTGTCATCTTGGGTAAAACCATCCATGATCAGTACCATATAGTTATCTGAAAAATAAATATCAGCACTTGCTATACTGGACATCTGTGAAAAACAACTTAATAGATTATTGGATTCCTCCAGTATGCATAAAGATTCTGATTCTGTAGTTACCTTTCCCACCATCTCCTTCAGTACCAGCACGGTTACCATCGGGACTCGCCACGAGCGAGCCGCTATCGGCACCATTTCCATCGGCGCCATCTCTAAATAAACACCGCTTGCACCGTTACCACCAGCAGTTACTAGTGCAGTGCCTCACTGTTGCACGTTTTTCTCTGGTTGCGTGAAACAGGGCGGTCTGTCGGAGGATGCTCCCTCAAGCGGAGGAGCTTCCAAGAAGGAGACGATAAAGTCTGTTCTGGAGAACCTGGGAGACCTGTGGGACCAGGAGCAGTACGACTCTGAGTACAACCTGGACTCGTTCATAAAGTCCCTTAAGTAGCAGCGGGGGATGGCTTGCGCGCACCAAGACGCGGTCTCTTTTGTCTTAAAAAATAAAATAAATGATGTCGAAAACTTAAGGGGAATTGAGGGCAAGTGGGAAAGAAAATAAATCGACCTACTCCAGCCGTGGTAGGAAATAGCAAAAACAGTCTCTGAAGAGTTTGTGTTATGGTTCTGTCTTGGTGTGGGGGTAGTATATTTTCGGAAGCGAAGCAGAAATAACACGGCCCATACCTTCATTGAAATTGTACAATAATGGCTTCTATATAATGGAATGAATGGAACAAATACTTTCACCAGTGGGGAAGGCTTCCAAGCCTGACAAAGGAGGGGGTCCTGCTTTGACTGAGCAGGCATGGTGTTGATGGCTCCCTCGACCACTGCGACTCCGAGGCAGCTCGCACAACATGTGCGTGTTCCTGGGGCTGCAGCTGAAGACGACTTCGCTCCGCATCCAGATCCAAGAGGAGGAGGGGGTATGGATCTGTGTCAGATTTGCTGAGATCCACACATGCAGTGTTTTCTTCACCCGAGAAGAATGTACTCTGCCCACAGTAGTGGATGCTGCATGCCGCTAGATCAGAGAAGCTGCTAACTCGGCAGAGATCTTGCTCTGTGGAAGTGCAGTAGGATTTGTTTTGGTACACGAGGATTTGGCTTTGAGCTTGGTTTGGAAAGCTGGGCACCCACGTGCGATTTCAGACGGTAGGGCACGCCTGCTCCAATCCTGGTTGTGTTTGGTGCCCTCTGTAACCCTGACTCCCTCCTACCCCTTAACCGTTTACTTCCCTGGCACATGGCAACCCAGTAAGGCACAGTGACAAGGTCTTGTACACGCAGCACTAAGTAAACATTGTGGCTGTTACAGCTGTTGGACGGGTTTAACCATATACAGTTCTAGCTGTTTTGGCTCTGATCACATGTACATGGAACTCAAATAGTTGGGCGTATTAACTGATGTTGCTTCATTTAGTAGGACATGCTGTGACCATACATTTAAAAAAAAGTCACCCCTGTAAGGGGGATTTATTGATATGCATGACCTTTGCAGGGCCCACCTGTTCTGGGTCAATATCTTAAAATATATTTCCCCCAAAATTCTGCATCAGGTTTTCCACCTGTTAGCTGTGTTGCTTGAGTTAGGCAATGCATGATTGATCAATTACCTTTGAGCTGTCCTGCATTGTGCGGGCTTGTGAAGGTGAACACATTGTATCTCTACCATGTTTTATGAGGTGTGTCACCCTTCTGTGTCATTCCCAGTGGCCATTCGGTAAATGTGTAATTTGGTACTCATGTTTGCGTTGGGCAATGAGGCTGAACGACCACTTGAATTGGAGACTCGGAGGGCTGTGGTCTGTTTTTATGAAATGGTGAGTGCGTTAAGAGTTAAAATATAGCCTAACAGCATTTGTGGCAGTGCCATGCGTTTATTTGTTGACTTGTGTACAGCTGCTGGTGTTTATTCATAATCCGGTGCAACGTGTGCACGCGCGCTGCGTGCACGATGCCTAAATACGCCTGGGGGTTTGCGACCGTGGCCCCTTTCCCATGGTGCTCCGTATGCTCATGGGATTTTTTTTATATAATCCCTGGGTTGAGCAAAAAATTTACGTTGCAGGGGAAACCTGTGATTGGCCACGATTGTGGCAAACTTCCACCCTGAAAAGATATCAAGTGTGGGTGAATGCATTGTTACATCAACCTCATGCACGACGAGCGGTCATGGTGATTGAGAGCACGGGGCTGTTCCCTGTAAGCCCCATTTGCCGTTTTAACTTTTCTACCTGTGCCCCATTTAATGAATTGTCGAGGACAGACACCTCCGCACTAAAACATTACAGGTTCGTCGTTTGTATTTAAACTGGTGTTATTTTCAGGATTTAGTATGGTCTTTAAAAGTACTGCTTTTGGCTTTACAAAGAAATAGTCAATATGAAATAAAAATGAACCAAACATTTTAAAGTGTGTGTGTGGTAATTTATTCACACTTTGTATGGTACAGAACTGGTTAATAGTGTACATTCACCTGAGATCGTGGTGATGTCATGTGGTAAAACTAATTTGCAACTTTAAGAAATTACATCCCAAAGATTAGTCGTTTTTGTATAATAAATACAACTGCAGTAGCTGTAGTTTGCATTACACATTTCATAGTTTTAAATATGAAGATGTACAAATTAACAAATTAGATTTTTATTTAAACATTTCAAAAAAAATCTTTCGTGTAACAACTTCAAATAAATTGTTTTATTCTTATCTCCCTCCGACTTCGCTTGGTATTGGCAGGGCCAGATGGTGTGAGTGGCCATGCCTTCAACTGAGCGCACTTGGCTGGGCCAAGCTGTACTCCACGTGTGCAGTGATGTAGAGGAGGCTGTGCACATGACGTTGGTCACAGCACTCTGGTTTGAAGACTTCGGGCTTTGGTTTTAATGGGGGAATTTGGGAAACCCAGTGAAGACAAGACACATGGGTAGTGGCACAACTGATTTCCACTCACCAGACCATAGTTTAACATGCATCCATTGTTCACTTGCTCAGAATTCTTAGTTTTATCAGTTAAATGATTGCACATTGCAGATTTTTTTTTATACTGCATATTAATTGACATTGTACCTGGTCCTTAATATTTAGTCAAATACTTTCATGAGCAGAAATAGGTAAACGTTGTGGTTATTGGTGGTGTGTTCCTGAAGAGCATTGTTAAAGGCATGAAATGGCCAAATTGCTTTACTATTAGGAAACTCAAAATATTAGAATATTAAGTAGTGTGCTTATTTGAGTAAGATTGTTAATGTAGTGAATGGACACGCAATTATTTAGCCTAGAACATCAACGCAGAGGTGAAACCAGGTAGAAGACGATTACATTTCAAAACTTGTCTGGAAATGCACGCGAGACGATGCACATCCAACTGTGTTCTGATTTGTTGAAATGTGGTGCTTTGCTGGGGGGTGGGTAAAGAATGGTGACCGACTTAATTAGCACATGGAGTGCTGAAGTGTGTGAAGCAAAAAGGCTCCTTATTTAACTACGTCCTTGTTCATGTGCAGGATGGTTTGATATTATGTATAATTTTTATTCATTGACAGATTTAAGAGCCTGCACAGATTCCCAATCCCCTGCCTGGGGTGAGTTCTTGGTATCTCGGCAAGGGGGAGGGCATTACTTGTAAATTTAAAAACTATTGCTATCTAAAAAATTAAATTCCTACCTTTTAAACTTATTAATAGGTATAACAGCTTAACACGGCTGACTTGTATAGACACAAATTTTGCAAAACTAATGTTTTGACAGCCTTGTGCAAGATGTCAATTTTTTATGAATCTGAGTTATTTCACTTCTGATTAAGGACCATGAGAAGTGAAACTGAACAAGGGTTTGTCACTGGTTTTAATAACATGTTAAAGGTGCCGACTTTTCTACCTTGCAATATCTCAGCCCTCTCAAGCCCCATTATCATTTATTGGTATTACTCTACATATAAATGGGCCTTTAATATTTATTGAATATTAGGTTGGCATTTTGATTACCATCTCACTCTTTTCAGCATTTTGACTGCTCATCCAGTTTGGAACATTTCACACTTCTGTGATAAATGTAAAGGCTACGGGCAAGTGTTAATGTGAAGGGTTAGGCACTAGGGCCGGTGAGCGTAGCAATCTTTGAACACCACAGCTGTATTTGCATGCAGATCATGTACAGATTAATGGTATGGACTGCTTGATACGTTGATCATGTGAAAAGTATGCTTTGTGCACATATAAGTCTATGCTTGATAAGGTATTTTTTTCAAAATAATTTGATGGACACTGCCCGCACACGCTAATGGTCTGTTAAGCTATTTGCAAAAAAAATACGCAGCATGACAACGTGCTAGAGAACCATTAAGCAGGCTGAGCCACATGATTATTACTGTGGCCACATGGGTTGCACGAAGACAGGCCATCTGCACACGAAAGGGAGATGTTGCGGACAGTGTTTTAGCCTCACCAGTACCACTTGCAAAGGTTTAATTGGTATTGCTTTTTAGAAACCAACTCATCCGATGGTGCCATCACCGCCACGGACGAATAGAAAAGGTTTTGTTAAGTACTGCATTCATATTTAACTAAGACTTAAAACTTAACACACATGTAAGTTGCATTCATAGCCAAACAAAAGGAAAACACATGTACTGGGAAATAAGTACAGGTTGCTACTTCAGTAATGACCTGAGTAATTCACTTAGCAGTGCGAACTGACCAGCTGACGTGCCATGGTGGTGGACATCGCTTTAATTCCTACCATGCTGCCACTGCTTTTGGTTACAGGCAGCAGACCTGTATTCCTCAAACGGGTCTGTATGTTGCAGATGCCCTGGCATCCACACACGCTTTGGACCCAAGTGCAGGTGCTAGTATTGCCAAACCAATGTCGTGCTGTGTAACTTCTGGCCAAATGTTTAGGTCAAACTGCAGTAACAGGGAAAAATGGAAAGGGTCTTGTGTTCAGCTCATGTTTACGTCACAACTGGTAGAGGGCCTTTCTATTCCAAGGTGCATTTAGCCATTTACTATTTCATGCTAATTCATGCTGCCATCATAAGCAGACCATCAATACAATTCCTAGTTGCCCATTTTACCATTAAGCTGATGGGAAACAATTGTCTTATTTGACCGTGGAGGAAATCTTTCTAAATGGGTGGGGGCAGTTTAGTATTTTGTTTTTCTGGAACTGCTTGTGCTGATATCCAATATAACTGTTAATGACATCCTATGAAAAACCATGTTTGTGACCCTGGAACGTGTTGACTTTAAATGCTGATCCCACCACAATTTCAAAGCATCACCATTTGGAGCAGTCGGCGGCTGCATGTCAGGGGTGCAATCAAAACCCCTGCACCAAGCCTTTCAGACGTGGGGCTGAAACGGCCACCAGACTTTCCAGGTGGGAGCACCATCTTGACGGAGCCCTGCATGGGTGCCACATGCAGTGGCAGCCTCTGCTGCGCTCCTCACAGCTTGGCCGTGATCTTGCCGTAGAGCGGCTTTACGAGTGGGAAGAGGGGGAGGCCTCGCTTGAAGTCGTTGGTGTCCTCGATCACTGTCGGCTGACGTACACAGAGTGCATCGCTTAGGACATTGACAGTCACTCGTGATTTGCCAGTTTGTGAGACGCCAACATTGGTTGTCTGGAGGGGGTCACCGCCGACCTCTAGCATGGCAATGCCGATTTTTCACTGCTGGCTCAGCCATAAACACAGGTAAGTGCAAGCCAATTGCTCATTTGAACAGTGAGATCACAACTTCGGAGTTGACTTCAAAATGTGAAAGTCTGCAAGCATGCAACTAAGCGTGTGATGGCATATAGATACAGGTTCAGTTGCTTGCCATGGGCACAAGTTATCTTAACATGCACACCATGTCATGCCATGGGAATTCAACATTGCAAATGTGGCTGACTACAAATGGAAGATGAACACCATCTACCACTCATTAATATAAAAAGACTGGGTCTTACTTGAGCAGGAAGATAATTTGACTTGAAATAAACTGCACCATAAAATAATACCAGTGTTGGGAGGAGCACTCGAGCGGGTGTGGCGAATAAACATTGCAGAAGATACGAATGATAGAGGCATCCTGTTACCTGGGGCAAAGGTGGTGCGGGCGTGAGGCTCACATCATTCTGGCACGGGAACTCTCCGACGACAGGACCTGGAGCATCCAGAGCACGGGACACGACACCCTCAGCCACCACCCCCCACACTTGCGACACACAACTGCAAAATCACACGAACCATCGACAAAACCGGGCGAGTGAATGATTGGGTGCTAAAAGAGGCTGCTTACAGGATTCCATCTCGCGTGACAGCACGTGGACAGAGATCTTGTGGCGTCGAGCAGCGTCAACTGACAGGAGCTCCTGTAGCACGAACAAGCACACACGTATACACAGACAAAGGTCCCCGTATAGCCTTTAATAAACTGTTGGGGCAAGTGCTATGAACGAGCACCTATGAAGGCCGCCACAGCACACTGAGTGGGTGGCCAATTCCACAGCCAGCCACCTTTCTCTTCCCAAAACAGATTCAGAAATTCGTCACCGATGTTGGCTGGGAGCGGGAATCGAACTCGGATCGTCAGGATCGTTACGCGGTGCGCTAACCAATAAACACTACCGCTCCCCACACAGATATACACGCACAAAAGTACAGGCATGTACGCACATGCACATGAATACAAAAGCAAACATGCACACAAGAATGCAAGCACATACATCAGCATGTGCACTCTCACACAATCAAATGGAATTTCCCTTTAAGCTTAATTGTAGGGGCAAGTGTTAATAAGTATCTATTTGTGAGATCAAGTTAGAATGTAATGCCACATGAGGGGGTGGTTGTAGCCAATACGCCTGGCCGCCTTGTGTCTCACTGGGAGAGACAGAAATCTTACTCGGGGTTATAGATCGTAGCAGAGTACAGGATCCACAGAGCTGTTCCCACATGGCTATTATTGATTTTGTGAATCGGTGCTCGTGTCAAGGGCTCCTCTGATGCTCATAATGGACAGACGCACCTGGTAGAACTTCAAGACGTCATCCTTGGTCAGTGTCTTCAAATGAGCTACTTCAATGTTGTCTGAAAAGAAATGAATCCACAGCATACATTATTTGTGCATATCAAACAAGGTACAGCAATCGAAGTATTGAAAGGTTGTATTAATGAATTCCAAATTGAATCTATTGGAGGAAGGATAAAATTATACTTTCATCTCTTGTATTTAAAACTATTAACGGATTAAAAAAAGTAAGCTCATAAGAATAAAGTGTCAGAAGCTTTTTTCTTGCAATTCGATCAGGGGACATGAAATGCAAGCACAGTGGCTGACAATAACTCGTGGGCTCACGAACAAATCAGATGTCAAGCCCAACAACGAAGTGCTTGTCAAGTGACGGACATGTTCTGGGAGAATACCGATTTGTGGGATAAAAACACCCCCAATTTAATTCAATGCTCAAATCACTGAAATAAGGCAGCACAGGCGATAATTCGAATTCACAGCAGCTGTGAAATAATAACGCATGGCATTTACTTTGCAATATACTCAGAATAATCACGATTCTGCACGGGTGTTAGAAAAGTCCAGCGTAAGATCTGTCTCGTATACTATGGGCATCAATGCAAAGATTAACATCAATGATGCACAGGATTACGCATGCAAAAACGATGTTCAATTCGTACAAGTAGTATATAACTTGTAACGAATCTTGCAGTCTCATTGAGACTATGCAATGCAAATGGACCAAAAAATTCTTGTATCTTGAATCCCAATCGTGATTCTAAATTCTAACAATTGCTTGAATTGTACGGGGGAGGAATGATTAAATGCCGAGTGTGTTGACATCACCCTACAAGCTAATTTTCTAGGGGTGTCACCGTACTCTGCGATTGTTCACCCCATGCTCGAATTGTCTACGGGAGCTAAGCTCTAATTTTCATATGCGTTGCTCAATTATTATCGTCTTTTGGTATCTGTACTTTTATTGAAGAAATATTTAAAACTCACAATAATACGCTGGAAGCAGCAGGAATGCACAACTGCTCGGCGATTCGCTTTAGGGCTCACAAATCTCATTTGGCTCTTTCCACGGCAATCTAGTCTCCAGATCTATGGGCCGTCAAATCAATCGCAGCCGCCAATCTGAGGAAGAGTAATTCCTTTACCTTGACAAGTGTCGCGTGTCATAACACAACGACAACAGCGTGCCGAGTGCACACACCTCTCTGTAGGGACATCGATCGCTGCTCAAATTCGCATCGTTTGATCAGAAACAAACGAAACCAAAACACCACGGCGTACAAACAAAGGAACACACGAACGACACTACACAGGGAGAACCCCCCCCCAGCCTATTCCCGAGACCCGGCGTGAACGGACCTCGGTCGAAGTTGTACTGCTGCGAGATGATCTCTCCCCAGTGCTTGCCGCACTCGGTGCTCAGCTTCTTGGGCTTGTCGAGGCGACGCACGGCGAGGGCGCTCGCGTGCTTGGCGAACGCGTCGGGCGTCATGTCGGCCACGTGCCGCCCCATGGCGTGCAGGAACGCCTCCACGCGACTCTCCAGGTAGTGCGGCTGCTTCTCCGACTGGATGATGAAGCGTAGGCCCTGCACGCCGCTCGACCGTCGCGGCCCGCTGAACACGATGTAGCCTGGCACCGCCGGCGCACACGGACAAACGAAACCCACGCCGCGTTATTGCCGTTGGCTGCAAAGTAACAACACATCACGGTAGGTAAGCGTGGTTGTTCAGTTGACACGCCGCGTGCACTCGTGCTCATTGAGCTTGGGCATACGCTCATTAGTACGCACGTGCAAGACCCCAGCTCCCTCATCTATAGCCAATCAGCTAATGCTTGGCCAGTGCAAATGGTAACTAGTCACCTAAGCCAAGAGCTTTACACTAGAGTCTGGATTCGACAGAGGCCACAGGCATCCTGAGTTGGTCTGCAAAACAGTTTTTATAAAGTGCCCAAGAGGTGTGTGGCTTAAGGAAGGCATGATTTAGTGTTGTGATTCGTGAGAGTTGTGAATGGCATGGTTGTAAATTTCACAGAGAAACATATTTGGGTGTACGTATATGTGCATGTGCTTATGAATGTGTGTGTACTCCAGCGTGCATGTGTGCAAGTTCACGTGCGTGTGTGCATGCGTGTGTTTTACATATGTCAATTCGTAACACCTGAGTCTGTTCTGTGACTTCCTGCCAGCGAGCCTTTGACACTGCACGTGGCCTGAAAGTGCACCTCACCTGGCACGAGCGCCGTGGTGATGTCACTGCCACTCTGGTGAATGGCGATTGTTGTTGTTGGTGCATGTCTATCCGTGTGTTAGCGTGTGTTTGTGTGTGTACGTGTGTGCGTGTGTGTATGTGTGTTAGCGTGTGTATGTGCGCATGTGTGCGTGTGCGTGTACGTGCACTCACCCAGTTGCTCCTTGGTGCGCAGGGTGTTGAAGCAGGGCTCCGACACGATCTGGCAGAAGAGCTCCAGCAGCATGTTGTCGTGCGTTGTCTGCAGGTCCGTCTGGTAGTAGATCTCGATCCCGCAGTTGTTGTGCACCTCGTTACGCCTCTGGTACACGAACCAACGGCCTGAAGTGTGCGCACTGCGCACAAAAAAACGGGATCTGCGTGTAACTTTTTGTAGATCGTCGAGCCGTGAAGATGTTTGTGGGCACCTATTACGATCGGCACGGTGCACGGTGGGGTGGTGTGGCGGGAACAACGCTGTGGCTGTCATCGTCTCCGCAGTGCTGATGTTAATGATGTTAACACACCGCGCCAGACAACCATTTAAGGCCGAGTTGACCTCGGTATGTCTCAGGACAGGTTTAGATATCACTCGCAACTGATGTTCGCCGGGGCCGGGAATAAAATTCAGGTTGCTGGGTTTGAAGAGCAGTTTGTTAATCGCTGCACTGAGACTCAAAAGCACACATAAAAAAAGGACAAAAATCTCCCTCAATAATTCCTCCTTTGGCCTGACAGAATGTTAAACTCTTTGTAAGATCAGGGATAGTGAGAGGAACACAAACGACAGTGGGACAAAGTGAGGGCGAGGGAGACACAAAATAGTCAAGAAGAATCATCAACACAAAACACTACAGATTCAAACCCTGAGAAGACTCTTAAAGATCCAATAATAAGAATGCAATGTGACATTTCATTAGACTCATTCGTTCGATTCGACTGCCAGGCAGCCATCCTCTCCGCCAAAGCGCCATACCGTCGGGCAGCTGCACCTCACGGTGGCGTGTGAGCTGGCTGGGTAGCAGTGGCTTGCTGTGAGCCAGCCGTACCAGCGTGTCCTCCACCATGGCCATCGTCTCCAGGGCACCCTGCGCACAGTGGGCGAGCGCCATCACCATCACAACCATCACAACGTCCGCACTAGCAGCAGTGCTCGGTGCAGCAGCACTGCGACCTCTCGCTGTCCTGTGTCATACGCTGCTGGTTTGCTGTTGACAAGCAACGCCAATGTTAACCCTTTCCCGTTATGATGACGTACACGTACAGTTTTTATTCTGATTTATGTATATTTATGTCATCGGAACGGAATTGATTCTGAAGCAAATCAAATCGACCCTGAACAGAATTGGAAGTGAAAGGCCATGCGGGAGGGGCGTGTGCCTGGCCGCCAATGACTGCACAAAGAAACCCCATCACATTCAATTTGGTTTTGTACTTAATCTGGGCAAATTCCAGCTCTGAAAAAATTCTGATTGACTGTCATGTGACAGGCTTGGGTGGAAAAATGCTGCCTCAAAGTGTGGACCAGATGTCACTTTAAGGCATCCAGAGATTACTCTGTGGTATTTCCTTCCAGGACCATTCTCTGCCACGAGCGTTTGCACTGCTCCTGCGTGACACCTCAATGGATACTCATGACTTGAAGCTGAAAGCTCAAGTGGGGTAAATCTGGGGCGGCAAAACATGTTAAGGACTGCAAATGTCTCGCGGTTGAAGCGAGCTGTGGCAGCTTTAGGGGTGGGGTCTGTACAGCACCTCCTTGTCCACGTTCCCATGGAAGAGGCACTCCATGTGCAACCTGGACAGCAGCTGCGGCACGAATGCCTGTAGGCAGGACACGGTGACGTCTGAAACGAGAGCGGCCAGTCGCGCATAACACCATTGGCTCCTGTGCATCGGGCGGTCCTACACACACATGCTGACGCACTGTGGCTGTAAATGTGCAGTTTTGTAAATCCACTGTTGGATTAGGGCCTTCCCACGCCGTGCAGGTGATTCTCCTTGCTCTAGTAAGCACAGAGCAGTGCTCGTCTCCATTGAAAGCCCCGAGCCAGTGATGGAAATGTCACGTTCGTATGGTTGGACTCGTCACTCACTTCCTGCAAAGTCACTCAACCTTGCGGATTCTTCGTAAGTGGTTGACAGCCGCAGATAATTTATTCGGTCGCTTCAGAGTGCAACCACTACGGTGTGTGACTGAACTGAAGCTGAACAAGACAGTGCAACCATTCCAAATAGATTTTCTTACTGTATCAGAATAAAGCATTTCGATAAATGCCATTAAGAGCTTGCCATGCGTCCATTAGACAATGGAAGCATATGTGTGTGTCTCAGGCAAGTCTCACTGACTCTCTTAAACTATGAATATTACACCTCAATATTGCAAGCATATACCACTTACAGTTTTTATAAATATCAACTGGTTCTGTGCGTAGCTATGTGCGTTGCATGGAGGTGATGTGGTGTAGTATGTTGGGGCACGGATGGGCTTGGAGTGGCTTGGAGTGTCGTGCTATGGTGTAGTGTCACGTGGTGTGGTGTGGCATAGTGTGGTGTGGGTGTCGCATGGTGTGATGTGATGTCGCATGGCATGGTGTGGTGTTGCGTGGCATGGTGTGGTGTTGCGTCGCATGGTGTGGTGTTGCGTGGTGTGGTGATGCGTGGCGTGGCACTGAGTGGTGGCCCCACCTTCGAGTGCATCACGAAGCTCCTCCTTCGTCCAGGCCAGTTCTGTCATGAGAAGACGCAGGTAGTACATGGCGTGCTGGTGTGGCTGCTCGGCACGGAAGTTGCTCAGAGACCGCAAGTACTATAGAGCAAACATGAAAAATATGATGAGGATAATGATAGCAACTTTACCATGAATCAGCATTTCAGGGTCGCTGGATAACTACCAAGCGAAAAAGATCCCCCATTTAGCCCTACACACGAACAGGGCAAGTGCTGTTGGCATGTACCTATTAGGGTCGACATGACACACAGAGAGGTAGTGTGGTCAGATAAGGGAGTGATGTCTCCCAAGCGCTAAAGTACAGTACACAAGACTGTGCTGGTTATTAATGTAATGCTGAATCACCTAGGAGGTGCCCAAGACACTTTCAGCTTCCACTCACTATCAACGTTGTGCACGCCCAGAAACAACACTGAGGCTGCTAGGATCGTAACACAAGGCACTAAACAATGTACCACCCCTCCCCACCATAATTACATGATTCACACATGCCAGGCGCACACTTGAGCAAGCCCGAGATGATAATGGCTCATTAAATACATCCTCTCTTCTACTTGCTCATTATGTGTTCAAAACTGGAAGAATCGTCAAGTTTGTTTCCCCAGAATACAATCTGAATTTCCATTCCAGCCATATATATAAAGCAGTGCTGTTGTAAGAACGTTATAAAGTCAGGCACAACAGATGTAGAGAGCTGCACATCACCCAGGATCTCATCAACCTCTGAGACTTTGAGACTGAATGAGAGTTTAATCCCAACTCCCTCGTTAATTGAAGGAATACTTGGCCCCAATTAGTGACATCTGTTGAAAGTCGTAAGGCTGTTAATCCCAGCTGCAATATAAGAAGTTATCGTGACCTCGATCCTGGTAATCGCCCTTTGTATCGTAATTCTCATTGTCTTTGAAAAAGGCATTCGATGAATAAAAAATAAATATACCTTGGCTATGTCACTGGCAGACGTTGCCAGGTTATTAAAAGATAGGAAATATTTTTCAGTGGAAGACTTCCAGTTGCCTATACCTCAAATCATTACTATTTACATCCCAAGGCATCATGCTCTTTACATAATTTCGCATAAAGATTTTTTTTGGAGAGCATTGTTGTTCTTAGCTGGGACACTGCACACAGTTATGAACTGCAGTGTCGCTCCACATACACTTACCGCTTCCTTGATGATTTCAAATCGCATCTCATCAATTTCAAATGTTGCCATCTTCTCGATAATCTTCCTGAGCAGCAGAGGCTGCTTGTCTTGGTAACCTTTGATTGACAACTACCACGCACGCAGCCACGCGCACAAAACAAGGAACATACGTCACTTGCGAGCGCTTATCACGACAGACACCGCACATGAAGCGGCGGTGTGGTTAGCACCATGCACAGCCTCCTTTGTCCGTGCAGTGCTTATACTGAACATTTTGCCAGTACACCAGGTAATCAATTTGGGATCACCCAACCTCAGGGGGATCCAGGGCTGGTTTGGCTACTAAACGTGAAACGATACATCCAATCGGCAAATCAAATAAATTCTTAGTCACGATACATGTATTTCATCTTTGTTGCGTAAGAACCGATTATTTATTATTTCTGTACGCCATATGAAATTAGTTCACGTGACCTCTGCAGCAACTGTATTATCACGATCTAGCGCAATTGTTAACCAAAATAATAAATTCTCGAATTAAACTGAGATAATGAATTATGACAATTCATTGTTATAGTTGGCGATAGGATGCCAACTGCCAGCGTTTATTAATACAACCTACACAGTTCCCCTCTTCTGCCTTAGCCAGACACTCCACTCTCACCCCCTCCCCTCCACAGCTGAGCACACCGATTGAAAACCCCCATACTCGACTTTATCCGAGATCCCAAAACTCACCAACTTTCTCCAGTCAATACACGAATCACATTCCCCCCCCCCCCCCCCCGCTTCATACCAGATGTATCAACCCCTCGTCCCCCAGTCTCCTATAAATTTCAATACAGCAATCACAACCCCCTTGCATTGGCCAGGTGCTGTGCCCTTTACCCCCTACTCCAACACAGCTCAGCGTGCGGTCACTGGACACCTCCCCTCCCACCTTGGCCCAATGCTCCCTGCTTCCCAACACTCCTCCCCGGAACCCCTCACGTGGATGCCGTAGACGGTATTCTGCAGGGTGTAGCTGAGGCCCGCGAGATCGGCCGCATAGGCGTACTCGTTGAGAGAGTCTTTGAGCAGCTCCACGTACAGGTAGGCCATGTCGCAGTGCAGCGGGTCCACGTACGCAAAGGGGCTACGTGGGGTGGGGTGGGGGACAGGGCGAGTGAGGGAGACTCGGCCGTGAGATCCTAGGGTTACTTTAAAATGTAGATCTACATTTATATATATATACACATTTTAAGCACTAGCAAAGAGCAATTAAACAGCACCACCTTGGTCACTGACACGCTTGTATGAAAAATATATATGCAGGATATATGCAGGCCTTTTCTTAGAAAAAATGGTTTATAAATCTATGTTTTTATGCAGCTATGGAGTGTTCATGACTACAATGGTATGGTTTTGTAGCGGTGTTTAAAAGCTACTGAAAATGCAGTCCCTTCATTAATGCCTCAGACCAGTTAACTTTACCTGTTACGAATCAAAAACGTGGACACTGACAAACGCAACAGAACAGAAGCTGTAAAGTACTCAAATAATCACGGAGAGCGGCATGCTGAGAATTACACCGGGAGACAAGAAAAAAAGGAATTCATGGACCCTAGAACAAATGCAAATGAGTGACATCATACTGCCTGTGAGGAGAACCCAGTGGACTCAGGCAGGACATACTGCAGGGAGGGTTGATGGCCAATGGACAAGCAAAGTATCCTGCCCAAGTCCACAAGTGCAGAATGGTAGCCAGGGGTGGGAATCGCACCTCGCAGCACGATCACCGTGAAGATGGAGTGATGAGAATAACTCGTGGGACCATTGGAAGTGGGAGACTTTCATCCAGCAGTGGATATACGATGGATGATGATTATGACCAGAAGCTGATGCCCGTGCACAGACTGTGACTCACATGAACCCACGTGGTACAACAAAGGTGTGGATGTTAAATGACGAAGCTACAATGTTGTTTGTAAATGTCAAGACAGGCGGCATCATGTTCAATAGGCAAACTTAAATAAAACTAAATACCTAAAGAACTCAAAGTTGAGGCAGGCCTTGGGCAAGTGAAAGGTATCGTCCTGTTTGAACCACAGCTTGCTCATGGCAGAATCCTGGAGACACACACAACCCAAACATGCTAGCTTAGGTTTTATTTTTTGCAACGAAGCCTAAACTCTCAAACCCACACACATTTAATGTTGTGTGAGAGTCAAACATATACATATCTCTTCATATACTCACGCATGCACAAGGATAACAAAATGTACCCTTTGATTGACCAATTCCGCTTGCATCTCTAAGCACACATTTTATGCTAACACACGCATGAGCAGTTTTCTGAGAGACACAGCCACACAACACAAATGCACATGCATTAACAAACTAGCATAGGTGTGATGTTTGTGTTCGTACGCAAGTGCACGTGAGAACACACACAAAGACACAAAGAAGTGTTTTCATATTTTTCAGAAACATCAAGCGCACAAATGCAACCAATGAAGACGCTATTCATTTCTATTCCAACCACTGACATTCACCCAAAACCATCAACACACATATCACACATTCTGAACTCTGAAAAGTTAAGGAAATGGTTAAGGAAATGGTGCATTGTATCCGTTCTCTTTCATACGATCCATCCGTGCATGAAAGTATAATTGTGGATTCATTATCACCGACTGGTCTCTGAATTATTTTTCTAAAATGTGTCTGTTTTGGCCCTGCCATAGAAATGACAAATGTCACCACTATCTTGGGGCCATAACACAGAGATGAACATCACTCTATGCTAATTTTAATTGGGCAACAATTTACCTTCAACTTTGAATGCACCTTTTTTTTGTTTAGGCTGCACCAGCCCACTGATACAACCGCTGAAATACTGAATGTACAATGAGCCACTGAATGTGAATGAAACTGTCAGTTCAATGAATTTTTTTTAAACTCTCTGTTCATGCTTGATAAAACTAACCTGGGATATTGTGTGCTAAGAGCACAAAGATTCTATTTCAAGCATTAGCCAGGTGGGGGAACTTGACAAAGGCCAAAAGATAAAATTTAAATCAGGTCAATGGATTTAACAGCACTGCTCTTTGATCCACGGCCTGCCACGTAACCATTACTGTCCTCAGTCGGGCTTTGGGATCTGCTTATACGTGCAGCCCATGGCAGGCACCTTAATGAGCTGCGGGTAGGGGTGGGTGATCTCTTCCTTCAGAGGCAGGATGTCGAAGATGGTCGGGATGAATTCGTTCTTCATGGGAAGAGTGAAGTGCTCATTGAGACCAGCATTCTGCCACTTCTGTATGTGCCACACACAGATACATTTCAACAAGAAAAAATATACATGTGGAGCTTTTATGTTTAAGTAGACATTTATCAGCAAACAGTGTAATTTATTTAATCCCAAAGCAAATGAATTAATGAGCACATTTGGTATGTGCTTCATTCTTATAGCGTAATGCGTTCACGAAGGCATTATGTCTCACAATTATTATCTGCAGTAGTTTCACAGATAATTATTATCTGCAGTAGTTTCACAGACAATTATAATCTGCAGTAGTTTCAAAGTAGGGGCGATGTTGCTATGTGGCTATACCCAACTGTAAATTTGTGAATAATTTTCGAATTTGACAAATTTGGCCTACTCTTTTTCAAATAACGTCACGCCATCTTTAACGTGCACTGCAAAACAGATTGGCGCATATGTTACGGTTAATATACCTGCAGTGTTAATCAGGGCAGCCGCTGGGTTCGAACCGCACACTTTTGAAACTAGCAGAAAATGCACTACCACTCAGCAATGTCACCACAATCAACACATTACATACAGCTTTGTTGAGACTTGCTTAATTTCTACACTTTTTTGGAGGTACAGGGCTACAAGGTACACACATGCAAAGATATACACACTCTATGGATAATGGACACAATGCTTGCAAGTAATAATCCAGCAAAGGAAAAACATTGATGTCACAAGGATTTCGGGAAACTCTGACATAACCCATTCCCTACCGTAAAGGTTTCTTCCGAGACGCTCTCCTGCTTGTACTGGGTCTCATACCACCGCTCCACCTGGTCAGTGTGCCCTTCAAACGCCTTTGCTACGACAGCAATCCTGCAAATGTGGATGCAAGAATTTGGAAAAATGCACGCACATACAAAGATCCCCATATAGCCTTAACATACCGTTTTGGCAAGTGCTGTTAGCGAGTAGCACCTATGAAGGATGACACAGCACACGAGAGAGTGGGTGGCCAGGTACTCATTTGAGGCTGAGTCAACTTAGGGGAGGCCCAGGACCGATTCAGATCATCGTCACTGGTGTTGGCCGTGAGCGGGAATCGAACTCGGGTTGCTAGGTCCGTAGTGCAGTGCGTGAACCGTTGCACTACCGCTCCCCACTCGACATTAGCACACGCACACACACAGAATATTCCTCAGTTACTCACCCAGCCGTTGTGCATGCACACGGTTTGACTCTTGAGGTATATATCTAAAACTCCCAATTACAGGTATCAAAATACCAGCATTGCCATCACAGAAATGCTATTAACACAATTATTCATAACATCATACCCAACACCTGAGTCACATATTTTGATTCCAGAAATGCATTGCCGATAATCACAAACAAGGCAGAGGAGGACTTCGTTTATCTGTGACACTTTTATGTTTTGTATCAAAAATGTACTTTAAAATTGGATAAGCACCGTATCCAATAGAATGCCCCCTGGCAGGAATCATGGTTCTCTGTTTTTCAGTTTTCAGTTTCTGTGATGTGTGAGTTGGTAACATTTAAAGCACCCTTTCTTCCAAGTGTACTACACTGCATGCACCCGTGTTAACAAGCCGAGCATTACCAGGCGCACATGGGATAGCTGCCGAGCTGGACCGTGCTGTCCATACCTGCTGTTGTGCGGTTGCAACTTGTCCAGCAGCATTTCAATAAGGTCCGGCCGGAACTCCTCCAGCAGGTACTCTGCAGCGAGCACCTCCCGGATTGGGTAGTACTGTGTGCACAAGCCATTGAGCACGAGTGAGAAAATATCAGCCCCAGGCATCGTCTAACCTACCCACCACTTAAAGATGAATGCTCCGCTTGCCTTCTACGTGAAAGGGAGAATTTGTGTCGGGTTGCTGGAGGCATCTGAATGTCCAAAATACAGGGGAATACATTTTAACAGTGTAGATTTTTACACGGGTTGTGATGTCATAAAAAAAAAACAAGAAAAGTGGCAGGATGTCAAAATACTTGTTGCTAAGATAGGCTAATGGGAAAATAATTGTGGATAGCTGTGATCCCAAGCACACAGTACTGCAAACACTGTAGTTTTTAAATGTACGCGTACAACAGCAAAGATGGTAAGTCAGTGAGCAGCGGGGCGAGGGTGCAATCAGCTCACGTGTAGCAAGCCGGTGATGTGTGACGTGTAGTTGCGGGGCCGCTCTTTGTCCTTAAATCTGAACGCCATCGTTCCGAGGTCCTGCGGCAACACATGGCAGCCTCACAGCTCTCCGTCCCATCATCACATCGCACCTCGTCACTACCGACACCTCAGCCCTCCTCCGCCATCCCTAGTCATCATCATCGTCCCATGACGATGTTGCACAAGAAAAAACACTCGCCCGTCTACAATAATCCCTGGAAAACAAATGCAAGCTCAGACAATATTCTTTGGGTCTTTCGGTAAAGTCACGTAGATAGGTTCAAAGAAAATAACAAAAAACTACGACGTTTCAAAAAACTACGACGTTTAAAAAAACTAAGACTACAACGATGTTTAAATCATAACTGGCTATGATGTTCCCATCCTACCACCTTCCGATGTTAGTTGTGCTTTACGCCCATTTCACAAGCTTCACACCAACACAGCCACTTCGCGCGCCGACGACCCCTCGGTTGCGGCTCCGAGATCTCCCATCAACTTGCTAATCTCTCATTAACTTGCTAATCTCTCATTAACTTGCTAACTTTCACCTGGCAGCCCTTTGATTGGTGGAAAACCAACCACCGTCGAGTTGGCTGCCCACCACTTGCATTATCATTGGCTGCTGACATTTGAGCTACGATCATTTCAAACCCTTACAAACAGTTTGCCTTTGGAAGCTAACCCCCCCTTTCCTGAAGACGACCGCTTGTGTTGCCATCGAAATGTCGTAGTTTTTTGTTATTTTCTTTGAACCTATCTACGTGACTTTACCAAAAGACCCAAAAAATATGAATTCCTGCAGTCACGAATGCTTAAAGCCAATATTTAAGCTCAGACAAATTATCTAAACATTATGTTAGGTTCCCTAACAGTCTCGATTTAAAGCTTTCGTGACTGCAGGGATTCATCTTCTTGGTTCTTTCGGTAAAGTCACGTAGAATGGAAATAATAAAATAATAAAAATAAAACATAATAAAATAATTCTCACGACGTTTCGGCCACAACGCAAGCAGCCGTCCTCAGGTGGAGAACAGGTCTGTCGAGGAGACAGAGTTTGAATCCCTAACAGCTCAAGTTATACAATGTGTGGCATAAAAGACAGCACATCTGTCCAACACTGATTATTCCTATTAGCGATGAAACCAGTAATCCATTGCTTTGTTGTATAACTGCCACACTATAAATAAGTTCAGCTTTGAACCTTGTTCAATCTGGTGGCTAAAAGCATGTAGGCTGCATGACATATTGGAGATATGACATGTTGGAGATATGTCATGCAACCTACGTACAATTTGCAACACCATGTATTGAAGTAATATCGTGCATACATCACTCCTTGCTATCAAATCAAAGTATGTTCTCAATGCATGGAGATGTACACCTATTGGTTACAAAATGCAGGCAGCATCGTCAATGTTCTAGACAAAGGCCAATTAATGGATCCAAAATTACAGTTGCTAAAGCCTTAGGAATGACAAGAGTTCTCACATGGGCAACGTGCCCTTTGTTTCAAAATGAAATTACAAATTTGATTCCAATCAGACCTGGCAGAACTGTCACTGCAATTAAGAATAAAAGAGTGATTGTAATTGGAACATTATCCAGAACGGTAATTGGCAATTACAATTGCCATAATTCCGTGAGCCCATTATTTATTTATTACTGCGGCGTTTCCATTTATTTAAATAATTAAGACAGATTAAACGTAACAATTACAAGCTCCCGGGAGTTCACCGTGGAGTGGACCACAAATCTGTTTGGGGCGTTTCTATATTTTACAAAAGGATGCTGACATACCATAACACAGCACAGGAGGAATTTAACTTGATTTAGCTGAGGAATACAAGCCGGACTACTTTATCACATGGCACATGCCAGTGAGACCAATGCTTTTAACTGACCAATCACCAGATTTCAAGCAATTGACTTTGCACTGGCACACACCTGATGGATGTCCTCTGGAGACCCCAAGCGAGCTCAATTTCTGAATTAAAATAGAGTTCAATTCATTCCACTCGTTACGTTTAATGCCAATATAGTAATGTTCTGTGGGGCCCATAGCCACTGAGAAGGTAATGAAAACTACGGTTCCCAGACTGTTAATTCAATTTGGCTTATGTACTTCATGAAAGCAAAAAAACAGGTTCAAATCTCTTTCAAAACCGTTGATGAGTAACAGTTACCACATTGAGCAATGACACAATATTTAGGCGCAGGAATATGGCGCAGTAAGACATGTTTAGCAGCTTGTGCAACGATCATCACTCCCAATTAAAATAATTGTTTTAGGACCCCAAAAAAAGCATAAGCGCCGTGCAGGAGTGAGCCCATTTCGCAATGTTTGTGCAATTCCTTATTGAGTAACATTTTTGTGTGTTGGAGTAAACCACAGTGTCCCAAAAAAACCCACATACAAATAAAGACAACTCTAAAACATGTCAACAGACGAGTTGGCAGCCTACTTGCTTTATAGCCATTGAGCGAGCACCTTTCTGGGTTGCAAAATAAGGAGAAAAATCTTGAGTTATGGGCAATTACTTTCCTGACAAATTCACAATTTCGTGCAAGCCCCCCCCCCATATCTTGAATGCCAAAACAAGGATATAAATTTGAAGTTTGATAGGCGCAGCTGTGGGCGGTCAAAGGAGTTAATACCTTCACATGAGGTACAAATTGAAAGGGAAAAACCATGCCGTGTGAAAATGTTTACCTTGCATTCCTCAAAAATCCACCGCACTGGTCCTTCCTTCCGCAGCATGTTGATGTACTGAAACATGTGCAGCACTATTTCATCAACGTGCTCTAGGGAAGGAACACAAACCAACAAATGTGGGACAGTAAATACATAAAATGGTTCTCATGAATCACATGATAAAATAAATGTCTTATTTCTATTCCAAATGTTGTCCAATTTTTGCTACAAAAGAGGTGCGTGGTATGTATCGTATGAAGAATACTTAATCCCTCTGGGATCAATTGAATAAGTACTAATTTGTAGGAAGTCAGTGTTTGCCCTGTGATGAGACTGGCCCCATCGAGGAAATATCCACACTGGTGCAGGGGCTGCCAATGGGTAGGAGCATAAGTGAGTAAAAAAATATTAACTTTTAGCAGCCACCACGTGCCCTCTATGTGCACAGCAGGGTGTGGTTATTACCATCATCATGACAGCTTACTGTGTACTAGACCCAACAAAAGCAGGAGTAGTAACATTCCATTGAATCATGAGAATGCTGGACTTTATATTATATCTTGGCAAACCCGCATACTCCATTCAAACGTTAGTTTGTTGCATGCTTCTGTATTTATTCATCTACAACACTGTTCATTCTGAAACAGCCAAAAGCAAAGAATGCCATTAAGTAATCTTTAGTCTGGAGAAAGTTGAAATCCCTTGCTGCATTTAATCACTACCACTCTGTTCTCATTACGTGCACCTTGCTAAATGAGTAATCACCTAAGCCCATCTGAACCATCAAGATTTATTAGGAATACAATTAATGGAATTAAACAAAACGAATGAGTCTGGGAATAAAATGTGGGCGTTGCACAAATGTATAATTACACCCATTACTGGGGTCAATACCTAATTTGAACAACGGGCTATTTGGAGTTATGATTGTGTGCTACGTGCTTCGTGGATGGTGCTTCAGTGAAGCCAGGGGTTGATGCGGAACTCACCGAGTCCTTCCTCTGTGAGGTCCACGTTGATGATGAAAAACATGAACCCGCGAGCGCCACCCTTTTGTCCTCCGACGAGCATGTTCACCCAGCCTGGATGACGCAGTGTCACATGCTTACAAATCAGCCTTTTTGCCTCACTTACTCCAGATCAATTCCAGATCACACCACCGACAGACAGGGCAATGGATATGTCTAGCGTGTTATGACATTCCAGGTTCGATAAGCTAATAAGAATACTCAGGCTTGTGTGGTTAGAAAGAGAGAAATTATAATGGTTTCAGGTAAAGATAGGCATTCAGCAGCGTGTATTTTGTCACCTGTTTTGATTAATTTTGTAGTTGACGATGAGGCTATTGATACCGTAGATGGGGGACACGCAGTTGAAAACCCAAGAAACAGTTGCATTAGCAGAGCAATTGTTGATGGTGGTGGTTGTGATTATTCTAATGTTGGTTGTGATTACGGTGGCAGTGGTGCTCGTTTTATTGTTGTTGGTGGTGGTGGTGAAGACGATGGTGGTGGCAACTGCAATTGTGGTCGTGAAGATGTTGGTGGATGTAACTATCAATGTGGTTGTCCACTGTGCGAATTTCACCTTTGGTCTTCAGGAAGGACAACAAACTCCCTGGCCCTTCATGGCCAATGAGGTGGCCGAGATAGTGGCCAGGGTTGGACTTGTAATGTGGCTGCAGGTCCGGGATAGGAAACGTTACATAGAGGTTCCGGATGTCCTTGACAGGCACCACCTTGTATATAAGCTGTCACCAGAGCAAGCAGGCACCAGCAAAAAATACACACATTTAAAGTACTGCATGAGTTACATGTACATTTATAAACACATTAAACACTGCTCTTGAGTGTCAACATAAGTAGAAATGCCATCTCAGGCCTTGAGAAGCTTTCATCCAGGATGTATCGGATATATAGGCTAAAACACAGCTCATGCAGCCTTCTTCAAGTGTTCTTAACATTCTTCCGCATAGAGGCCTTGGTGGCCAACAATCCTTTGCCAATAGCATCATGTGACCAAATGCAACGTGACCTCAGTCAGGTGACAACTGCCAATTACACAGGGCTTGTGACTTCCATCGACTAAGAATACTTAATCTATTGAATACTAAATACAAACGCTGCATGTCTTATTAGGTACACAGTATTTTGTTGTTTATTCTGCAGCAAGAATGTGCAATGTACTCTTTGTGTGAATCACAGAATGCAGAATATGATGAAAAACACCTGCATTATATACTGTACATTAACTATGACATTTATTATAATTTCCCAAAAAGAAAACTCAACATTGGCTGAAAAGGGGTGAATTAATTTAAGGTCAGTCGCCTTTGTGCACATAGACGCAAGGGCCATTTATACTGAAACTGAAGGCGAATGATGAATTGTAATTACCCTCAACTCAAAAAGGTCAAAGTGTCATCGAGGTTAAGTAAGCAGCTTGCAGTGTTCATCTGTATTGGCAGCCCTGAACCTGGAGTGGAAATGTTGGGCTCATATAACGGGAGCGGTGGTACAGTGCTATGTAAACTGCTCTAAAAAAACCGACAAAATGAGTTTGATTCCCAGACAAGGCTAACATCAGTGACAAATAAAATCTGAACCTGTCCGAGGCAACCCGGCACTGCCCAGCATGATGCAGTATGGTCAAACAACCCACATGCTAGTGTTGAAGGTCAAAATGCAGCCCTGCAATTCCTATCTTGCAACACTGCTGGCGGAGAATATCCAGACGCGAAGGGGTAACGCTCCAGCCCATACAGACGGAATAGGTGGAATCTACAATTGCTTTACCACCTTCTTCTGGAAAGCCAGGGTATGGTGCCGTGACACCCATGGGAAGGGAATTTAACATTTATGTGATCCACCAACCGTCGCCTCCAAAGACCTTTTATTTAATGATGTCTATGATAATTACAATGGAAAGTATCATCATTACCTTGAGGTGCTCCTCCTGAAAAGGGTGATCAGGAAAATCCGGGATGGGCACGTTCTTATTCTCTACCTGAGCAAACAGCTTCACAACCATCTCCATCATCTCATCCAGTGGTTCTGCAACAACAAACACCCTTTATCAATACAGAAGTACCGACGCCTGGAGAGTTAACCGAGCTTAGGTCAATGCGTGTGAAGGGAAGAATGGAAACTCCAACGCGCAAAGCAGAGTGCTGCGGTAAATACGCTGAGTGGGAATGCAGATGGGACACATTTACACACAATCGCACGTCACAGAATCTTAACTGTGGTGCTATGGTTTTAGTGCTCAACATATGATCATAAGGTTTTAAGTTCAAATCCCAGTCTCTGAAGAGCTCAGCCTATCACCAACCTGGGTCTATATAATGCGAGTTCCACTTTGTGTGAAAACAACAAATGCCATCCTGTGGATTGACCAGCCCCGACATGGGAATGTGGAACCTCCACTTCTGGAGCAAGGATGATAATAGAGTAAAACCTTGCCATTTTCCGTGTTTGAGCAGACAAACACTTTTACTTGACGTGGAATTAGCGAGCAGACGCAATGAAAAGAGAAGTTGCTGAAATATAAAAAATGCAGCACTCTACTACATTACTTACAGCAACACATCCATTGGCAACTGGGTTAGAGCTCCCACATCAACACGCCTGTGACCCCTTAATGGACGTTGGAGTAAAATTACTTAGATATGTTTATTTCTGGGGTGAATTTAACTCAGGAAACCAACATTGCAAAAATATCACACAGAAAAAAAAAGAGTTTAGATTTGTATGCTGTTTATGCTACACGGATGACCTCGTTCAATTAGAAGTGCAAGTGCTGATGTATTAAACTCGTTTAACTTGCAGATTTCATTGGGAGTTCACGAGTTAATGTAAAAAATATTTTTTTAAATATTATATGACTAACCTCTCCCAAGCACGCAGAGTGACATGAGGTTGGATGAGTAATAGCTGGAATGAAATTTTAACAGTTCATCTCTGACATCTAATCCGAGCTCCGATGGTCTGGTCGAGAGCGTGTACTTGTTTCCTGTAAAAGATAATGAGGGTATGTCATTACTTGAAAACCCAACCAACTCAACAACAACAATGCTTTAAAAGAACATCACGGCCTTAAAAGAACAATGCCTTAAACAGAAACAATTTAAATATAAGGTAGCGATGTTGACGAGTGTGTCGAGATTTTTGTTCATTGTGCTTGTGCACCATTGCCAACACAGCATCACCAAATGAGTTTATCATTAGCAATGCGAACTAACGTTTACAAGTCAAGAGTTACAAAAGTGACATCATTAAAACTGACGATAAAAACTATTCACAAATTGGTCAAACTTTTAGGCAAAAGAGCCTCGAGTTAACCAGAATTAGATATTGTAATCATGCATTAGTCCTCATGCGAAAACAAGCTCCCCCATTTGGTTAGTGGTTTTGATAAGACATGTATGAAGAAAAAAAATAGAGCTGGCAGTGGTAGCTTAGTTTTATTTTTCAGCAATAAAATATGTAATAGCACTCGGTGTGTTGAGCAGGCAAAAAGGGACTGTGGGATTCATCCAGACCTGTGCCAAACTTGCTGAACGGGTGAGTCGGGTTTCCAGTCGACTTCTCCAGCTGAAAGAGCCTCCAGGAGTCATTCATGAGATTCTTCTCGTTCTCCGAGTCCACCGCATTGACCTCGCGATCCTTGCAGCTTGCATCGAAGAGTGGGCACAGGAAGAACTGGGAAAACCTGAAGCAGGCAAATGTGACATTATCCCAATGGTGGGCGTCTCCTCCGTAGGCAACTGGATTATTAAAAGAATCAGCGGCTTGCAAGAAGCTTATCAAATACAGTGGAGCTCAGTATACAGAAAGGATTAATGTCTGCAGCATGGTATTCGTAAAAATCAGAACGCTGTCATAAGGCAGCGTTAATGATGATGGAGCTGAGGTGTTATCAAATGCATTTCCTTATGTGTTAAATATATGAAGGGTGGATATGACCTTTTGAGATTGGGAGCCCTGAAATTATGAATGACTCATACTGGGTGTTGTACTTAATGGGCCAGTTTAACATCCTAATGTAACAGCCAAAACACATTACCTTGCAGATTTCCCCCACGGTTGATAAGAGACAGCAGTACATTTTTTGCCAATAAACAAAGTGCATTTGCCAAGATGTGAAACAGATCCAATATTTGTATTGTAACCTCTGATATAACAGTCTTCATCATTTTACATTCGATCACTTAAAGATACAGAACGCGGAACATGATGTTAAATACAAAGCAATTTCTAGTGTGTAAAACTTACAGTGCGCATCCAGAGCACGTAGCAATTTAGAAATATTCTCAGGCCTTGACGGTTTTAATTCAAATACCTATTAGCGTGATGAAACCTTAACTTTAATTGCATAATGCCACTCGGGCTAACGCAACAGAATAACAACAATGCTCATGTGGAAAAATCTCCTGAGCGGTGGGCGTTAACGCCACTAATGACACTGCATGAGGGGATTGAGTCCGAAGGCTTAAAAGCGATGCTATTGTAACTCCAAATCCAAGCTAACGGGTGAGTGTTTCTCAACACTCGCTCATTAGGCCAATTCTTTTGAAGGACAATGCATACATTATCAAAGCATGTTTGTTTACATGTTTTCGACAAAGCATGTGTGGTTAATGCAGACTTGACGCCTTGTGATAGGTGTCTATTTGCTGTTGGAACATCTTAACAACTCCTGTATTTTTGTTGGAAAAGGGGGTAAAAAGGCTATTAATTTTTTATTCAATCAACAAGATTCCTCTTCCAGATCCTGTCGCGCATTCGACAACTGCTGAAGCCATCCCGGCGCTGTGCCGTCCGTGCCCAAGGCTCTGCGTGGCCGTGGAGGGAAATACCTGTCGAGGGCGCCGCCCAGGTGCTCGTGCGACACATCGAAGTAGAAGTTTGTGTGCTCGCCGCTGGTGAAAGCATTGGAGCTGCCCGCGTGCTCGTTCAGGAACTGGCTGTACTCATTCTCCTGGGGGTATTTCTTCGTTCCCAGGAAAAGCATGTGCTCGCAGAAATGAGCCAGTCCAGGGATGTTGTCGGGGTCCGATAAGAAACCTGTTTGAGCGGTGCGCACGGTATAGTGAGCGCGTATGGAACTCCCACCGAGACATTTTTTATTTCATCGTGATTTTACAAATCGTTTCAATGGCATGCAGAGGTCGCAATCGGGTACCCGATACCCGTACCCTACCCGATACCCGGCTACCCGTACCCGGCCGGGTACGGGTACGGGTACCCGTTTGCGACCCTGGTGCGGCCGGGTACGGGTAGGCCGCGAGTCACTGGTGAGTAACCGTTTGTCACTCATTTTGGGTAGGGTACGGGTAGGGAACAGGTACCCGTACCCAGCCGAGTACGGGTACGGGTACCCATTTGCGACCCTGGTGCGGCCGGGTACGGGTAAGAAAACAAAACCCGTTTGCGACCTCTGATGGCATGACATCTCGAGACAAAGTAAAGATTCTTGTGGCAATGTGTGGAGACATGCGAGAGAGGAAATTTCATTTAAAAAGGGCTTTTCAACACCATCCATGCACCAATTATAAAGAGTATACATTTGTTGCTTTAGGCAGCCAAATTTAGATTTTGTAAAAAAAAAAGTGACAGAAAAAACCCCAGTAAGAGTTACAAAAAATAATGCTATTAATATTTAAATTTACCTCTTACCAATTATACAACCATTATTGTAAGAATATACATGGCCAGGGGTGCTGAGGTTAGCAAGTCCGATGCAATCTGGATGAGGGTTCGACTCAGCCCATCATCCCTTTTTGGATGAATAAAACAAGTGATCCTCTATGTGAAGTAAACGAATAGACTCCCCATGGATAAACTTGCTCCTTCCATGGTATTATGGAATTTTCACTACTAGTTCAGGGATTTTAATGGAAGTGACCATCACGACATGCTAGTTTGAGCTGAGTGACATTTTTGGCCTCATTCACATGCTGGAAAATGTAAATAAAATTTTATCTGATATGTTGAAAATAAGCAAATGTCATTACCCACAATACCATCAACGAGTTAAATCACTGATTTTACCGATTTCCTATATTTTGGATTTATATTTGATAAAGGGTGTTTGTTGTTAGAGTAGACAGAATTACTCATTAAACCACCTTTTGTAATTCCTTGTCATACCTAATGTGCCAACCAACCCTTACCACTGCCAGGTATTACAGTACCATTCCCGAGTGCCCCGGGAAATGCTATTTGAGCATCATCTGCCATCAGGTGCATTCACACCACCTTCATTACCACAAACCATCGGGGGATGTGAATTTTTGAGATGGAAAAATCGAAATTTCATTATGTGGTTCATGCTGCTATATTGTAGTGAGGGATTTAGGACCATTATTACATGGTCTGATGGGATTAATATTACTTCTTTTTGGACATACACGCTATCATTCAAGTGCAACCACACAAAGCACGCCACTTCACAAGACACCCTTTATTAGGAGCAAACGTGCCTAAGTATGCAGCTGTCCCCAATGCGGCATGTAACAGAACAATAACAAATGGCAGATGACCAGAACATGTCTCACAAGTGCACACGTATAGCTCCTAGATTTTGGTGCAATTCACGTCTTCACTGCTGCATACACAAACACTCACACACATTCAATGCACAGTCATTGTGAATAGACGTTCACTGAAGAAAACAAATCTTATATTTCCTAAGGGCAGACTCTTAGGCTTACAAGATATGTTAAGACACATTTACTTATTTACCATTGTTTTGTTACCATATATGGTATACATATAATGTAGAATTATTTTATTTATATGGAAAGCCTGAATGAGTCTCATAATTTCATAATTAAGAGAGTCCTGCTTTTGTATTTTCAATCATTATCTATGCTTCATCGTTTTTGTGCAAGGACAACAGAGTACCTTGAGAAATGCCAAACACAAGAAATAAGTCCTAAACCGCTCTATCCAGTACACTGGTTGGAAACCTACTGGCTGTAATGCTCTCTATAGGTAATTTGAAGTCCTGCAGATGTTTTTTTTTTTAAACACGCTACGGACTACACGTGTGCACCACCGCACCTTGCCAAAATCTTTGTGTCCCGATCATTCAAACAGAGTTGGTAAATGTTACGGCAAACTTATCTCAACATGTTTTTACATCACACAAGGAGGGGTGACACCCATCTCAATTGTTGGCAGCACAAAACCAGAAGTGGTAATTCAACATTTTTATTGTGGAGGCAGATCTCCCCCGACAATGACCGATGACTTCTTACAAAGTAACAAACTTGGTTCGTCTACTTCGACGGAACAATCGTTTTGAGACGTCAATCAGCAGGAACTTAAACTCACAGCCTGCCGATTATCAGTTGAGCATTATAACCACCAGGTCACCCAGTCTGATAATTTTTACAGTAAGGGACAGAGCGATGAGTCCATAATACACAAGGTACAGTTTGAAATGAACACAAGATGTAGCTTACCACAAACACATACTTGACCAAAAGGTGTAAACTATTAAAAATGTAATATTGTATTTCTGATTTAAAAAAATAGTTAGAGACCGTTATTGTTCAAAATAGCTCATCGTCCTGATATGTGAATCCACGCACGCACACACGGTTAAATGCCTCACATCAGCACCATCAGGTCAGGCTGATGCATGATTATACAGCAGGTCAATCCAACAACTGTACACCAATGCAACATCTCTTCAGGGAGAAATGTTTACGTGGAGGGATGAGCTAGCATTGAAATCAATACTTATCCTGTACGCCTTAACTCAACCCAAGCCCTCCATGTTAAAGGGTCAAGTCACTTCCTCAGTCAATACAAACCCAGCACTGAGAGGCCTGCTGAAGTTAAATCTGTAATCTCATTACTTTCGAGAAAAAAAAAGTATGTACGCTGTCACATTACATAAAGAGCTGGTGTTCAGAGCCTGTTATACAAAGTGCACACACAGCTGGGTCCGGAAGGTAGTGAAATAGTAATCATAGGGCGCCTCTTACAACGTCTAAGTAGAGTAAACAGCAACGAGGAATGTGTGGCGTTTGTTCTGTCTAGATAACGGGTGAGGGATAACACATCAACAAAGACGTTCCTCCTCTCCAATACCATCCCCATAAAAAGTTACGCTACTCAGCAGATAGTCGGTGGTGAAAACTGGTGACAGGAAACAGAGGAAAGACAGCACACTTCAGCCAAGGCTATTGCACAAAAAGCCCAAAACAGGCTTTAATTCTAAAAGTGCCAATATAGGAATATATGAAATGACACAATTTCATTAAACGTTCTCTATCATACCAATGAGAGCCGATTAATATTGATTATCTATTTTTGTCAGGGAGATGGGAGGCATGGACACATTAAAATCTGCGATGCATACAAAGGTGCGCTGTGAAAGTGTCCTTGATAATGAACGCATGAGAGACAAAGTGAGTATGGAGACGGGAGAGTTTGCCGTAGACACCGCGAGTGCATACGAGAGATGTTGACCGTCGGTGGAAAACACGGGACTGAGCAAGATAATGAGAGTGAAGTTGACAGTCATGGTTTTCCAGTGTTGCCTGCAATTGGTAAAGTCAGCTTTTATTTGTACGTCCATGCCAATAGCTGACAGTGTCACCAACACCGATCGTCGGCAAAAAAACCCGAAACTCCAATCACATTTGCACTGCGTGCAAACGTAAATATCTGAGCGGACACGTGGGGAACTCACCGATGTGTACATCCAGTGCAGCCGAGGCCTTGTCTGTGCTTGGGTCCCGTACGAGGAGAACACGCATGCCATTATTCAGCTCCAGGCCACGATACTCCCTCCGATCCTCCACCGACTTCACTACGTCCGCAGCTACGGATCTCACGGCCACCGCGGCCGTCATGGTCATGCGACTCGAAATTAACCTGGTGGGACAAACCCAAAGTCGAGCAGCGACACAAAGCTGGTGTTAACGGTATGCCCCGGTTGACATTTAGCACTTTATTTATGTTAATTGATGTATGCTATCTATGAATTAAAATATTGTAAACAAAAAAAACGAGGTGGTCATTAACAAGATGACAAGAAAACAACAACAGCCACAACAGCAACACGATGAGTGACACCAACAGTGAGGCAATGCCAGCAGCAGTGTTGACAAACCAACCATGACAATAAACGTGATAGTATAGTAATAGAATACTGCAATACTATCACCACAAAACGGCAAATAAATTAGCACGTCCACCTCTCCGAATGCCCCGTCACAATCAATAACTTTAAATACGAAATCCATTATCAATGACACTAAAAGCATCACCAAACCCCAAAGATAATTTAAATGGCTAACAGCCAACTCAAGTGGTGCTTATATATAAAATAATCAGTGGCGATACCGATGATCATAGCCACATGGCCATTAACCCCAATGTCACCATTATCACCTCCTAGAGCAACAGCGTTAACGTCAGCAGTACAGGCACTGGGCATTGACACCACCAACAATACCCGACATCACTGACACTACTGGAACGACTTACTTACGTGTCAGTACTTAAACCACTCACGTCCACACCAAATACAGCAATAACACCTCGGACTCCACCAAACACACCACCATCACTGACACCATTATTGACGCTTCCACCAAAAATCCCTCCCACACATCATTGATTTACACCACCATCACCACCACTGATGATGACTTCACCATCGAACACTGACACTGTTCACGATACCATCACCACCACTGACAATGACTTCACCATCGATCACCACCACTGACATATCAACACCGATGCCAACACCACTATCGACAACACCATCACTGCCCACTACCAACGCCATCAACAGGCACCACCACTAACACCATCATCACGGACACCAAGATCACCAAAGATGACACCACCACCACCACGACTAACAATGACATAACTTATCGAAATACAACCACCACCCATATCTCCGACACTATCAGCACCGCTGATGGTACCACTCCGAACAATATAACTACTACAACCACACCACCACCCGCATGATCTTGGGGAACCCTGTTGCCGTTCACCTCTTCATGATCACCACCACACCACCATCACAATAATCACCACCACCCGCATAATCTCGGGTGACTCTGTGACTTTCACCTCTTCACCACCATCACATCATCACCACCGCCGTCACAATAATCACCACCACCACCACCCGCATGATCTTGGGTGACTGTGACTTTCACCTCTTCACCATCACCACCACATCACCTCTTCACCATAACCACCACATCACCTCTTCACCTTCACCACATCACCTCTTCACCATCACCACCTCTTCACCATCACCACCACATCACCTCTTCACCACCACCACCACATCACCTCTTCACCACCACCACCACATCACCTCTTCACCATCACCACCACATCACCTCTTCACCACCACCACCACATCACCTCTTCACCACCACCACCACATCACCTCTTCACCACCACCACCACATCACCTCTTCACCATCACCACGACATCACCTATTCACCACCACCACCACATCGCCTCTTCACCACCACCACCACCACATCGCCTCTTCACCATCACCACATCACCTCTTCACCACCACCACATCACCTCTTCACCATCACCACCACATCACCTCTTCACCATCACCACGACATCACCTATTCACCACCACCACCACATCGCCTCTTCACCACCACCACCACATCGCCTCTTCACCATCACCACGACATCACCTATTCACCACCACCACCACATCGCCTCTTCACCACCACCACCACATCACCTCTTCACCATCACCACCACATCACCTCTTCACCACCACCACCACATCGCCTCTTCACCATCACCACCACATCACCTCTTCACCACCACCACCACATCACCACATCACCTCTTCACCATCACCACGACATCACCTATTCACCACCACCACCACATCGCCTCTTCACCATCACCACCACATCACCTCTTCACCACCACCACATCACCTCTTCACCATCACCACCACATCACCTCTTCACCACCACCACCACATCACCTCTTCACCATCACCACCACATCACCTCTTCACCATCACCACCACATCACCATCACCACCACATCACCTCTTCACCATCACCACCACATCTTCACCATCACCACCACATCACCTCTTCACCATCACCACCACATCTTCACCATCACCACCACATCACCTCTTCACCACCACCACCACATCACCTCTTCACCATCACCACCACATCACCTCTTCACCATCACCACCACATCTTCACCATCACCACCACATCACCTCTTCACCATCACCACCACCTCTTCACCATCACCACCACATCATCACCATCACCACCACATCACCTCTTCACCATCACCACCACCACACCACTACACCACCACATCACCTCTTCACCATCACCACCACATCATCACCATCACCACCACATCACCTCTTCACCATCACCACCACCACACCACTACACCACCACATCACCACCCCCATGATCGTTAGTGACCCTCTCTGAGGGACGCGCGCACGTGAGCGGCCTCGACCGAACGGGCCGCACGCCACCACCACCACCACCCTCATCAGCGCTACATCACCACCACCACCATCACCACCACCACCACCACCACAATCGCCACCACCACGGGGTCAGGGGCCCCGTTGCTCGCCCCACTCGCCTCCGCGCCGGGCCGCAACGCAGCAGCAGCAGCGACCGCCCGCACAGCGGTACAAGTGGCAGCATCCCCCGGGATCGATCCGCGAATCGATATCTTGGAATCGATTCCCCACAGCGTTGCATTAGCGGTGCGCGCGCTCGTGACGGTCGACGAATCGATTCTAGCGACTCCGCCCGCACAGTTATTGCGGAATCGACAACGGTGGTGGCAATTTGTGATTTGAATCTCGATTTGAAGTTTTTGTGATTGCAGTGATCAATACTCTTTGATTCTTTCGGTAAAGTTACGTAGATATATAGCAATTGTTTATTGCTGTGGTTGTCCCACCTGTTGACGGGCGCGTGTGTTGTGCCCGAAACGTCGTGATTAAATTGAATTTGTCACTGGATTTCGTTTGACCGTCTTCAGTGAAAACATGTTTTCTCCCCCATAAATACTCTAATAACGATTGTTTTTACGTGACAATTATTTTATATTACACTCCTATGCCAGGGTTAAACAAGTGACAGATAACATTCACTCATACCTGTAGACTCATACAGTTTAGCCCGTATTCTTGTACAGGGAAATTGAGTTTTGACTTTAAACTTTCGTGATTGCAGGAATTCAAATTATTGGTTCTTTGAATTAACCACAAATATGGAAATTTAGTTTTCAGGTCCATACGGCGTACAGCCGTTTCAATGCTGGCAAAAATGCGTTTTCTCTATTTGTGTATTTGTTTGTGTTACTCCCTTGTGATGGGACTTTGTAGGATGAACATTGAGATGTATAAGGGGCACGGGGTGACCAGTAAGGTCTGAGTTGGTCTGTAACAAGGTAGGGCACCGATAAGGGGTTGGCAGCTATGAGATCTGTAGAGAGATAACGGGACCTTAATTTTCGTTAATGCTCGGAATTGTTATTTTTAGTTGTGGATACTTCATTATAGTTATATTGCTTTAGCTTCACAAGACTTTCCTGCACAGTTACTGCCAAATATGTTGGGACTCATTTCAGTTCATGAGGCTCCATATTGATATTTTTGGCAACAATATTGTACTTTTTTACATTTCAATCTCTAAAGCACTAACATAAACGTACCGATATTAATATTAAATTCATAATAAACGTTTTTGGGTTAGATCGCGTTATTAAAAATGTGTCGTAACCATCCACCAAAAAAGTGTCACGTTGACAAAAGACAAATAGTTCACTACTTTAGCCCACCGGTGTGTTGAAGAGTGAAACCACAACATTTACAATTTCACTCAACACACCGGTGGGATAAAGCAGTGAACTATTTGTCTTTTGTCAACGTGACACTTTTTTGCTAATTGGCCGTGTCGGGTGGTGGAAGGTGACGACACATTTATAAATAACGCGATCTAACTCATAAACGTTTATTATGAATAATATTGGTCGCGAAAGCCTGCTACGTGTTAAATTAATATTAAATGTTTGCATAAAGTGTTGGTGTTAGTAACGAGCTCTCAGTTCGATTGTGTTGTCTACACTTGGAAAGTGGTGGCCCTATGGATGGCACCTGACACCTCCTTGCTTGCCAGTCATAGGAATGTGGAATTTCCACCAATGACCAGGGGAACCCAGACCATTTGACACGGGGAGACATTTGACTTGAATGAAGGCGGAAAATGTGTGCCGCATCTCAATGTGTAGACAACACAAGACAAGAGAGGAACCGTGATGTGTGCCTTTCGTGTGAGCAGCACCACCACACAGCACCCCCGATTCTCCAGCCGGGCACATTTATTTAGTTTCCTAAATCGATCCAGAATCGATTCCGAAATCGAAAACGGTCGGAATCGACAAGGGCCCAACGCGTCTGGACCGGCGCGGGATATTGAATTCCCCACTGCACACACGCGGGTGCGCCCTAGCCCCGCCCACCGCCCCGCCCCCATCCCCCGTTGCCCCCCCTCCCTCCCTCCTCACGTCGCCCCCGACGCGTCCGTCAGAGCGATAGCGATTGGCTCGGCTCGCGTCGCTGTGCCCGCTGGCGACCACAGAGTGACCCCCCCCCCACCCCGCCGGTGGGGTGAGACCGTCAGGGCGGTCGCTCATGCGGGCTAGGAAATCCAATTGCGGGTGTTCGGTGGGGGGTGGTTGGAGGGGAGGGGGGTTGGAGAGAGGGTGGGGGGAGAGTGGGGGGAGGGTGGGGGGAGGGTGGGGGAGGGGTTGGGGGGAGGGTGGGGGTGGTTGGAGGGGAGGGGGGTTGGAGAGAGGGTGGGGGGAGGGTGGGGGGGGTGGTTGGAGGGGAGGGGGGTTGGAGGGAGGGTGGGGGGAGAGGGTGGGGGAGGGTGGTGGGAGGGTGGGGGAGGTTGGGGGGTGGGGGAGGGTGGTGGGAGGGGAGAGGGGGTAGAGGGTGGGGGAGGGTGGGTTGGGGGAGGGTGGGGGGAGGTGACGTAATCTCAAGGTGAATGAGCCCTCTTTGGGTTTGATGGTTTTTTGGTGCCTGCGTTACGCTAAAGGCGCGTGGCTTTTATTCTGCCACGGGAGTTGCCAAAACATAGATGCTTAACGATACAAATTCTCATTCATTCATTCAATTTATTTTTTTGTAAAAACTCGCCCCCAATAAAGAGGGCATCGCAATGCTTTGCAGTAAACATTAAACCAAGGTAGTCCTACCTATACAATCAAGACACGTGTAAAAAGATCAAAATGACGGCGCATACTTCCTGAACGAATAACGTAACACCGCTATACACATGTTATGAATCAAATTACTGGTGGATAATGCTATTGTACAAATTGCTTAACTCGTTAAGACTTCTTGTGACTAAATATAGCATTGTAATAACACATTCTGTTGCTATTTTTAGATTTTCATCAGCAGTATATCCTGAAAATGTGGGTCAATGAACCTACAGTATTGGCTTTCTGAAGCAATGTGCGTCTCTGGATCAAGAGACTGATGGACCGAGAGTTGTACTTACATTTGCAGATAAGCGGATGAGAATCTAATGCAGGATTTCCCGTTTCATCAAATGCTGCGGAAAAACATTGGACTTACTGTTGTTTTTTTTCGTTGTGAATGAACAGACCATTGGCCCTTTTGTTATTTCTTACAATCCATCACGTCAGTTAAAGTCAAGGTTTTTGAACGCTTACGTCGGGCTGGAATAAAGGAAACATCGAATGTGGAGGGTGAGGCAATTATGTTCATTTTATTGTTGCTAATTTATTGTTGCAATAAATATATTGGAATGTCAAAAGATAGATGCGTCTTGTTTCCATGCCATTTACACAACACAGACTCACTTAACCTCTGAGAGGGATCACCGTTATGTCTAGAGGTTGTTTTACTACTTTGTGTCTGGGTATTCACCATGTGTATGCCATTCAACCTTTTTCCCCCTAGAAATTTAGCCCTGAGCTAGCATAGGCCAGTAAAGAATAAATAAATCCATATTTTTATTATTACATTTCATCCAGTCAATTATGTCTGAGACACACATAATCTCTGAGGCTGCTCGAATCGAAATCCAGGATCTCAGCTGTTCTGCCTCAACCCTCTGACATCACGACAGAATCAGGTTCTGAACCCATCGAGAGTATCGATCCTGTCCGTTCACACCATCGTATTACCGGTTAGCTGCTACACGATGTGTTGTGTATGAATTTCGATGTTGTCACAATATATATGCTTAATATAATACTGTATACTTCTACCATATGGAGTTGAAAAGTACTATGTGATGAAGATTAACCCATTTGGAATCTGTGGAAAGGAATTAAAACGTTGATTGAAAATCTAAAATAGTTCCAATATGAATGCACGCAACTGATATTCTTATCATTAGACCTCCTTTGCCAGTACCAACATATAATAATAGGGGTTATCCCTTTTTTCTGGCAACAAAACCGAAACCATTTACAAATATTCACGTCTGCATTAACTACAATACTTGCAGTCAAAATGCAAACAAAAAACACACTCTAATAATATATGCATTGTCCTTGTAACTGATTGGTCCACATCAGAGACAGCTTTCTTTTGAGCCTCGTCTCAATTGGTGCTCGACCAGATGACGCCAAAAGGCGTACAGCTCAAAGACAGGACCTGAAGATGTTTTGTTACTCAACCTCATACCTCTTGGTTCTTTTATTTGTTTTATCTCCATTCATGTTGTCAGTAATATGGTAGCATATTACTGACAAGTACATGGGGTGCCGTGGTGGTAAGTGAACTCCCTTGCCTGGTATGCAGGAGGCCGTGAGTTTGATCCCAACCCCGACGCCTGCTGCTGTATATTTGGAGTGTGCATGTTCTCCCGTGGTCGTGTGGATTTTTTTTATCTGGGTCCTCTGATTTTTCCCTCTAGATTTAGATACATGCGTTTAATTTATTTACATTATTTAGTTGCTATAAATATCAACATGATAGGCCACTTAGTTCAGCTAGCGATCATTTGTGACCAGGTTACTTCTTAAAAAGAGCTATATAGCTCAGTGGGCCTTACCTGGTAAAATAAACATGTTAAGTTTCACAGTTTCGTTTAAGTACTATGGGGAGGGGTGTTATTTTAGTTTTCTGGGCAATGCGATTAAGTGTCTTCAGGGACATCACAAGTCCATCTGGAATCCTGGAGACAGGACTAATTACGCAGTGCATTGATAATTAATTGTGCTCTGCATTACCAGAATGGGTAATGCTGCTGTGACCTATTTAACATACAGTAGAGATTATCATTTGGAAAAAGATATCCGTGCCGTAAATTTTTGATGCTAAGATACAGTTTTTTGCACGTGCCATATCAAGGCATTATATACTACAATATAAATACAGTACGGAGAAGACTGAATTGGATACTAACTATTGCAGTATATTGTTCACATGCAATAATACCAAGGAGTCTATTTTGTCCAAACATGTATCGATTAAGCTCTCAAAAGGAGTTAAAATTTCCCTGTTTCGTACTTTCCAATGCTATTTGAAATGACTCAACTCTATTCGGTATATATATTTAGGAGAATGTTGCCATGTTTGTTTTTGGCAGCCCTTTCTCAATCCACTGCGGGATGAAAGCTTCCCCACGCCGATTTGGTCACGGGGTTTGTTTGAACA